GCGCCCCCGTCCAGGCCTCTGTGCTGCGTCGACACGCCCTCGGAGCTTGGAGCTTGAGGGGCCGCTGCCTTTCCAGTGAATCAGGCTCTGTTGGGGGGGGGGAGGGAGGGGGTTGGCCTGTGGCAGCCCCAGGGCCAGTGTGACAGTCCAGACACAAAGCTCCGGGCTGCCCCCGGGGACTCCGGGCCCAGCTGACCCCTGACAAGTGTCAAAGGCCACAGGCACGAGGAGGCATGGACTCCCGGCACAGCCTGATCCGGACTCCGAGCCAAAGCCGTGCGCCGACCGGCCAGGACCGGGCCCGGGACGAGAGCTGGCAGGGCCCGAGCCGGTCTGGAGGGGGAGGAGCCGCCCGGCCTGGGGGTGCCAGGCAGAGGCTGAAAACTAGGGTCCGCCGGCCCTGCGGGCGCCTCCCTGGCCAGCGGCCTCGATGGCCCTTTGCAAAGACATCCCTCGTCTTAAAGCAAATGACTTTCCTTTGTTGGAAAGGCGTAGATGCTTCCACGTGTTTGAATGGAACTGACAAGGCAGCAGCCCTTGTGCGCTTTGCGTCTGTACTGCCCACTGATGCGGACAGACCTGGGGAGCGGTCGCGGTCTTACTCAAGGAAGACGGCGCAGCTGTACCGAGTCTGGCGTGCGTCGGGGCCGCTGGTGTCCCCGCAGATCGCAGGTGGCAAGTGCGCCGGGAGCCACGCGGTCTTTGAACAGAGGCCGCGGCTGCTGCGTGCGGCCAGCGAGTGAGGACTGTGGGCGGTACCCGCAGCCGCTTGCATTCACGGCACGTTTGTTGTCGAGATGTTTGCCCTCAGCTCCCAGCTGCCTCGACGGTGGTGACTCCGAGACAGGGCAGCCTGGGACCGGGCGCCACTCAGGCAGGCGCCCCCCCGGCCCCCTCCCAGGCCGTGAGCTCCTGCGGGTGGAGACTTCTGTTCCTCTGCTCCTGTCCCCGGTGGGATCTCCCCGCGTTCACACGTTCCCGGTTCACACGGTGTGCGGCCCTCCAGGACACCCCCCCTGCTTCGTGCCAGTTCTCCAGCGCTTTTAGACTCTGAGGCTCTGCGGGCAGCTGGGCCCCACCGCCAGGGCCCCACCGCCAGGGCCCCACCGCCAGGGCCCCACCACTTACTCCATTTTGCGTCAGACGGCCAATTGTGCACAGGGACAAAGCCACAGCCACGCTTGTCAATGGTTACCAGGCTGGTTTTTGGAAGCTCCTGCCCGGGACCGGCTGGGGCCGTCCCGCTGTGGGCAGTTGGCACAGGGCGGCCCGAGGGCTGTGGAACGGGGCCCAGAACCACTCAGACACGTTTTATTCGTTTCCTTTGTTCTTCAAATCAGGCGCCCAAATAAATTATTAGCACAGCTGCTTCCAAACCTGGGCAGCCACGAGCCGGGCTGAAAATCCAGCGAGCCGCCGGGAGCTGCACCGCGGCACTGCCGGAAAGCGGGGCGCGGCTCACACCGGGCACAGCGTGCGCGAGACGGGGCCACGGCCGCGCGCCTCACAGCTGTGAAACCGCCCCGTGCCCACGTGCTGGAACGAACCACGTGCCTTAACACGAGTGTTTGCAGACGGAAGGTGATGGTCTCCGCAGGTGTTCACCACTGACGAGACGCTTCCTGAGCCGAGGGAAGTTTTGACGACGCTCTCGAGTCCTCACACCCACCTTCACACCATCACGGCCTCTTCTGCGACTCGGGCCCTGCCCTTTGGGGTGGTTTTTGATTTGATCAGAATTGTTACCAAAAAACAATGGTCGAGTTTTAAGACAGGAAAAATTGTAAACCTATTTTTGTGACTTAAGACTTTTTAAGAGGACACACTGGAGATTTTTTTTTTAACAAATGTCTATTTATTAATGTTCAGAACACTGGAATTACAACACAAGAGTCTGCAATAAATTAAGATTTTTGAACATGTGCTTCTGCTGTGCTGGTCTCCACCGCCCTGCCCCCTCTTCCTGAGGCAGCTGGGGAGGGGAGTGCGGACAGGATGCTGAGGACAAGCTGGGGGGGTCGGGGGGAAGGAGCTATACTGGAACTTTCTGCCCATTCTCCTGACAAGTGTGCATGAGCTGGTCTCCTGGTATCTTTACACGTAGCTCTCACCGTGTGCAGAGGCCCAGCCGGGGCCTTTCCCTCAGGGTCGGTGCAGGTGGGGGAGTGACGGCCCGGCAGTGGGGGTGCCCATTAGGGAAAGGGGGGCAGGGGGAACAACTGTCCTACTTCTCAGCCCCCACCCCTCTGGCCTACCACGGTCTTCTGCAGGTCACCTGGGGGGATATGACCCGAGTCTGCCGGCCCTCTGGTGCGTGGACAGGGCAGTGGGAGAGGCCAGTGTCCCAGCTCATGAACTTGGCCCGAAGGCGCCCCCTGGCTGACAGCTGCTGCTGAATCTGGAGGTGATGCACAAGGTGGCCTTCCAGTAGGCCCCTGGCCTCAAGGGCACACGGAGGGCAGCAGAGGGGGGGCAGACTGCCAGCTGGAAGGTGGCCCTGGGCCTGTGCCCCGCCCCCCACCTTTCTGCACTGGCGGCGGCCCGCCACTGGGGGGCACTGTGCCGGTGGCTCGGGCAGCCCCTCCCCTGGAGGCCTGTGCCGGGGGCACCTCCACCCAGCTGCCCTTCCTCCCTGCTGCCCTTCCTCCCCTTCCCCTGCCCTTACCCGGGGTTGGGTGGGCGCGGCGGAGCCTTCCCAGGCGGGGCCGCGGCTTACAGCTGGGCTCGCGGGCACCACGCCCAGCCAGCAGGGCAGTGAATCGGGAAACGTGGGCCCAGGGGGGCCGCGTTCGGCCCTCCGAGTGGCCAGAGCAAGGGTGGGGTTTCAGTTCCGCCTCCACTGCCAGTCCCTTGTCCCCGCGGCCAGCCAGTCCTAGCGCGGAGTGGCAAGGGCCGCGAGCTGTGGTCCCCTCCTAGCTGAGGCCAAGCCCCACCTCCCGGGATGCGCTCCTTGACCTGGATCACAGGATGGCTCCCAGACACCTCGGGGCAGGCCCACTCCCCCCTTGCGGCCCCAGGAGCCTCCTGCGGGGTGGCAACCTGGCGGTGGGGGGCGTGGGGCTAAGGGTGGGGAGAAGGCAGACCGAGGCGGGGGCTGGTCTAAGGAGGGGGGACAGTGGGGGGTTTCAGCTCTTTGGACAGTGCCGCTTCCCCTGTCAGATGGTGTGGAGTGAAAACTTTGCTCTGGCCACGGTCCCAGCACCTTGACCATCACTGAAGGGGCCTCTGGTCCTACCTCTGGGAAGGGGGACTGGCCCCTTGCCCTCAGCCCCACTCAGCAGCTTGGCCTTAAAGCCCCCCAACACCGCAGGCTATCACCCCCACACTGCGTCGCACTAAGCCAGCCACGGGGCCCAGCGCACTGTGTGCCCTTTACCCCAGGCTGGCAGGGACGTGGGGTCAGGCCTGAGGCCGACCCCCCTGCAAGTGAAGCCCCCACGCCGAGGCCGAGGCAGGTGCCGAGTGGTGCCTGGTCCAGGCCTCCCTTTCCGGCTGCGCGGAACGGCGGCCGCTCTGCTCTGCAGCACTGTCCTGACGCACGGGGGGACCCAAGGGCAGCTGGACGCCGTCTACACACAGGTCTTAGTCGTTCCTCCCCCTCCCGAACCCCGACATCTGACTGCGTAGATCTAACCCCTGTCCCTGCCGGCCTCCTTACCCCAGCCACGGCCCACCTGGTCTCCCTCCCGTGCAGAAGGAAGCCCGCCTCTCACGGTAGCCCTCTGGGGCCTGTGATCTGCCTCGGGGGGGAGGGGGGCTTGGACCCCTGGCACCGAGACCCAGGGCTAGTCCTGTCACCACTAGAGGCCCTGAAGGGCAGGGGCCACGTGACAACCTTCCGAGGTGCTTCTCCAGCAGCACCATGCCTGGAGAGCTATGCTAGCTCTGGTCTAGAACCTTCTATCCAGAGAAGACAGGGAACCACACTTCTAGCCCCTGGCTTAAAGCACCAAGACTCTGCTGGGTCTGAGGCCAGTGAGAGAAGGAAGGCCAGGCTCTGTCCTCAGCAGAGCAGGGGGGCTGAGCCCTTGGGGCAAACCACCGGGAGCCAGGAGGGGGCGCTGCCCGTGCCCAGCCCCCCTCGGCAGGGCAGGCAAGCGGGAGGCGGTGGGGCCTGGACACAGTCTCCTGCCCGCCCATCTGACAACAACTCCCACGGCCGCGGGCACAGCCTCTCCGCACTTCCCGCCCCCAAGGCCCGGGGCTGCTGCCCAGCGGGGCCCTTACTGCGCGCAGAGCAGGGAGCAGGTGGTGGTCGCCCCAGGACCAACATGCCCCCGGGCCAGGCGTGCCTGTCCCCGCTCAGCACAGCTGGCTCTGAGGTTCCTCGTTCTCCCCTGCCCAGCAGTCCTGGGCCTGGCCTGCGCCGCCCTCACGCCACGGCACACGCGCGTGCCTATGCCACGGGCTGTGTCCCCTGCAACAGGGACGGCGAAACCCTCGTCCCCAGCGTCACGGTGTTCCGGGGAAAGGCCTTCGGAAGGCACTCGGGTCACTTGGGGAGGGGGGGCCTGCAAACGGGATTAGGGCTCCTGTAAGAAGCCCCAGACGGACCCCTCACCCTCTGGCTTCGTGAGGACGGGGGAAGCTCGGCCGACCCCGCCGGTACCCTGACCTCGGACTTCCGGTCTCCACAACTGCGAGGGGCAAACATCCCTTGTCTGCAAGCTGCCCCACCTGAGGTGACCGGCGCCAGCAGCCCCGACGGACTGAGACACACGGGCACATGCGGCCAGGGCCCCCTGGGGCCTTCCCTGTGACTGCAGCCAAGGCGCGGAGCTGTGAGCGGGGGTGGGGGCCCCGGGCCTCGGCCCCTCACATGCGCCGAATGCGCCTTCGCAGGCGGGGACTCGGCTCCAGCCCGTCACCCGCCACAGCTGAGGGAGGGCTGGGGGGGGCGGGAGGCCGCCGGCACCCAGCCTGAGCCGGCACCCAGCCTGAGCCGTCACCTGCCCGTCGGCACCCGAGGCTTCCAACCCCCAGGAGACCCCGTCAGAATCTGCATCCCAGACGTTTTATTGGCTGCCGACCCCGCCGCCTCGTCCGCAGGTCCCCTGCGTGCCTGCAGCTGGGACACTTTCGTGGGGGACGAAAGAGCAACTCTCCAAGTGGGGTACTTGGGACACACCCAGCAAGTCCTTCGGGCCAGAGCACCAACTTGGAGAAGACGGGGCAGGCCCTTCGGGGCTCTCCTGGGCTCTGGAGGCTTTCTGGAACCTTGGCCCCCCCAGACGGCGCTGGGGCGGCACACCCCGCCGGGCCCCCCCCCCCGCTGCCCACCTCCAGGCTGTTCCCCCGTGTCCGCCTCTAGCGCTCACCAGCAGCGCCCGCCTCCTTCAGAGCGTCGGACCCGACCCCGGGCCACTGCCTGCGCCATCGCTGGGGCCCTCGGTGGCCACCCTGGACTCGCTCTTGCCCTTCTGGAGGACGTAGGCAGACGGCCCCAAGCGCAGGATTTTCCCGCTGCCCAGACACTCGTCCCCTTTGTAGAAGACGGCGAACTAAAAAGGAAAGGGCCTGTGTCACCCGCAGTGGGAGCTGGTACCAGGCGCCCACAAGGAGCCAGCAGTGTGGGGGAAGAAGGGGGGGAGGGGCAAAGCATTGCCCCTGGGGCTTTCTGTCCCAGCCCCCAGGGACCAAGACAGGGCAGCTGGGCCCCCTGGGTGGCCAAGCAGGAGCAGGCGTCACTGCTGTCTTGCCTGGGGGGGGGGCCTGCTGGGCACGGGGCTGGCCGTGGCGTCCACCCTGCGCACCGACACCCACCCTGCACGTCAGCCCCCGCCCCGCCAGGAAGAGTGGAGCACTTCCGGAGCACGAAGCCCACCGGCCAGAGCCCTCTTGGCCTGGTGGGTCCCAAAGCCCAGGCCCCCCGCTCCACCCCACTCCCCTCCGCTCAGGCTTGGTCACGTGAGGCCCCGTCCTGCCCTGCAGCTGGGCTCCCCCTCCTCCCTCTGCGGCACCACGCGAGGCCGGGCGTCCCCCACTCACCTGGCCCGTGGCCAGGGCCCGCACAGCCTTCACGGCCGTCACCCACACGGTGCCGTCTTGATTGAGGGTCAGCACGCAGGGCACTGTGTACGAGAGACGGGGCCTTGGAGGGGGCACCGGCCTCCCCACGTGCGGCCGGCCCCAGGCCACACACCCCGGGGAGCGAGGAGCACCAAGCAGCTGGGGCGAGGGGCCCACGGGTGCACAGCGCCACCTGCTGGCCGGCCCGCCACAGCCGGAGGCCCTCCCCGCTTCACAGGCAGGGGAGGCCAAGCTGCCCCCTCTCCCCCGCCCCCTCGTCACCCAGCCTGACAGTGGGGGACGGTCTGGCCGCAGGTCTCGCAGCCACTGCCCTAAACTGGACTCCTCTGTTGAAGGGACCCTCCCGCTCAGTCACCTAGCGCCATCTGGTGGCGGAAGCGGAAGTGGCACTCCATCATCTTGTCCCGGACCAGGGCGGCGGGCGGCTCCTCTGCGATCCAGTGCACGCGGCTGGTCCGCAGCAGGTCCCGGTACAGAGCCGGGTGGTCCGTGCGGGGAGCCTGCGGAACGGGACGCGCAGGTCAGGACCCCGAAGCCCTGGGCAGACGGGCCGCCCAACCTGCCTGCCGGTAACTGCAGTGTCTGCCACGGATGCTCCCGAGACTGTCCCGCAGCTTTCTGTCCCCATTCCGGAAGGGAGGAAACGAAGGCCCAGGAGGCAGCGCATCTCCTCACGGTCACACTCGGCGAGCAGCCGACCACACTCAGCACTCGGCCTGCAAGTTCAAGCCTCACTGTCCACCATCCCCTGCCCGGGGCACGGGCCCGCCACGCTGCTGGCGTGTCTTTCAAAAAGGTCACCTCAGGGGCGCTCAGCTGGTTAAGCGTCCGACTTCGGCTTAGGTCATGATCTCACAGCCTGTGGGTTCAAGCCCTATGTCGTGCTCTGTGCTGACAGCTTGGAGCCTGGAGGCTGCTTCCGATTCTGTGTCTCCCTCTCTCTAACTCTCCTGCTCCCTCTCTCTCTCAAGAAACGAACAAACACTAAAGAAGTTAAAAACGAAAAAAAGGTCACCTCGGGAAGCCCGTCGAACACCAAGTGGCTGCGGAAAGAAGGGACAGGGCAGGCTCCCGGGGGCTGTGCTGGGGCCATCTGCCCCTGGGGCACCTGTCCCTAACCACCAGGCACGGGCAGCCACATGGGGACAAACGTCAGGTGATGACCCTACCAGTTTTTCTCAAAGCAGAAGAAACCACTGACGTTTTCCTCTAGAACCACTTTGATTCATACATGAGCCCAACCCCTGTCCCCATTTCCATGCCCACAGCTCTTCTGGGAAGGAGACACCCAGAATCGTGAGCGAGGCTGACTGGCCTCTCGCTGGGGTCTAGGAGAAGGTCCCCCAGCGGTGTGACAGCACGAGATGGCACCCGCTCTCTGGGCAGGGTCCCTGTCAGGGGGCGGGGCTCGCCTGCAGGATGGAAGCAGCGCCCCTGCCTCCTCTCCACCCACCAGGGGACGCTGCCGAGTGTCCTGGGGCGCAGGGCAGACTCACCCCCTTTGTGAAGCCCTGCTCTAGCGCCCGGGGACGGAGGGTCGCGGGAGTTCGGGGCCCCGCAGCAGCACACAGACTGGTCTGGTCCTGACTCCGCCACTTGCGTCGGTTCAGCAGTGACTTGCCGGAGCCCGGGCAGGCCCCGTCCCAAGCACTGACGCTACCTCCTCCCTGTGGGGCCCCCGGCCGCTTTCGTAAAACTCAGGAAGACCACATCTACGCACAGCGGCTGACGTCATGACCGCCTGAGCGACCGACGGACGGCAAGACCCTAGTAAGTACCCTAAACAAAACCCTCTGGCACCTGGGGACAGTCCCCGGAGGGCGCAGAGGAGAGGCACGGCGGTCCGTCCATCCCTGCCGCTCTGCGGGGCCGCTCCGGTCGCAAACACTGGTCGCAAACACTGCGCGCTCTGCCGGAAACAGACCTCCGTCACCTGCCTCCGCGGCCGGGCCCACTCACCACAAACACGTCGCCCTTGGCGCCGTCCTTCTCCACCACGTACCAGGGCTCGCGCAGGCCGCCGATGTTAGCTCTCTGGCCCAAAGTGTACAGGAACCAGCCTGCGGAGGGACCGCTTCTCAGGGGCCTGGCACCAGCGCCCCTCGAACAGCGCGCCCCTCCCAACCAGAAGGGGAGGGCAGGGCAGGGGGCGGCAGTCAGGAGGCCCCGTGGGCCACCCGGCCGAGCGTGTCCAGTTCTGGGCCCAGGACTGGGCGACGCTGGACCTCGCAGCCCCGGAAGGGGCCACCTGAACCACGAGCAGCAGGAAAGTCCTTCAGAAGGTGACCCGGGCGTCATCGGGACCCACGACCCCTCCTTGCAGTGGGAGCAGCCCCTCTGATGCACGAGCCGCACGGGGGCCCTGGCATCCGGCCCCCCGACTGCTCTGTGTGCTCCCCCGCCCCCACAGGGAAACATCACCAGACCAGAGGGCCAAGCCGCCACCCCCGCCCTCCCTCCAGAGGGGCTCACAGTGCCCTGAGTCACGCTGCTGGACACGGGCTGGCAGCACCCTGCAGCCCTGTCCCCAGCAGCGCTGTCACCTCCTCCCGTCTCTGCCTGGCTCCCCAGGAGCAAGGGATGGCCAAGCCCACCCCCAACAGAAAAGTGAAGCCATCAACCCAAACTGGGGTGGGGGGGATTCCAAAGAACCAAGCGAGCCTGTGGCCGGGTCTGAGCGCCAGCCCTTGTCCCTGCAGCAGGTCAGGCACGTTCCCGGTCAGGAGCTACCTGACCACCTGGGCCCGCGGGCTTCTCCGGGCAGCCAAGGGCACAGACCCACCACCAACCCGACGCCTACCCCGCACTGGGCTGTGAATGCTGGAGCCCCATTAGTCGGCCGCAGCCCCCCCACACCAGCTCTGTGCAAGCTCACAGTGCCCCCTACAAATGTCTGCGCATGAGCAAGCGGCAGCCCACGGGCAGCACCGCTACCGTACGCGGACACCTCTGACCCTGCCTCCTCCTCGGTCTACACCCAGAAGCTCACGCTCTGGGATCAAGCGACCGCACTTCTGCGTCAGTCAGGGTGGGATTCTGTGTTCCAATGCTTTCTCTGCACACGGAGAGAAGGTAACTGCGTGTGCGCGGCCAGAGCCCGTAACTGGGGAGCGAAGGCTTTCGAGCGGATGCACCCCTCTCTTAGCTGCCAGCGCCTCCGGGTCACGGCCGCCACCACGCTCCCTCGCTCACCCGCGACCCCCACCCCGCAGGCTTCTCTGACTCATGGGCAGATGTGGAAGGAATTACAGGCTTCACGTCTGAATCTCCCCCCCACCCCCCCGAAACTCCCCCGGACTCAAGATTAGGGCCAAGGGCGGCCAGAGGCGGTGTCTCACCTTTATGCATTCCCAGAACTCTATTGTCTTCTATGGAAATAAATTTACCAGGCCGAGGCTGCAGATACTGAAAAACAAGCAGTTCCTGAGTAACGGGGGCAAGTCCAGGGCAGAAACGGCCCCTCACGCAGCAGAGAGCACTCACCTGAAGGATGAAGTTCTCAAAATTTCTTTTGCCCACGAAACAGATGCCCATGCTCTGGAACGAAAGGAGGGCCGGGCGTGAGGCGACCAGACAGGCAGCAGGCGTCCGTACGAGGCCCAGCCAGGCCGGGAGAACGAGGCCGGGCCTCCCCGCCCGCCCTGAGCCTCAGCCCACCTCCGGGCGCCGCGCCAGCACCCACGGACGCCAGTCACACCCGCCAACTGACCCCAAGGGGCCCACGGAACCTCTTAGCCCCCAGCGTCCGTGTAAGGCCCCCGACCTTAAACCCTGTGAGCTAAGCGAGGCTGCATCACGTCCGCCCGGCCGGGTGTGGCCCCTGCACTGCAGCTGCCCCAGGACAGCGAACAACAGTCACCGTCCGGAGCCACGGGGGACACGGGGGCCGGAGCAGGACCAGGAAGCAGAGGGGCTGGGCCAGAAGCTGGAGCCTCGCGGGAGAGTCCGAGGAAGGGAGGGCGCCCTCCAGGCGGCTTCCTCCTGCACAGAAGACGCGTCCCGCGGCCGCTCCGTCCCACCACGGCTTTCGGGCCTGTTCTCCGCGGTGCGTCTCTGCGGCGCCCCCCCTGCCCCCCCCCCCGCTCCCACCGCAGAGCCACGCCCCGAAACCGAGCAGGTGAACAGAGGAAAGGAGATGGTGGCTAGAGGGATGGGTCAAGGGTGTCGTCCCTGGGGACGACTCGCTGACGAGAAGCACGGCCACGCTCATTCCTGGCCCTGGGCGTGGTGTGGTGAGCCCAAGCGCACCGTCCCCGCACTGAGCCTCCCCTGCGCCCGCCTCACCTTCACTCCAACGCACAGGCTCTTTCCTGCCGCGGGGCCCTTGCACCTGCTCTTCCCGCCACTGGGACTGCCTCCCCCCAGCCCCCTCTGTGACACTAAATCCTATTCATCCTGAGGTCTCAGGTTAAACGTTAACTCCTTGGAGCCCGACCCTGGGTCGAGCCCGATCGAGTTGGAGCCCACTGGTGTGAGCAAGTCCTCGCACGGGAGCCCCTCATTTCCCACGCAGGTGTCGTCTAATCTCACGACGGTTTGGTTTGTGTCCGTCTCCTGTCATCTGAGCCCCACGAAGCAGGAACAAAGACCGCATGTGCTCCTCACCCGCCCTCACAGGCCCGCAGCACAGCGCCCTCGGGCCCGCGGCGTCTCGGGGCCTGGTCCCCGCTGCGCCGTCCTCCCCCCGCAGGCTGGGCCTAGAGACCCCGACAAGCCACCACGGCTGTGAAAGCGGCCCAGCCCAGGGCCCCGCGGAGGGCACGGCCGGGGGGAGGAAGTCCCGTCTCAGCGGCCTTCTCAACGCTCATGCCGCCTCCCAGCACACGACCCCGGCTCTCTCCCAACGTTCGAGCCTGGGCAGGACGCGGCGCGGTGACCACAGGGCCCTGCCTCGCCCCAGACCGCGGAGAGGGCGACATGAGCCCAGCCCCCTGGGCCCTACCTCTTTCTTCTGAAGCACGTGCTGAAGTCTATTCTCTGCTGCTATTTTCTTGACAAAATCTTTCGTTAATCCCCCCAGAGGGAAGAGGCTTCTCCTCAGGGCATCCTGGGAAACCTGGCTGAGAAAGAAGGTCTGGTCTTTAAAGCTGTCAGCTGCTTGCAGAAGTTTTACCGCTGCCAAAAGCAAAGAACAAAACATGTCGCAGAAATAAAAATAATGGTACTTTGCTCTGAATGACGTCTTTCTCTCTACTTAGATAACCCCCGACCTGTCAGAAGCAAAATCCAATACTCAAAAACAGACTAGTACAAAGAAAAAAACCCAACAATCACTGAGGTTAAGGGGAGAAAAGTCTCCCTCCTAATTCATCTACCATTAAAACGACACAGGAATGGGGCGCCTGGGGGGCTCAGTCGGCTAAGCGTCCGACTTCGGCTCAGGTCATGATCTCACGGCTCGTGGGTTCAAGCGCCAACTGGGTTCTGTGCTCACAGCTCGGAGCCTGGATCCTGTTTCAGAGTCTGTGTGTCCCTCTCTCTCTGCCCCTCCCCTGCTTGTGCACGCGCGCTTCCCTCTCTCTCGCTCTCGCTCTCAAAAATAAACATAAAAAAAAAAAGTACAGGGAAGATAGATTTTAGATGATAAGGAAGTTTATTCTTGTTCACACGTTAGATGAGGGTATTTTAAAGCTGAAACACCATGTGAAGACATTAAGTATTGAGAGAAAGCATCTAAAACGCAGCCGTGTGGGAGGGAAGTGGGTGACGGGCCCCCCCCGGGCAGCCCCGAGGTGGGGTCAGCTGTTGGGTCCCTAGGCCGCCCCCGCGCCACGCCCGGCCGCCCCTGGGCCCCAGGCCAGCAGCGGTGCCCTAGAACACACTCCCTTTCTCAGCTCAGCGGTTCCCGTTCAGAGTTGCCCAGATGCCCGGCCAGTGCCCCGGGGACCCCGGGTCAGAGGCGGCGGCCCAGCGCCAGCGCTTCCACAGCTGTGACCGTCAGGTTCCCGCTCTGAGGTTCAGGGACCGATGGGAAAAGCCACGCAGGCCCCCAGCATGTGGTGCCGAGGCCGCCCATCACCCTGAGAACACGCGTGCGCCTGTCGGCCTGGCCCAGTCCCGTGAGGAGCATGCGCTCTGCGGAGGTCATGCTCACCCATGACCTCAAACAGGATTCTCACTTCAGTTGTGAGAGGCTGGACTCTCCCCATTTCACAGATGGGGAAACTGAGGTTGGGATCACTGAAGAGGCTCAACGCAACGGTGCGGGTGCCGAGTGGCAGGGCTGGAAACCAGCAGCCGCCTGGGCCCTAGTCCACAATTTTCCACGTGCAAAGCAACAGAGTCAGCTAAAACGCAAAACGGAGCTCAGCCAGCCAGCCGTCGGCAGGCACACTCATCTGCCTAATGCTCCTTGTTTCAAAACGAAACCCGGTCAAGCAGCATTTACCTAAAAGCCCCAGGACCCTGGGAGCAACTGGCGTTTCCTCACAGTTCGGAGTTTTTTAAAACAACCTCAAAACCTAGGATTTTTAAAAAAGAAAGCCGATGATCGTAAACGGCGGGAAGGAGTATCTGGGAGGATCTGCTCGTGCCAGGAACCTTCTGGACACGACCTCACAACCCGGGCCGTGGCTGGCAGGCGGCGCCCCCCGCTCTGCACGGGGCGGGGCAGGGGGAGGACCGGACCCAAGGCCGGCTCCGGGTGTGTGCACACTCGCTCTGGGTGCCCTGTGCGCGCTGCCCCCAGGGGCCCAGGCCAGAGGCACTATCCCAGGTCTCCGGGGCAACTAAATAGGAATCAAATAAAAAGCTCTAGCGCCTAAAAAACACGCTAAAATCAAAGACAATGTTATGTTATTACGACAACTACGCATTAAAATTACTTGACAAAACAGAGCTCAACGCAATCACAAGTTTCAGAGTGCGTGTGGCCAGCAGAAGGGTCCGGACAGCTCTGGAAGGCACCCAGTTCTCTAGGAGAGAAGCAAGCGGGCCTGCTCCCCGTGGAATCAAATCCTTCATGCACTCAGGACCCTAAAATCCGTATTCACTTGGTGAAGCCCGCCATGGTGTTCCCAAGTGGCAGGTGTACGTTCTTCCCGACGCAGAGGCTTCTGGAAGAGCGGTTGTGGGGCAGCCGGGAGGGAGGCCGAGGAAACCCGGCCAGGCGCAGAGCCACGGAGGACATGCCGGGCAGACCCGGGCTGAGATCCGCTCTCCGGGGCAGGCTCTCGCACACAAGAGTCGCGGCCCTGAAGCTTTCCTTTCCAGGAAGCAACTTCATTCCTGCCGGCCCCGCGCAGCTGGGTTTGTGCCCAAAGATCTGAGCCCCGAAGGCCACGGGGCGGTTTTTTATGTATTTTTCCTTCTCTGTCCCCCATACGTGGTAACACGCAAACATGCAGTCTGATTAAGTGGTCTCATGTTACAAGGTCACGAGGAATGTTATCACGTACGCATAGAGCCAGGCTGCCTTGAGGTTTTTCTTTCTTTCCTTAGGGAGGGGACCCGACCACAGTACCACCAGAGGCACCCTGGCCAAATGACTTCATCCAAGCCTCAGTTTCCTCATCTGTGAAATGGGGCAAGAGCATCCACCTCCGCTCTAAAAAGAGCCACATGGAACGCTGGCCCATGACAGCCGGGCTTGGGGGGGAAGGGGGAAGGGGAAGGCGCCGTGAGCCAGGCGGTCCCCAGGCTACATGCACAGAGATGCCAGCTCTTTAGCACTCCCACAACGATGGAAACTTCTCCCTCAGACACGGCTTTGGGCCCCGTTCTGCCTCTCATTGCAGTGACGTGAATTCCTCTTTCCTATGCATAGACGTACACCAGGGCAAGCCAGCAGTTGGGCGTTTTTCTAGAAAGGTGGAACCGTGCTCCCTCTAACACGGACACACTGATGTGCACACATAATCTCTGTACGGGGACTTTCTGCCGCCTGAGCACCAGGCCCCTGCGCCACACTGAATCCGCACCTCAGTCTCAAGCCCTCGAGAACCTGACGGTAAGGGACAGGGCCTGTGAGCATGTCGGCTACCAGATACCTCCTCCAATATCACGGGGACCCTCAAACCACTGGCACCCAGTGTGCAGACCTGGGCCGTCCAGCACAGATGCAGGCTCCAGCCGGTGGGTGCCCAGGCTGCCCACTCCCGGGCTCCAAGAGCACAGCCCTCTTGGTAACCGTTCTTTTTCAAAACAAGAAAGCTGCAAGCTAGTCCGGAACACAGAGACCTGGAGGGCTCGCCTGCCCCTGCCCAAGACTTTTCCCTCTGTGCGCAGCTACTTCGGGGCTGACCTGGGCGTGTACACTTACGATTTCTAACTTCAAATCGGTTTCTGAAAAGCCCTTCTGGCCTCTTAATGTGCTTCTGCTGAAAGACTTCCTCATCTTCCAGCGACGTTCTGGCATAGTGACCCGTGGCGACTGCATCTGCTCCTGTGAGGTTTTAAAAGCACAAGGTCAAACCTCAGACGTGCAGTGGCCGGCCGTGGCCTCCTCGGGCCTGGGGACCTTAATGACGCCCGCAGACGCCAGGCCTCGGACTGGACGGTCTGCAGAGGGTCCGCGTCCCGACTGAGGTCGGTCCAGGGGAGGGAGGCTCACCTTTAACTCTGCATTTACACTGACACCAACCGGCTACAAGGCTTCAGTGCAGCTTTAAGAATCTTTAAGAGCCCACAGCAATCACACACCAGATGCCTGTCTCCACACACTCAAAATCAAAGTCAACGCACAATCCAGGAACCTGTCCCTCCCTGCCGGAATAAACCGGAGCTAAATGTCAGCCCCCCGGACGTGGCCCACTGGGGCGGGGCATGGCAGATGCCTTTCCTTCCTGACACCGGACCACCAGGTGAGCTCAGGCCGTGGGCGGGCGGCGGACACCAGCCTGCAGGCTCCCCGGCCGCTCCAGGCGGCGGGGGCCCCAGATCTGCACCCAGTCGCCTACGAGAATTGATCGTTGAGCCCGGTTAGCAAATCTGCATTTATCTCTGCGTCGTTCATGTCTCACATTAGTCACTCAAATCGATCCAGACTTTTGAAGTCTGTTTTGCAGGCATCATCATGGCCTGGGAACCAATGCTCTGCTGTCCCCTCAGCTGCGGTCACTTGTACACTCGATCTGCAAGCCTGCTCTGGGCCACCAACCCGCCAGTCACTATGCAGCACTGACAGGACAGAGAGGCCAGCAGTCCAGCGACCACTGGGCCACTGGCCCATGACCGTCACGACAACATGTCTTGGCACGTGGCGGACATGGCAGGGTGAGCCGCACAGGACAGAACGAACGGAGGGGCCGGAATGAGGAGCCCCAGCAAGGGCAGGACTCAGGAGCGAGACGTGGGCCTCACAGCGGCAGACCCCACAGGTGGCCCGAGCAAGCAGGTCAGCATGGGGGAGGCTCACGCAGAGGCAGAGGGGCTCCCCAGGGGGCAGACGGAAATGAGGAAGGGGAACTACCAGAACAGACACGATCTTTAGGTCAGCTGTCTACAGGCAGCAGGGCCTTGATGGGTCTTTTGTTTGAGAATGAGCGCGTGGGCATGCCGGGCAGGGACGGGGGGTGGGGGGGGGGTTCCCAAGCAGCCTCAGACTCCAAACGGAACCTTATGCGGGGCTCGATCCCATGACCCCGGGATCATGACCTGCGCAGAGATGAAAAGTCAGACGCTCGACTGAGCCACGCAGGCTCCCTCGATGGGCTTTTACAACAAAACACCAAAACGTGGCTTCAAATCCAGAGAAACAGAGACCCGGAATGAGGTACAGACCCAGACCTGTTCTCGGGGCAGAGCAGAAAGCCAGAGAAAGCCTCAGCAAGACTAGCAGAAAGGAGGACCAGCAAGAAACCAAACGCTGGCCTTGCTAAGCTCCAGCTCGGGAAGATTCCGCTGACCATTGTCACGCCCGGAACCTGCGCGGCTCCGAGCAGACTGGGCCTCAGCTCTCAGCCCTTCCCCGGTGACCCTGTGTTTCCTCAGGACATCCTCAAGTCCGGGCTCCTGGATCGACAGCACACTCCTCACCCCCTCGCGGTCCGCAGTGAAGACGCGGGCTCTCCTCCCTGCAACTCTGTCAGTGCATATTGCCAGAGAGTTCTCTCTTACTCAGTGAGATACAGGATATTATCGTTTTCACTGCTCCCTTTCCTTCTGGAAGATGAGACTTTACGAGGAGCTGTCTTCTACCTCTGAAAACCTTCTGACTTTCCAAAGATTAAATGGCAACAATGAAACTACTCACCAAGATTGTCCACAGCATAATGGAAAAAACAGCTGAATTTGATATGCTTGTTGCAAACTATGTCAGGATTGGGAGTCCTTCCTTTCTCATATTCACTTAAAAAGTCACTGGAAGAGAAGAAAAAGACTTTCATTTCTAAGTGCAAAACGTTCCTCAAAAACATCACTCTGTTAGATCACTTGCTTAACTTAGCTTCTCCTCCGCTTCCCAAAGCTGTAACTTTCTGTAACACAGGGGAGCTTCGGTATTTACATCAAACATTCATTTAAAGCCACAGCACTTTTCATCTGAATCTATAACGAATAAACCTGGACAGAAAGGCTATCAGCTGCCACTACAGCTTGGCAGCCATTCTGTCACCCCCCCCTCCAGAGGCTCACAGGGCACGCTGGATGGGACGGGAGTGACTCTCTTGGCTCCAGCCTCCCTTGGCTTCGCCATCAAAGGGAGGCTTGAGCGAAGAACATGCTGGCGACAGAGGGGGAACGCAATCAGCCAGGGCTGCAACCCGGGGCTCTATTAGCTATTCCACCATCAGCCTGGAGACCCAGGGCGCGGGGCAAACCTGCCAATAGACACTTCTCCACCGTGGCTGCCGTGCCCCTGCGGAGGGCTCCATGCGGCCCGGGCAGCGGCTCGCCAACCAGCGGGACTCCGGCTCTAACCGGCTGGCTGACCGCATGGGGCAGAAGGCTCAGCAAGAGCTTTCCATCTTAGGTCCTCACTTCTGGAGGGTTCTATCTGTATGTGCACTCAGTTAAAGGTTGTACTGCGGGCATTTGGGCTCATGTCGCTCCTCCCTGACCCACGACGATGACAGACAATAACGCTGACCGAGTAGACAGACTAAAAACCTGCACAAGGTCACAGTCACACCTGCACCTTCAACCTCAGGAGGCGATGCCAAACTGCGCTCCTCCCGCCCGTGACCCACTCAGGAACGGCTAAAACTTGCATTGCTCCATATTTCAATGTCTTAATTGTTAGACATTTGTCGAGGGTTTTTTTTAATGTTTATTTTGAGAGAGAGTAGGCGCAAGCAGAGGAGACACACAGAGAGATGAGAGAGAATCCTAAGCAGGCTCTGCGCTCTCGGCATAGAGCCCAACATGGGGTTTGAACCCACAAACTGTGAGACTATGACCTGAGCTGAGATCAAGAGTCAGACGCTTAACAGACTGACCCATCCAGGCGCCCCCAAGGTTGTCAAGAGTTTTATTAAACTGAAAACTAGTTAAGGTAGAACCTGTGCTTTAGTCTTATGTCCACGGTCCCCAGAACGTTTTCTATGTAACAAGCATCGAGTGAATGTTAAAGAGGCTAAACGTTTACACTGGTTTCTGAAAGCCGTGCCAGCCGTTCACCACGCGCTGTAACAGAAGACAGGCCAGTGGCATCAACAAGAACCAGTGAGCACAGCCTGTTCCGGGAGGGGGAGAAGCCCTTCCCTGCCCCCGCGGCGGAGACGGCAAGCAGCAAGGACATCTGCACGCTGACCCCTGAAGGCCAAGGGGGCCTTGAACAGGATTCAGAGATCTCTGCGCCACAGGGTGCTACCTCTACATCCCCAGATGCGGCACTGCCCAGTCACTGCTGGGACTGCAAGATTTTCATTAAGTTTTATTTATGTGCGTGATCTCTGCACCCCATGTGGGGCCCAGCGTCATGACCGCGAGATGGAGGGCCGTGTGCTCGTCTGACTGAGGCTGCCAGGCGCCCCTATTAGATTTTTAAAGTCTTCATGTGTGCGTTTCGTATTTTCAATACGCACAGAGCGGGTCACCTGGTTCTTTTACCCAGAAGCCCCTGGTCACTGAAGAGCACAGGAATCGCCGAGCAGCCCCTCTCGGGGAAGACCTCGGCCTCAGCTCCCTCCCCCAAGTCAGCTCACGGGGGCATTAGAGGGACTTCAGGCAGGCGGCATGACACAGAAGTAAGAGCCAGAGGGGCTCCTGGGGGCTCAGTCGGTTGAGCATCCAACTTCGGCTCAGGTCGTGATCTCACTGTTCGTGGGTTCAAGCCCCGCATCGGGCTCCATGCTGACAGCTCAGAGCCTGGAGCTGCTTCACATTCTGTGTCTCCCTCTCTCTCTGACCCTCCCCTGCTCACGCGGTCTCTCTCTCTCAGAAATAAATAAAACATTAAAAAATTTTTTTTATAAAAAGAAGTAATAGGGTGTCCGGGCCCCGGGCATGGCCTCTAACAAGAGCCCTGGGGGTGGCTGGGGCCTCCCCCGCGGCCTCCGGCACCACCACCAACAGCACCGGCTGCACAGCGCCAGTCGGGCCGGAGGGCCACGCCTTCCCGGGAGGAGGGCCCGGAGCCTGCCGCGTCTGTAGGCGGCGCTCACCTGAACACGCCGTTCCAGTACTCCTTCACGTAGGACACCTGCCGGAACGGGATGTCCAGGATCCGGCACACCCGGTACGCATCCTCGCAGTCTCTGTCGGCAGTGCACACCCCGTGTTCGTCCAGCAAGTCCCAGTTCTTCATGAACACGCCCGTCACCTGGTAGCCTGGGGAAGGGGGAGGCACACAGCGGGGTCCTGCGTCAGCGCTGGGCCAGACGGCAGCGGGCTCTGCGCTCCGGCAGTTCCCGGGGGGCCCCTCCCGCGCCCGTTGCTTCCCCCGGAGACGCCTGCTTGGCTCCAAGGCCTTCAGAGTGACTCACATCTTCGTGCAAGACCCCGGGCCTGCCTGGCCAACATGCCCGCCCCGCCCCCACAGTGCTCTGTAAAGGCCTCCACCACGGCTGGACTGGAACTGTCCGCCCGCGCCCCCCCACCCCCACCCCGAGGTGAGCAAGACCGTGCGTTTTCATCTGCATCCCCCTCCCCGCCCCACGTCAGCACGACGCCCGGCACCAGGGGAGGCTGGCAAAGGGGCGCGGAGTCAAAGAGCAGAAGCTCAGCATCTTTCAGAGCAGGCAGACCCACCGTTCAGTTATCAGAGACAGAAACTAAGTCCCAAGCGTGTTTCCAATGATCACCTAAGACTTCGACTCTAAGTCATCAGACGAGAAGACGATTAAAATTTAGGCTATTTTATTATAAAGGCTGTACTAACCATGTATTTTATGACCCATTTCCCCCCCTTTTCTATTGTAACAAAACCCCCAACCAAATACAGGAAAGATCAACACCATCTCAGTGAACTACCCAGGTGCCTCCCGTGCAGGAGGAATGTTTCCTTATGGGCGCCTCAACTGTAACAAAAGCCAGAACACAGATTCCAAAGAACAGAGACTAGATGACAAAGCTTTGGCAAAAGTAAGGGACACATGGCAAGACCACCCCCACCCAGCAGTTAGTCCGGCCCTCCCCACTCTGCTTCCCAGAGCACCTGACTCCCTTCTCTCTCTCTCTCTTTTCTTTTTTTAAATATTTATTTTTGAGAAAGGGGGAGAGCACAAGGAGGGGAGGGGCAGATACACTCACAAGCATGGAATCCCAAGCAGGCTCCAGGCTCTGAGCTGTCAGCACAGAGCCTGACGGGGGGCTGGAACCTGTGAACCGTGAGATCAGGACCTGAGCCGAAGTCAGATGCTCAACCCGCTGAGCCCCCCAGGCGCCCCCGACTCCCCTTACAGCTCATACCACACTGGGCTCCGCTGGGTGTGTTCCAGCCGGCCCCCTTCTGCACGTCTCCGAAGCACGGAGCTCTTCAAAGGGCCGGGACTGTGCCTCATTCAGCACTTCTGTCCCAGCGCCCAGCAGCGCCCAGCAGCGCCCAGCACAGCACAGGAGCTAAAAAAGTGCTTGTGGAATGGAGAGAACTCCGTGCACAGCTTTAAAAATCCAGTCATCTCCAACGTCATCTGTCTGCTCATTCTTCTCACGGAGGCAGGACTCACTAACAGGGGCACGGGGCTCAGGCACTCTAGGATGGGACCTCCGCGCCTGCCTGTCCTGAGCTTCCCAGGGACACTGGACAGGGCCTCCGACAAGACCAGGAAAGCCCTTGATGCCAGGAGGGGACCGCGCTCTTCCTCTGCCAAGTCTGCCGGCTTCCCCCACTAAGGAGAAAACCCCAGGTAAGGCTGCATGAGGAAGTGACACAGTCTGGATCCTGGAAGGGGAGGTGCTGGGACGGGCAGGGGGGAGTCTCCTTCCTGAAGAACAAAATCGTACATTTAGTCTGCCCTGGCTAGTCATCCATGTCACTCAAAACATGTCACACGTCACCGGGGACCTTCAAGGGCTCTGCATCTTCTGTGCAACCTAGTCTAAAGTCCCTAAAATAACAGCTTCCATAATCAGGGCCCTACATGCTTCTCTGCCCTCCTCTCCTCCCACCTCCGTCTGGCCAGACCCAGCCAACACCTCCACGCCTCTGACCTTCTGCTCCGGCTGCAGACTCTGCCGGAAGCACTTTCCTCCGTACTTCATGCCCCGATCCTCTGCTTAGTGAAATCCTACTCTTCCTTCCTCAAGCCTCGCCTCAAACACCATCACCCTCTGTGATGCTCTGATCTCCCAGTTCTCAAGTTAAGAGATGTTTCTATTTAGAACCTATTACTATGACTTTCACAAAACCTACACTTACTAGCATGTGCTGATAACCACTACTGTCTTCTGAACGCCTGTTATGTGCTGGGCACCGGGGAGAGCCTCTGCGTGTGTTAAGTACTTCCACTAAGCCAGTGAGGTCGGGGTTATCGCCATGTCACAGACAAGGGGAGCTTAACTAAGGGGTCTGGGGTCAGGAACCCCTCATTCACCCCTGCATTCCAAGTGCCCAGAAAGAAAGAGCTCACAGCATGAATGTCGCCAAGTGGCTGAGGGCTCACAAGGGGAAGGAACACACAGATGGGGAATTCGGCTCATCTCGGCTCCCGACCGCGGGCAAACTCTAGACGGCAGCAAGCGCCGCCAGCACCCGGAGGAAAGGCTGTAGCGCAGTGCCCGGCGAGCACGGACGATCCGCCGGCATCTCGGCGCACGCGCTGCCCAGAGACCGGGTCGGTACCGCGAGGACAAGGGGCTGTCCGACGCGTCCCCTGGCCCCGCGAGGGTCAGCTCGTTCGGGGCCGCCTACGGCCTCCCACGGTCAGCACCGTCCCCGCCGCCGTCACTCTGGACACAGAGCTCCGGAGCCGGGGAGAAGCGCGGCCCCCAGGGTCGGGGTCCCTTCCACTGAGTCGGTAACCGGGATGGGGGGGGCAGCGCCCAGGCGGTCGCGCTCCCCCGACCACCCCGTGGAGTGTGAGGGGCACGGAGGTGGGGTCTCCGAGGACCGGTCGCTCACCTCTCCGCCTCAGTAGCAGCGCGGCCACGGCGCTGTCCACCCCGCCGGACAGGGCGCACACGACGTGCCGCGCCGCCTGCATCCGCGCGCCACCAACCTCCCCAACAGCGGCCACCGCTTCCGCGCCACGCCGGAAGTCCCTCCCCCGCCGTGGCGTCACAGACGCGGCCCGGCCGGAAACGGGTGTCCGCGCGCGCGACGTTCCTCCCGTGCGCGGGCTTCCGCTCCCGAGGCCCCGCCCACGCCCCCTGCGCGCGCACCCCGGCTCGGGCTCGCTGCTGCGGCTGCGTGAGGGGCTCCGGGGCGGGGCTGGCGTCCGCCTCCGTGCGCACCTGCTGGCGGGCCGGGGGCGCGCGTGCGGGCCGTGACGCGCTGGACTCGACGAGACGGAGCGTCTCGGCAGCGGGGCGAGTGACCACCCCGGAACCAGAAAGCTGCTCCTGGGCGCCCTGTGCAAGGGACGAGCTCGGCCACCTGGGGAAGAGGTGTACTTGCAGGTAGAACCTTCTAGCCTCGCTTCGAGAATGGCTGCGGGAGGACCGGATGTGTGCGTTCCCGCGGGGGAGCGGCTGCGCGGTCGGCCCCGGCGTGTCAGGTGCCTGGGGAGACGCCGCTGCGCCGAGGGAGGGCAGCCGGGCGGGGGACAGACGGCAGGCACTCAGCCGGGACCCTCGCCGCGCCCGAAGGAAGACGGCGGGAAGGCGGGAGGGGTGGGGGAGGCAGAGGCGGACGCCAGGTAGGAAGCGTGGACGGCGCGGGGCCCGCCGGCGGGGAGGCGGGAGTGAAGACGCGGTCCGAGCGGGGCGCCAGGCGGGCCACCGGCCGGGCCGCGGGCTGGCAGCAGAGGCTGGGGCACGAGCAAAATACGGGCGTTCTGGAAATCAGCGACTCTCAACTTTATTCGCGTCAAACCCAGCGTCACACTTTACAAGGTGGCGCAGAGGACACCCCTACCTACACGAATAAGAATAAAGAACGCTACTCTCGGGGCGCCTGGGGGGCTCAGTCGGTTGAGCGTTCGACTTCGGCTCAGGTCATGATCTCATGGTTCGGGGGTTCGAGCCCCGCGTCGGGCTCTGTGCTGACAGCTCGGAGCCTGGCGCTGCTTCTGATTCTGTGTCTTCCTCTCTCTCTGACCCTCCCCCACTTGTGCTCTGCCTGTCTCTGTCTCTCAAAAATAAATAAATGTAAAAAGATAGAAAATTAAAAAAAAGAATGCTTCTCTAAACGGTTTTTAATTTTTGCAATGTGCCACGTACTTTATTATTTTCTGTTTGGTTTTTTTCATCCTAACATAGTGCAGTCCTCTATATTGATTTTATGTAGAACTCGAACCTTGGTCTGAAAATGCCACAGCGAATGCAAAGTAAATAGCCCATAACACTCACACACACCGAAGCCTCAGGTTAGAATTGCACTAGTTTTTTAATAGTTTCTTAACCGGTTTACAGTGGGCACAAGTGTTTAAACTGGAATGATTATTAAGGCAAGCCAATGTCCTGAGGCCAGGACTGCCCTGAGGTAGAGAGAAATGAAGAAGCCGAGAACTGCCAGTTGGAAAGTCATGGCCACCAGCGCCAAGAGCAGGCACAGGGTGAGCTCACAGGTCACCGGGCCCCTCGGGGAAACAAGAATGACTGCTTTTTCTGAAGAAGAGGGTGTCATCCAACCAAACCTCCAATGAGAGTATCTGTTTCATCTCGCACTTCCCAGAAGAGACGAGTAAACGCAGGATTTGGCCACCTGGCCTTCGGCAAATTTGGGGGTGAACCCTCAGTGGAGTCTGTGGCCATGGCCGAACCACGGGGTGTTTGGGCTCAGTCTAGGGGTCCACGCCCTTCCTGGGTGTGGCCGTTTGGGTCCAGGCCTGCTGCACACAGCGGCTGAAATGTGATAGATTTGCAGCATTCTCTGCTGCTCTTCAGTTAAAGACCAGGTATTTCAGCGACTTTGGGTGGTTCAGCGATGGGAAGGACAATGACCTAAGTGCCACGCGCTAAGAGCGATGGAAGATTAGATTTCAGAGACTTGCACCAGAAAATTAACAATCCACATTAGTGCGTGAAGTTGGGCCTCTTAAACCCGGCAGGGTGGCCCTCTAGTGGCAGCCAAGGTCCTCACCCTGCTGTGCGAGGAGCACCTGTGGAGGCCCCTGTGTGACAGGGCGCCTTAGGTCCCGGCAGCGGGAGGGGGAAAAGAGCCTGGGGAACGCTTGCCAGACAGCGGCTTCAGCAAGACCGGGAGATCAAGCCAGGAAGGAAAAAGGATGACGCCCGTGGGGCGGGAGGTGCTGCCGGCTCCCGCCGATCCGAGGATTAAAACCCTGTTACTTCTGTCCTGCGTGGGGACACTTGTGGATTGGATGGCGCCCCTGGGCCCCAAGAGCCTGGCCACTCCTGAGGCAGCCTGAGGGGAGGGGCCCTGGATGAGGGGAGCCAGGGAGCGGGGCGAGGGCCAAAGGCTCAGCCCATCCCTGGCTTTGGGGGGGGTGCCCAGATCCCCACTAGGTGACCTTATGTTAGCTGAGAGTTTTAACGTCCCTCCCTCCCCCACTAGGTAGGGGTGCCCGAACTCTGCTCCCCGCTGCATCCCTGGGGCGTCTCCATGAACATGGGGGGCGCCGGGCTGGCAAAGCCCGTGGCGCGTGTGACTCTTGATCTCGGGTTTGTGTAGAGATTAATTAAAATTAAATACATAAAACTTCTAAAAAAACAGCATGTGAAGGAATCAAGTCAGTTCCAGGTATGGGGTTTTCCCCTGTGAATCGAGGGGCCACAGCAGACCTCAGACACCCGTGGGACCATAGAGTTCTCGCTGCCCGCAGGCACAGGATCCACGGAGGGGGGGGGGGTCGCCGGGTCCTGCAGGCGCCCTGCTCCCACCAGCAGGAGGGGGTGTTCGTACAGCAAAGTGCGGCGCTCTGAGTCTCACCGCGGCGTATTCAGACGGCTGCGGCAAGGCACTCTCACTTCCGAGCAGCCCAACCTTTAACCGAGAAGCTTCCACCTGCAGGTGCGGCCCAGCTCGTCGCGAGTCCACCTCCCCTCTGCAGACACCACAGAGTCGCCTTCCCGTTCCCGGCGCTAACCGTTAACCAGAAAGAGCTCCAAGCGTGGCCCCGCTCCCCGGCTCTGCGCTCAGCCCTGCAGACCTGGACGCCCAAAAAGCAGGTCCACGTACTACCGTCTGCAGTGAGGCCGCTGAACTAAGACTGAGAAGTTCCCGCAGAACAGGAGGCCTCTATGCACACCAGTGGCTTCCAGGCCCTCTGGTCGTTAGAAAATAGTAGAAGGGCTTCAGGCATGGAACACGCTTTCTGGTGGCCCTTGGCCCCTGCCCTGCCTCCACCCAGGAGCTCCAACTTTAGCACAGCCTCGGTGCTCAGACGAGCACCTCCTCACCTCTCTCACCTCCCCCTCCGTCCTGGCTGCTCCCCTCCCCACAACAGCCTCTTATCAGGTGTGGCCCATGCCACCCAGGGTGCCTGCATCGCCCGAGTGTACACTGAAAGCTCAGATTGCTACTCCTGTCCCCGACTGGGCGGTGGGGCCTGCGGTCTGCATTTAACCAGTGTTTCTTTGGGGCACCTGGGTGGCTCAGTCGGTTAAGCGTCTGACTTCGGCTCAGGTGATGATCTCACAGCTTGTGGGTTCGAGCCCTGCATCAGGCTCTGTGCTGACAGCTCAGAGCCTGAAGCCTGTTTCGGATTCTGTGTCTCCCTCTCTCTCTGGCCCTCCTCCCCCAGGTCTCTCTCTCTCTCTCTCAACAATAAACAATTAAATTTTTTAAACCCCAGTATTTCTTCATACTTACTTTTGAAAATCACTTGGGGAAGGGTGCCCAGGTAGTTTAGTCAGTTAAGCATCTGACTCTTGGTTTCAGCTCAGCCATGACCTCACCGTTCGTGGGTTCAAGCCCCACGTCAGACCCTGAAGCTGGTCACTCAGAACCTGCTTGGGATCCTCTCTCTGCCCCCCCCATGCTCATGCTTTCTCTTTCTCAAAATACATAAATGAACTTCTAAAACAAAATCACTTGTGAAAACAGTTTGAATAACATAAATCTTGCATACTGCTTAGTGACAAAAATAGTTATCGGTGCTTAAAAATCAAGATAACCTTAAAAATCAAACTATGCTTTAATACATTTTCATTTATTTTCCAATTTAATTTAAACCTAGAATATTTACCTTTTCATGCAAACAATTTAAAAATAGTTACTTGCTATTTTACACACAAAAGACACAAAATTATTCACCCAGAGGGACTTCAACTCTGTTCTCCAGCACAGCGCACGGGGCAGCGGTGAGCTCAGGCCGGGACCTTTACTTAGGGTTATTGGCTTTTTTCCCCCCAAAACAATGGCTCCTAAAATTTATTTCTATGGGTTGAAAACCACTGTAAGACTGACAGTTCTTTTAACAGAGTAAAATGGGAAGGGTCATTCTCCTCAGAACTTGAGAAGTGGCGAATCCACATTCTCCTTGTCAGCCTCGGGACTCAGCTGGATCAGAGGAGAAGTCAAGTCTATCAGCTGCAAGACAGAAGCGACAGGGGGTGGATGACCGGCCACACTGACCCTCCGGCCTGCGTGCCCCCCTCCCCCCACTCCGCCGTGGCTCAGACACTGAAACTGCAGCCAGCACGTCTAAGAAGCCGGAAGGAGAAGAGGCCACAGGGAAGAAACACGTGTGCCCCCACGTCACACACATCAGGCCCTGGGGGCCCCGGGAGTTGGCACCTGGGCCCCTGCCCTCGGAGAGCTGGGCCGCCAGGCAAGGTCCCGCAGCACGACTGGCCGCATCCTAAGCTCGTGCCACCACTGGGGTGCGCCGAGACACGTCACTTTCGAGACCGCAGTGGCCGCTCTCAGGGTCACCGCGTGTGCCCTGGGAGGAGGACCAAGTCCAGAACTGAGACCCCCCACCCCCACGCGCAGCCAAGTCCCACGCGGCAACTCCTGCTGCTCACCTGCGCCACCTCGTGGACGGGCTTGGACGCGGCGCCTCTGTTGGTGTCCGGAGTGTTGAGCAGCAGGTCACTGAGGGGCCTGCTGTCAGATCTCGGGGCCGCGCTGGCCTCTGGAGTGTCACACAGGTCGATGAGAGGGAGGTCGAAAGGGGCTGGGCTTTGGGCTTTTGGGGTGATGGCAAGTTGATCCAGGCTGAGATCCACGAGAATAGCCTAGACAAGAACAGGTTTAAAGGCAATTCTGGCATTTTTGTCCATGTTGAGCAAACAGGAAACCCAAGGACGGGCGGGGGCCTTTAGCTGTGGTGCGCCCGTACTGGCAGGTGGCGTTCTCTCCTCCTCGGCTGCCCCCACAGGGCCCCCCAACCCCGTCTGCCGCCCTCTGGCCAACGGCCCACACCGGGGAGCCCGCCGGCCTCTCTCACTGCCACCCTGCTTCCTACTGCCCGTCTTCTGGCGGCACACAGGGGCAGGGGTGAGGCCGGAGGTCCTGACTCCCTCCCTCTGGCCCTGGAGGCCCGGGGACAACGGATGAAGCCCCGCAGAGGCCGGACCGCTGTGCTGAGTGAGCACGTGGCCTGGGCGCAGAGTCCGTGGTGCGGGCGAACACGGTACCTCCCGAGGGGGCGCGTCTGCAGGTGGCTGGGCCGCCCCCAGCACCACGTCGGCGCTGATACTTTCCGGAACCGCCGAGTCACTCTTCTCTGGAGAAAAGCTGAGCGCCTGAGGCACGGCTGACGGAGGGGAACAGGACCCGCGTCGGGAGGCGGCCAGGCTGCTGCTCGCCCTGGCTGGCGCGGCCCTGCTGGGAGAGGAAGGGAGGACTCACGAGGGACTGTCGGTGCTGGCTTGTGGGGCTGGGCTCGTCCCTGGAGGAGACGTGTCACACAGGGCCGAGCGCGCCAGCTGCGGCTCCAGCTCCATCGCCACAGCTCTGACCGTGAGTCCCTTCCAGCCTCCAAATTCCTCGTGAATACAGTAAAAGGACCAAACGGCCTCTGAGGTCCTTTCGCCTCTAAAAGTTTACCGGCCTGCTGCCCACACAGGCCGTTTTGCTCCCTTTCCTTCAGTCTGCGAAGTGGACAGAGACGTACTCACTCCACGTTCAGGGAGGGAGGAGAGAAATGCTCTGATCAAAATCAGGCAGGATAACGGAGGAGAGTGACCGGGTGGGGAGGCAGGGCTTTCCGGAAAGGTCCCCGAGGTTGGCCCCTGAACATGGGCTTCAATCGTGGAGGCACAGCGCACCCCAGACGGAGAGCGTGGCCAGGTCAGGAGGGTCCGCCATGCGGTGAGGGGGCAGAGCGGCTGGCGCAAAGTGACGGGGGCAAGGGAGGCAGGAGAGGAGGGTGGAACAGACGCCCTAGCGAGTCGGGGTCACCCCTGGCCAAGACGCCAGCGGCAGGACTGCGGGGCTCTCCTGGGGGCCCAGCCGCAACCCCCCCCAGACCCCAGAGCTGCGATGGGGTGCACCTTCCTCCTCCCAGAGAGCCCGTGGCCCAGCGTCACGGTCCCTGCTTGCCCGGCCCTTCAGCCCAGCCGGGGGACAGGACGCGCGGTGGGAACGAGGTGGCAGAGCAAGCGAGTGCCCTCCGTCACTTTGGAGAGCCACCAACAGGCCTCTGCGGCCGTGGCCTTCACCTCTTACCTCGCAGCAGACTTTTCCCGGAGTTCAGAGGAAGGCCTCCGAGCAGACGCACACGGGCGAGAGGCCAGAGCCCCGGGCACGGCTGCGGGGGTCGCCCGCGGAAGGCTGGAGAGCCGGCGGCCGGCAGGCGTGGGCCAGGCCGGCAAGCGCCTCGTCCTCACGGGCGTCCTCACGCCGCCTCCAAGTCTTGGTGAGGCGGCCCCGGAGGAGCTCCCGGCAGGGGTGCTGGGGGCGGCCCCCCTGGAAGGACCAGACGAGAGGCTTCAGCAGACAGAAGCAGAGAGAAGATCCGACTCCCCCAGTTCGCTAACACGGGACAAAGGCCTGTGATCTCAGAAGAGCCTCCGGCCGGCGGAGCGGCCACAGGTCGGCTCTGGGGAGGCGGGGCTGCCGCCGGCACCCTGGGCAACCCCGTGTCTCCGGGCGGTGCCACGCGACCGCGCCGCGTGGGAGGCATCTACAAGTCGCCTCGGACGGCGTAGGCACTTCCCCGAGGAAGCCCAGGACCACGGCGAGGGCGGCCCGGGCTCGCGTGCACATGGGTGGCCGGCACTGCGTGTTCACTCATTCCCAGTGCTCAGGCCACCTGACCCCACGTGAGCACACGGGGGTAAATCCGGGCACCCACGGCTTAGTTCTCCCGCGTCCCACCTTCCAGCCCGGCGGTACGTGTGGCCGTGACTGCCAGTGAGTCCTGCCTGTCCGTCTGTTTTGCGGCTACTGACAAGGGCGGTCTGTGTGGGGTCAACTGCGATTTTAAATAAGCCGAGGAGCGCCTGGGGGCTCAGTGGTTAAGGATCCAACCTCAGCTCAGGTCACGATCTCCCACTTTGTGGGTTCAAGCCCCGCATCTGGCTCTGTGCTGACAGCTCAGAGCCTGGAGCTGCTTCGGATTCTGTGTCTCCTTCTCTCTCTGCCCCTCCCTCGCTCATATCCTGTCTCTGTCTCAACAATATATAAACGATAAGAAATTTTTAAAAAGTAAACACACATTAAAAAAAAAGTAAAATCAAAGGAAGCAGACAACTCACCTTCCTGCTGACGTGCAGGAGTGCGGCCTCTGTGCTCGGATGGACTTGGGCATTGCACTATCTGTGGGCTCACCTGAGGCGAGAGAGGAAGTGGGTGCCGTCAGTCAAACCTGCATCAAGTGACAAACCCGCCGCAGGGCGCTGTCCCTACTGTCCCCGGGTCTGCTCTACGAGGACAGCTGTGTCACGACCACAGTGCTCTCGGCCAGAGGGAGCAGGCTGCTACGGTCGTAGGGCTGTGTGTTCCACCGCATGGGGGCTCCCCGCGGCCCCGCCGGCACTCAGGTCACGGGCACAGTCTGGCCCAGGGTGAATGAGGAACCGTGTTCACGGACAGCCCTGTCCCTGACACCGTGAAGAAAAGAGAAACCGATTTCAGAGGAGTGTGAGGTGTCATCAGGGGCACACAAAGGGCAGCCGAGGGCAGCAGCCGACGGGCACTGGGACTGGTACAAGGTGACACATCGGCGGGTGACCATGCATTTGGAGGGAAGGCAGCCATGGCTTCGGGCGTCCAAGAAGCAAGGAGGCCACCGCTGCCGAGCCCACCCCACGCCCCGCCCCGTGGACACCCCGCGCCCCGCTTTCTGCCGACACGCTGAACCCCCTGCCCTGGAAACCTCAATTTTATCTCCGGGGCTGACTGCTCCCAGGGGACCCAAACTCATAGCTTCCACCACCGGCTCAGCACGGCCCCCAGCACCGCCCTGAGGTGCTGCACCCCAAATTCAAAAGGTTGAAGCTGGCCAGCGGGCTCCGCCCAGGCAGCTCTCCCTCCAGCCCTCCCCTGACCCCCGGTCGCGGGACGCAGTACTCGGGTGCCCCGCGGAGGCCTCTGGGTGGCTTCTGTGTCCCCTCTCACACTGCCGTGTGCTCCACCATGCCCCATGACCTCCCGTCCACATCACCGCTGGGCTCCCAGCTGCCATTCTTGCCCCCGAGGGCCTGTTCGTCCCTCGGAGGAGGGATCTGCTGGAGGCCATGACTCCCTGCCTCAAACCCTCTCCTGCAGCACCCCTGCACTGGCCCCTGGCTGCCTCAGTCTTCCTCTCCCGTGACCCCTCACTCACTGAGGTTGGCTGAGATTGCTGGTGTCTGTTCAATCCCCACTGGCTCCTCAGTAAGAAAGCTGAGCGGGTCGAGGACAGCACGTCCCAGCACCCTGCCAGGGAAGCACGGCCACATGGCTGCGGCCTGAGCGAGGGGACGAGGGCGGCACACACGGTGGGGACGTGCTCCCCTTCGCCCAGCCCACGCTCGTGCCGCCGGGGAGGACAGTGCACGAGGGCAGGAGGGAGAGAACCGGTCACGGCAAAGCAAGACAGAGGAGGGCTGGGGCCTCAAAAGGGTTTGGGGCAGTGAAGGCCACCTGTCCTGGCTGGCAGCACGGAGGACTTCAAGACACTTATGCTGCCCAGAAAGCACAGCTGCTCGAGCGAAGCTACAACTATCCTCTCCCTTAAGCCAGTTCTGTACGACTTCCCACTTTATGTGGGTTTCTCGGATTAACCTACCTCGACCAAGCACCCACCTACTACCCGCCAGATGTCACACCGGGGTCACTCCCGGCTGGGCAGGCTGAGGGGCCCGACCAGAGAGGCGGAGGCACAGATGGGGAGGGGGCCCGGGACCCCCACTGCAGAGGAAATACACATGCAGAGGGAGACTCCAAAAGGCCAAGGTGAGGACAGCCACTGGGAGCAACGGCCACTGTTCGCACGGGGCTGGGAAACGCCCACGTCCCACCTACCAGAGTGGGGACCTCGGGTACACGCAGCACATCTGGCAGGGACTGGGCAGGCACATGTCAGTAGCAGGCTGCCCGCTTCCGAGGGTACAGGCCCTCAAGACCTGCCCCATCGAAGCTTTAAAAGAATCCTCAGAAGGATCAAGTTGACCTGCGATTTAAATGCCTGCCCTGGGGCACCTGGGTGGCTCAGTTGGTTAAACATCCAACTGCAGCTCAGGTCATGATCTCACGGTCCGTGGGTTCGAGCCCCACATTGGGCTCTGTGCTGACAGCCAGCTCAGAGCCTGGAGCCTGCTTCAGATTCTGTGTCTCCCTCTCTCTCTGACCCTCCCCTGCTCACTTTCTCTCTCTCTCAGAAATAAATAAAACATTAAAAAAAAATTTAAATGCCTGCCCAGGCAAGGTTCTACTCCTTACAGCAAGACAACAAAATGCAGATATTCCAAAATTTTTAAACTGTACTGCCCAAAAAATTAAACAACGATTACATGTGAAGAGGCAGGAAAATGTGTTTGTGATCAGGAAAAAAGTCAGTAACTAGAAACGGACCCCAAAATGACCAGGAAGGCAGCATTAGAAAAAACAGAGTGTAAAATAACCATCATAAATGCGTTCAAGAATTTAAATAAACATTATAAGGACAAAGATGGGGAAGCTATAATGTCAGAAAGGAAAAATTAACTGAATGGGCAGAACTATGGATTAAACACACCGCAGAGAAAGACAGGTGAGCGTGAAGACAGGACATTAGGGCCATCAACACGGACACACAAGAAAAGGTGGGGAAACCCAGGGCCTCTGTGACCTACAGGACACATCGAGAGGTCTAGAACACCTGCAATTAGGGTCCCTGTAACTAGGGGAAGCAAGAAAACAGAATCTGAAGAAATAAGAGCCAAGTTTTTTTTCCAGAATGAATTAGAAATATCAACCCACAGATCAAAGCAACTCAGGAAACCCCAAGAAGGATAAACCCTCAAAAAGCCACTTCAAAATTCATAATAATCAAAATGCTAAAAATAAGAAAAAAAGAGGAGTTCCTAAGAGCAGGCCAGGAGCAGTGCTGTGACAGAGGGGAAGAAAGTAGGACGGGAACTCCACTGAGTGATCATCCAAAATCATGCAAGCTAGAAGGTGCTAGAACACAATTAAAGTGCTTTAATAGGGGTGCCTGTGTCACTCAGTTGGTTAAGCATCTGACTTCAGTTTAGGTTGTGACCTCAATTCCTGAGTTCGAGCCCCATGTCAGGCTCTGTGCTAACAGCTCAGAGCCTGGAGCCTACTTCAGATATTCTCTCTCTCTCTCTCTCTCCACCGCCATCCCCAGCTTGTGCTCTTTCTCTCTCAAAAATAAACATTAAAAACAAATAAATAAAGTACTTTAACAGAAAGCCAAACACCACCATCACCAAATACTTTTTTGAAAACTAAGTAGAATCTGTTCAGCCCTTGAAAAACATACATGGAACGCCAGGTGGCTGTTGGTTTAGCATCCAACTTCAGCTCAGGTCATGATCTTGAGGTTCATGAGTTCGAGCCTGCTGACAGCTCAGAGCCTGGAGCCTGCTTTGGATTCTGTGTCTCCCTCTCTCTGCCCCTTCCCTGCTTGTGCACACTCTCTCTCCCCTAAAAAATGGATGAGCGTTTAAAAAAAAAAATCTAAGAACATATAGAAAATGCCCCCTTCCTTACCAGTAGAAAACCTGGGGACCTTAAAGTGACTCATAGGGGTGGGCATCGCCTTCGTCCCGAAGGATCGCTGGGAGTCACGCCCTCGCACGCTCCCGGCTGTATTCCACTGGGGCAGCGGTGACCGGCTGGAACGAGAGCTCAGCCCCAGGCCTCCCTGTTCTGGAGTCCAGGCTTGGGCGAGAGCCGCGAGAGTGGGCTCCTGGGCCAGCTCCCCCGTCACCTCCGCCACCGAGGCCCGCTTACTCTGCCTGCAGGATGCGCCCCCAGGGCCTGCCTGCAGGGACTGCTGAGACACGGCGGGTCCCACTCTGCCTGACTGGCTGGTGCGTGACACGGGCGGGGAACTGCTCTTTGCAGGAGGACTTGCAGGTTCACTTGATTTAGCTGGAAGAGGAGACATGCAATCTGGTTATTGCTGAGGCTTAGGTTATTTCTAAATTATGAAGTTATTTAACAAACACATACAAGGTACGCCGTCTTTAGCGTGTCTACCTTAAAGCGTCTTTAAGTGAAGAAAACTTACTTCTGTCTTATGGCATGATCTCCATATAAGAGAAACACAGGACCTGTGAGCATATCCCGTACGCCCATCAGGTTCCATCCTCAACTAGGACAAGCCAGGCTGCTCGTGGCGTAGCCTAGCGTAAGGTCCTAACTCCAGACACAATGACCAGGATGCATGTAAGTGTACATGAATTCTCCCGTCTTCATGATGTCAACAGCAGACATCTACACTGGCTGAGTGGACAGAAGTGGACAGTCCGGTCATGCCTCTGGGCAGGGAGGTGGGGAGGGACCAGCGGGAGGGAGAAGGTGCATCCATGACTGGTGGGTCCTTCAAATCCCAAGGAGACTGGGTCACATCAATCCTGAGAGCCATTTAAAACCAAAAGAGGATAAAGCAGGCTCTCAGGTGCCAATTGGCCCCGGGCAGAAGTCAGCCTGCTGAGCTCCCAAAGAAAACCTGGAAGGGGAAGGCGGACGCCACAGCATGTACCGTTCAGTGCACAACAGTGACACGGCGCTCCCCCCTCACCGTCCTGCGTGACCAGCCTCCCCAGTGTGTATGATGCAGAAATACACACCGCCAGGCCCATTCAATCCGGCTCAACCTCCAGCAGGTAGGAATGCAGCGCTCAGTGCAACAGTGCCTGCACCCTGCACCCCTGCGGCCACTCAGGCCTCACAACCTCTAAGGTGACAGAACTTCCTTTCCCCAAACACTGGCTGTGGGCCATACACTCCTTCTCATGCCCGGGAGAGCACCGCTGGAGTGGCTCAGTCCTGAGGTCTGTCTGGTTCCAGAAACAACTGAAGTCCTCTTCACCACCACCTGGCAGTGGGGACTCCAGGTCACATCAGTCTAAACCCAGAGGTCACATTTTGCAGTCGGACAACACACACATGCCTGCATGGCAAACACACGTGGAAGAGAATCCGACAGCGCACCAGGGCTTCTCCCCTTTACCACCAGATGGCACCCTCGGCCTGCGAAGCTTGGAGGGAGCCAGAGGCGGGTTTGGGTCAGGGGTTTAAAAAAGCAGTTTAAAAGGGTCACGTGCCCTAAGTTATCCGGAACAGTCCTATTTTTAAAACCTGTGTGTGATTACATGTCAGCGGGGGCAGGCTGGTCTCGGCTTCCTTGTGTGTCAAGGGAACGTGGAGCGTCCACCAGCTTTGGGATGGCTGGTACGACCCAAATGAAAACCGCTGGCCTGGGTGTGTCCCTTCTCAGAGGAGGTTAAACCCCGTGAGGGCAGGGGCCCGACACAAGGTCCCCTGCCCTGGACCACAGCGAACCCTCCAGAACCTTTGGCAGAGTGTACTGGCCCTGCGCAAACAGTCCCAGAGGGTCAGACGGCATTCAAGGCCTTGCCTCGCTAGACTGCTAGACCTGGCGTCCAGGCAGGAGACCCTGGCCAGCTTACCTCTGCGGGCGGCGGGAGAGGCGCACACGCCGGCAATCCCACCCGACCCAGACCCCGAGGAAGACGACTTCCGAGAAAGACCGCCAGCACAGCCGCGTGCTTTTAACAGGGTCTTCTTCAGCCCCAACTGAAAGGAAATATTAAAAAACAGAGCCATCAAAGATTTTATCTACCCATTACTTTTTTTATGCAAAAACAGGATTTAAAAATAATATTTTTTTATGTTTATTTTTGAGAGAGAGAGAGAAAGTAAGCAGGGGAGGAGCAGAGCGAGAGGGGGATGAGGATCCGAAGCGGCTCCTCGCTGACAGCAGAGAGTCCGACATGGGGCTCCAGCTCATGAACCATGAGATCATGACCTGAGCAATGTAGCCCACTTAACAGGCTGAGCCACCCAGACACCCCCCAAAAATAATTTTTAATAACTGAATAATTATCATCTTAAATGTAAAGTAAAAGGCCAAGCAGTACTTCTCAAGTGTGCTCTTCAAAGCCCTGCATGAGAAACGTGGGGAACTTGCTAGAATGCAGATGTTGGGGCTCTGACCCCAGCGCAGAGTCCTTATCTGTGGGGCCCAGATTCTAACACCTGACCCCGGCCACGGAGCCCCGCGCACGCCTGGGCTGTTCTCTGCATCACTGCAAGCTGCCTCTCACGGATCCCATTTTCACCCTTCTTCAACTTGACTTCAGTCAGAGGCACTTACAGCATCCACAAAGCGACCCTCTATTCCCCTCGCTCCCCAGCACACCCACCTTGTTGGGGACAGGGAGCGACCGCTTGCCCTGGACCGAGTGGCCGCCCCCAGCTAGCAAGCCAGCGCCCTCCCGGGCAGCGCTGGGTTTGTCAGGGGGCACGTCCCCATGGGACTCTGTCTCGTTTAGGTTCCTCGCGCTGGAGGGGCTGGCTGGGATCCTTTTCATAGGCTGAAAAATTATAATTTGAAATGAGAGAAGTGTCTGGCCTCGGACGATGTGCAGAGGCACCACGGCTTCGATTTCGAGCACCGGCTGTGTCCCCGATGCTGTCCGTACACGCTCAGTTCATCAGCTGGATCGAGGCGAGCACAGCAGTTCGCTTCCTCCACCGAATTACCACGGACAAAAATGATGGTGGCATTTGCCTCCTCGTTAAAAACAGCAAAATAATACTAAGACAGATCGTTACAGGAGACCGTCTAAAGCTATTCCATAATCAGGATTCTTATTTAAAGACGGTAATGACAAAACTGATTCTAGTGACAAAAAATTGTAAATGCCATATGGAAAGGAATCGCTCACTAAAAGGTCATTTCCTCCACCAGAGGCGCCACTCAGTTGCAACGAATCTTCTTGGAAGGGTGCTGAGAGCCATTTTTCTTTGGAGAGCAGAGTCAAACAAAGAATACATTTCTGACGTAGGGTAGGAGGGCACTCCTAACCCTGCTTATGATATAAATAACCCCTTGTAACAAGGGGCGCTAATGAGAAGCAGCAGCAGCTCATACGGTCAGAGCAACGAAACAATCACTTTCTTTCCCTTTACAGCATTTTAAGACTTGAGACCTACCCCACATAACAGAAGCTCGCCAACTGAAAGTGTGCAGGGTCAGCGGTTTGTCGCACACTCAGAGCTGTACGGCCAGCGTTAGTGTAATTAATTTTAGACCATTCTTGTTGTCCCTGTTGTCCGAGTCCCTCTGCCTGCCCGCGTGAACACTGGCTCACCTACACGCCCCCCCAATACAATCCACCTACTGTGGTCCCTCACGTAAATAGGATCGTACGGCAGGTGACCTTTGGTGTCTGGCTGCCTTCTGGGATCATCCATGTCCTACATGCACTAATACTGCACTTCTTTATTGCCTGAGTCCAGCCCACGTGCTTGTTACACACAGAAATCCGTGCCCGGGGCCACATATGACGTAGAAGACCTGTGTCCCTCTCACTCCAGGGACATCACTTTGGAAATCTGCATCCAAATGGGCTCCGGCAGGAGGAGTCTGTGTGACACAAGGGACGCCGGCCCCGCTACTTAGGGGAGGTGATGGCCAGCACGCCGCCTCTGTCCACGCACAAGGGCCTTTAGCTCGGATCAGTTCTGGGCCCTGAGAGCAGGGAGCTGCACGGTCCGGAAGATGTGCCCGGAGGGGGAGGCGCTCTCGGGCCCTCAACGGCGGCTCTGCAGGGACCCAGACTTGTCACAACCCCACAGAGCATCTCAGTAACCGGTTCAGAGAGCTGAGGCCCGGGCCCAGGTCCAGAGCAGAGCTGAGAAGCGGATGTTGGGCTCTGACCTGCCACCTCTCCTCGGGGCAGGACCCCCTCCCCTGAGTGAGGCTGGCTCAGCCAAGCCTGGTGGTGTGACCCTCCCCTTCTCCCACCCGAGCGCCCTGCCCCGCAAACCTCCAAGGGCTGACCGCACCCCAAAGACCTGCCCATCCGCTAGCACTGCCCGGGACGGCTCCCCCGTTTCATTCCTGGAGGAGCACGATGTAAACAAAATCACGGGTAAGGGGGCCGGAGCTGGCTACTGGCTGTTCCGGGAGGGGAAGTTTTGAAGCTGCTTGTTAATGCAGATGAAACCCCTAAGGAGCAGAAAACCCAAAGCTGTAAAGAAACAAAACGTGCAGTGGCATTCAGGAAGGGGTGTGCCTAAGTCAGCCCAGCGGGAAGGCAGCCCCGCCCGCGTCCACGCGCTCCCCAAGCCCAGCTCCCCGTGCAGCTGCTGCTGCGCCTCTTCCACTTGCCCTTCCTACGCTCCCAGCCCTCATCGCAGCTACGTCTCCGAGTTTCTCGCCACAACGGCTTCCTCTAGAGCCATAACCCGAGAGGGCTAAGGGCAAGGGAGCGCCCAGCCCCACAGACAGGCCTTCTGGCACGTGGACGCGTCTACCTGCTCCGCGGCCGCCTGGATGTTTCTCCCTCTCACCGATGGAGCTCGGGGCCGAACCCAGTGGCTGGTGACCTTCTTCTGGGGCCCTGCCTGGTTCGGAGGGGGAGCAATACTGGGGTCCACCGGCAGGCGAGGCGAATGCGACAGTCCCTGCGTCAGGGCTTGGCTGGCCTGGGCCGGGACCCCGCCCAAGGGGGTCTGGCTGGGTGGTGCCCTCAGGGGGCTGTCCGACAGGTAATACGTCTCCCTCTTCAGTGACCTGGGGCTCTTCTTCAGTTCCATCTCTTTCTCAAACAGGTTTATTTTTAATTTTGATTCCTGTATGAATCTCTCCACGCCCTGGCTCCAAAGGTCTTCAGGCCTGGCTGCTAGGGCTGCCCTGTTTTTGCTTTTGCTTTCAATCTGTAAGGCCAGCAAGTGAGCCTCCTTGTACACTTCCACAAATTTCTCCCCGGTGGGAGGGCTCCAGGTGAGGTGACTTTCCAAGGCTGGAAGAGGTTCTTCGGACACATGGTGATTTAATTCTAAACTGGCAGCAACGCATCTTTCCTTATGCCCGACAGGTCCGAAGAAGACTTCATCATCTTCATTTCCACTGTTTTAAAATAAATGGATCATGGATCATTAATGACACTGGCCGTGAAATGGAAGACTTTACAGAAACGTGGTTAAGCCCAAGGCAAGGGAAGAAAACTCATCTGTTTACCTTAAAGAAGACAATGAGAGATCAAAGTCAAACTTTTCATCAGCCAAGAGAAGCACGCCTGTGCCTGTGGAGAGAAAGTCCCATGTTATCTGAGGGCTGGGCTTGATAAAGAGAAAACATTACCGGTGTCTACAGCTATAAAAACAATGACAACATTTCACCCCCCAAAGTGTGCCTTATCATGATTCTCACAGTCACCTCGTCACAAGATTATCTTGGCTTTTTCGGTTTCTTTTTAAAATAGCATCAGCCACTGCGTATTTGCTAAGCTGCTCCAAAAGTCTAAGTCCTTATCTCTTAGGTCTAATCTCAAATGCATTCACCAAGTCATTGAACTAGCTTTTCTAGAGTAGGTAAGCCGTTTTCAGGTTAGAGCATTTTCAAAAGGCCACCTGCTTCAGGTCTCCTAGAATTAGATTCCTCCCTTACAGCTATGGAACTGAACGCCTACTGCTCTTTCAAAATCAAATTCAATACTATTCACATGCGCAGTCGCGCCTCCATACTGCTGACTCCCATCTCTTCTCAGAGCCCGCCTTGCCCCCAGAAGGGGCACTCTGTACCCCCCATGGCTCCGTACCCCCACAGTACCTCCACCAGCCCTGCCTGTAAGCCTGCTCTCTCCAACAAGCCTCAGGCAACTTCTCCCTCCCCCAGCTCGAACATCCCACCCACCCCTGCTCCCCTCAGTTTCCCCCACTCCTATATCACCTTGACCTGACCTCTGTCCCTGCACTAGCCCTGCTGTTCTGTAGATGTCCCTTCACCCTCCTGGGGCCCCAACTAGACCGTGAGCTCCTCCAAGACAGCAAATGTCGCCCGCTCTCCCAAATCCCCTCATGTCCAGCGGGGGGCCTGGACGCTTGGCAAATAATTATCGAAATGCTCTGAACGGGTATTTCCACCGTGTAAAGTTTATACAGCACTTTCACAAATCACATCTTATTTGATCCTAATAAACAATGCAGCATACTTATTAAAACCATAAAAGTTTAACATATGCTAATATCCTAATTAGATCCTAGTTAGTCACTCTAATTATTCTTAATTACCCAATCAAAGAAAAGGTAGAAAGCACAAATGCACAAAAGATATAATGGGAAATAATCAGAGAGGAAATGAAAAGATTCATAAGCTAGTCTGCTCCACACATAAACCTAAGAACCTGGCTGAAATGGATCATTTTTCTAGAAAGCAGAGTTTATTTTTTGTATTTAAATCACTTGATTTATTTCTAAAACGGACTCCAGAAGGAAGGGAAAAGATCTTAACAGTTCAATTACCACAAAATAACTGCACTGATTTATTCAAGGGCTATTCTCCTCAAGAGAACCCAAGTCCCAGACAGTTTCACAGAATAATTCTGTCATGTCTTTCAATAGATCATCCCAAAACTATACTGCTCCCCAGGATAGAAAAAAGAAACCTTTCAACTCACTTCTATGAAGCAGGTATAACCATACCAAAAGCCTTTAAAGTTAGTTCAGAAAGAGAGCCACAGACCAGGCTCCTAACATAAAAATCCTGAATAGGAATATTAGCTAACAGAATCCACCGACACATCAAGAGAAGAAGAAAAACAGATCGTGACCAAGCAAAGTTCGTTTCAGGACTTGAGTATGGTAGGATGGTTCAACTTCACGCAATCTGGTAACATAATGGTTCTATTACTGGATCTAAAAGGAAAGTCATGGGTCACAGCCATCTATGCGAACAAGACACTTGAAAAAATTGCTTTGTTGACTTTAAAAGCTCTTCCTAAAAAGACATAGATACATACCGGATATGTGTTACCTACGAGGAAGCATCTGTCAGGAGCCCAAAGCCAAACTGGGATTTAATGAAATCCCATCGGAAGCCCCCCTTCCACAGTCAGGAGCAGGTACATGTGATCGGTCAGGACAGGTTAACCCACGCTGATACGACCACCCCCAAGTCTCAGCCTCAATCCTGCTGAGGGTGGGCGTGGCCCTGCTCCCCGCCCTCCTCTCTGCACAACCCAGGGGCCTGGCGAGCCTGGTCTTGGTGTCGAAGAAGGGAAAGAGCAAATCCCAAACCAGTTCTCAAAGGCCCGGAAGTAACACACACACAAGCCACATTCCCATTTCACTGGCTGCCGTTCCAGTCCCCTGAGCTGAACCCTGCCTCAAGTGGGCGGCCAAGTACAATTCTATCATGTACCCAGGAGGAAGGGGAATAAAAAAAAGTAGAAAGGAGGAAAAAAGAAAAGAGCAGAAATACAGATAAACAGCACCAGAAACTGCCATCTCTATGTAAATTAACCCGCAAGCCAGCATGGGGGTCAATGGAAATCTAAGGGGGAAATTCCAGGAAAGCCAGGCAGATGGAGCAGATGTCTGCTGTCACAGTTCCTGACACAGATCCGGATACACTAACACGGAAAAAGGCAAGAATCTGGAGGCAGAAATACCACAGGGCACAGGTGCTAAGATTACAGACACCAGAAAAATCACATGAGTAACTGTTACGAGTAGTGAAAGGACGTAAGGAGGTGGCTGAGGACAAAATCATCGCACGGCCATCTACGGCGTTCACACCTACAAAGAACAATTCGAAGACACGATGGAAGAAAAGACCTCACCGCAAAGACCTACGTTAGCAGCAAAACCCACACAATACGTATGAACAAACCCAACAGGAAACACGCAAGATTCCAGTAAGGACATCTCAGAAGATGATAAAAGTGGCACACCAAGTAAAAGGAGGAAATGGAGTATTCAATAAATGGTATTTCCCTTAGAGGAAAATATGTATAAAAGGACTAAGAAGAAACCATGAGGAAATTATTTTATAACCTGGAGTGAGGAGGTCTAACTATGACACCAACGCGGAAGCCGTAAAATACAAGACTGATAGTACAGTATCTAAAAAACAATTTTTAACTTTTTAATGTTTTTTTCAACGTTTATTTACTTTTGAGAGAGAGACAGAGTGTGAGCAGAGGAGGGGCAGAGAGAGAGGGAGACACAGAATCAGAAGCAGCTCCAGGTTCTGAGCTGTCAGCACAGAGCCCGACGCGGAGCTCGAACTCACGAGCCGAGAGATCATCACCTGAGCCGAAGTCAGATGCTCAACGGACTGAGCCCCCCAGGCGCTCCTCTAAAATACACTTTTAAAACCCTGTACGGCAGAGACCACCATGAGCAGAGCTAAAGAAACAAGCAGCAGGGGAAGAAGTATTTGCAGCTCACATCACGAAGGGCTCTTGAGGAACAGGGTCTATAGACGGCTAAGGAAACACCCAGTCACGTAATGGGAGAACTGACAGAGGACACGAACAGAGAAAATGACTGATGAAATAAAATCAAAATAATCCTGAGATTCCAGTTTTCACCCATCAGGTTGTCAAAAATCAAAAAGTCTGGTGCTGTGCGGGCAAGGCTGTGGGTAATTCATAGAGTGCTGGGGAAGGTGTCCCTTGGCAGGGCCCTCCTGAGTCCCCCGGCAGCACCTACAAAGAGCAGGTGTCCCCCCGGCCCAGCAGGCAACCCACAGGCAGTCACGTCGGATCAAAAGCGACACTGGACACAAACTAACTAATGTGCACCCACAGCAGATGGGAGAAATTACAGCACCCCCCACCCCCAGACAGCCCACTACAAAAGAGAATGGGAACCCCGAGTGTGCTGACTTACAAAGATCAAGATAAATGAGATGCCCAAACCGGGGTGCAGCACAGGGCCCCATCTGCTAGGGAAAGACGGCAGTCGGCTGACAGTGTATACACACACTGGTTTCCTCTTGCCCAGATTAGCTCTGGAAGATCAAACAGACCAAAGACATCAATGGCCTTCGGAGGGGCAGCTGCAGGAGGTGGAGGCAGGCTGGGTCAGACCCTGGAGGGCTTGTGAGCCCAGGCAAGGAGCTCCCATTTCCTCCAGAGCGCGACAGGAAAAACTGAAGGTTTTAAGCGTAAGAGTTATGATCTAACTGGTGTTTTTATATTTATTGTTTTTTCATTTGATGCTTTATTACTCGGTAATTCATTACTTTTTTAAAATCCTGGTTTAATATCTTGTGATATAATGATTTGAAGATCTGGTACTAAGTTTAGCTTATTTGGATATCACATTTTAATAGCTGTCATAGCTGAAAAAGGTACTTCAAAAAGCTATTTAGATTTATATTGAAGAAGTGCACTGTTGTTGGCTATACCTATTAAATTACTCATTTTCTTCTCCAGTCCCATCAACCAGTTCTGCAAAGGTTTTAGTTGAAGTCTTATTAGTAAATTCTCGTTTTCTCTGCTATCAATCAGCAATTCTTGCAAACTAATTTATTTATTTATTTTTCCTTAAAGTTTATTGTCAAGTTGGTTTCCATATAACCCCCAGTGCTCATCCCCACAAGTGCCCTCCTCCATGCCCATCACCCCCCCTCCCCCATCTTCTTCAGTTTGTTCTCAGCATTCAAGAGTCTCTCATGGTTTGCCTCTCTTCCTCTCCCCCACCATTTCCCCTTCTCCTCCCCCACGGTCCTCCGTTAAGTTCCTCCTAATCCACCTATATGTGCAAAGATATGGTATCTGTCTTTCTCTGCCTGACTTATTTCGCTCAGCATAACACCCTCAAGTTCCATCCACGTTGCTACACATGGCCAGATGCCATTCCTTCTCATTGCCGAGTCTAACTGGTGTTTTTTAAAAAGGTTACGCTGGCTGCTATGTAGAGTGGATGAGAAAGGAAGGCAGCACCTCCTGAAATCACAAAGGCACACATTGGCCAAAGTGCAAAATGTCCAGGTGGGTGAAGGTGAGTTAACATGGCTGGAGGCACACGTGGCGGCATCTGGGCGGAGGGAGAAAGAGGTAGATGGATCCAAAATATATTCGGAAGGTGGAAATCACAGCAAATGATGACTGAACAAACATGGCCCCTTCACAACTTAGACAGCTAAGTAAGTGGAGGGGCCGTTTCCTTTCACCAGAGGACAGAGAGCAGCCTACGAATCGGGGGGGGGGGACACACTGAGTATGAAGTGCAGGACAGGTGACGACCCCAAATAGGCAGGTGGATACACAGCCCAGAGCTCAGAGGAGAGGCTGCACCCAAGACAAAAGGCAGGCACCACTAGAAAGAAAATGGCTTTTTTTTTTTTTTAAGTTTATTTATTATTTATTTTGAGAGACAGAGACAGCGCAAGCAGGGGAGGGACAGACAGAGCCCAACACGGGGCTTGAGCCCACGAGATGGTGAGATCATCACTTGAACCGAAATCTAGAGTTGTAGGGGCACGTGAGCGGCTCAGTCGGTTAAGCGCCCGACTTCGGCTCAGGTCATGATCTCACAGTTTGTGGGTTTGAGCCCCGCGTCAGGCTTTGTGCTGGCATCTCGGAGCCTGGAGCCTGCTTTGGAATCTGTCTCCCTCTCTCTCTGCCCCTCCCCTGCTCATGCTCTGTCTCTCTCAGTCTCTCAAAAATAAATAAACAATAAAAACAAACAAACAAAAGAGTTGGACACTTAACCAACTGAGCCAACCCAGGTGCCCTGCAGATGGGGTTTAAAGCCAAGGGAGTGTCTCAGAACCCTGGGGTGTGGATACAAAGAAACCCCAGAGACCAGGTCCTGGGTACGATCAGCTTCAGAAGACAGTTCAGGAAGAGGAGCCTAGAAGAGATGGATAAACCAGCCAGAGAGGCGGAAGGAAAACCAAGGCTGCCTTGGAAGCCAAGTGAGAAGGAAGTTTCCAGAAGGAGAGGTCAAATGTCATCGAAAGGTTGATTAAACAAGAACAAAAAAGTGACAACAGATTTGGCAACACGTATGTTGTAACTGATGAGAGCAGCTTAAACAGAGCAGTGGGAACCCGGGGTCGGCAGGAGGTGAAGAACGCGGGAAAACAGCAGAACAAACAGAGAAAGCTCTGGAAGGCGGGCTCTGAGAGGGAGTGGAGGATACCGGGACAAGTCACGGAACAGAACATATCTGTGTCAATGACGAGCACAAGCGGATGAACAGAAAGGCACAAGGTGAGGCTACGGGGAGAGGGTGATACAGGAGGCGTCCCCAGGAGCCGCAATGGGGATTCTACACGCACAGGGAAGGGACTGGTATCTGAAAGGGAGGAGAAGGGGCTGCAGCGGCAAATCCCTTTCTAGACCCAATGAATTAGTGAGGAGAGGGGCAAAGTCCTTAACAGGGTTTCAGGAAAACAGAAGTGACCGGGGTACCCCTTCTACCTGCCCCATCCCTGTGCGTCAGGAACAAAGGATACGGGCTGTCAAGATGCTTTAAGAGAAAAGGAGGGTGCAGCCCTTCCCGCACTCTGCGAGGCTGCATTCTCACCCCTGATGCTGGAACCAGGCGGGGACAGAGCCAGAGAGGAAAGCTGCCAAGATTCCAAACACACCTTGGCAAACAGAAACCGGGCCATACACGGAAAGAACGCATCGAATTCCCTCGCACAGGTGTGTGTGCCTACGAAGTGCCAGGCGGTGTTCTGGGCGCTGGGTACACACAGCGAGTGACACTGGAGAGAAACCCCGGTACTAGATGGGAATCTAAAGCTGGGCGGGGGGACAGGGGACGCGGCTGCAGAAAACGGAAAAATAAAAGAAGCTGGATGGACGCCAACCCCATGAAGACAGGGGCCGGGAGCCTCACTGGCACAGAGCCGACTAAACGAAGGCCTCCGTTCTCACAGAAGCGGGAACGCCACCCGCATCCTCGCGGAGCTCCCTGCCGGGCGGCGCTGCGGCCACAAGGACCTACCATCCTCGGGAACCTCCATCCCTGCCTCTCCCGACTGGCTGGAGGCGCGTCGGTCGCCGGCGTGTCCTCCTTCCAAGGCGAGGGCTGTCAGGAAGTCACTGCGGGGAGGGCGGGGCCAGCAGGTGAGCAAGCGTCGGGGCCCGGGCTCCCCGTACCTCCGGCCCCTCCGCCCCCCTGCAGCACCGCCTGGGGCGCAGGAAGCGAGGGGCCCGCGGCCGGGCCAGGAAGGGCAATGGCGGCCGGGGGCCACCTGAGCTACAGCCCGAGACCCTCCGCGCCGCCCCCCAGGCCGGGAGCTCCGGGGGCCCGATCGGGCCTGCACACCGCGGCCGGGGTCACCGGAATCCCCGGCTCTCGGGCCGGACCGGTGGTGGGGGCCCTCGGCAGCCCCGAGGGAACGCGCGAGGAGACGCCACCGCCCGAGCCTCCCCGCCCCTCACCCGAGCGGCGGCGACGCCCGGCAGCCGCACCTCCGCCCGGAATTTAAACGCGGCGCGGCGAGCGCGGCGCCGACTGCCCATTGGCGAGTTTGAATGGCCTGCGCAGCGTCGCCGCGCCCGGTGCATCCTGGGGGCTGCGGCCGACGGCAGCGCGCGTGCGCACTGCCTCCGCGCGCGTGCGGGCTGCGCCTGCGGTGGGCGCGCGGGGCGGGGCGGGGCTTCCTTGGAGCGCGTGCGGCGTCCGGCCGGCTTGGCTCCGGCTCGGTGCGCGTGACCGGAGACTTGGTTCCGGTCCCCGCTCTTCATCCGTAGACGGAGGGACTTCATTCCCTACAGTAGGATGTCGATGTGAAGACCGAACGAAGTAGGTGCACCTGTCTGCTTTGTAAAGCGGTGCGCACCGGTTGCTAATAAGCAAGAAGACCGGGCCCCTGCCCCGGGGAGCGCGCCGGGCGACTGGTTTGTGACCCTGGGGCGCAAGTTGAGTGGTGGCGGAGGACAGTGAAGAGGCCTGAGACTGCGGCCTTTACAGCCGTTGGGGAGCCGGGTTTGTCCGGAGGGCAGGTGCAGGGGCAGATTGTAGGAGTGCGCAGGGCCCGGTGGCCCGGTGATCGCGTCGGCATGGGGAGTGCACACGTTGGAGCAAGGGCTCTCATCTGAGCGACGCGGGGCACTGACTGGGGAACGGGTCAATCCGCGCAGCTTGAGACTGGTCTCACTTGAGCCTTGTCCGCCTCATGCGCTGGACAGTGCAATGAAGGGGTCCGCTCAGGACGCAGCGTCATGGAGCCGTTACTCTGGGTGTCTGGGACTGGTCGATGTCGCGGGATGTGGGAAGGAGGAGCCTGGGATGACGCCTAGGGTCTGCCCTGAGAAGGAGGGAGCTCCAGGAGGAAGAGCACCACTTTCAGGCGTGATAATGAGCTATTTCTTTGGGACAGGTTGGGTGGAGAACTGTCCAGAAACCAGCCATCCTGGACCCAGGACCTATGCCAAGAATCGGGCCTGCACACCGCGGCCGGGGTCACCGGAATCCCCGGCTCTCGGGCCGCGGCTCTCCAGGCCAGCTGGCATGTGAACTTTCACACCATCCACACCAATCACCCCATGTTGCTGTGGTCCCTTTTCACTTCTGATCCTGAGTTCAGCTCCCCGTGAGACTGTGAGCCCCTAAAAGGCAGGGTGGGGTCTCAATCATGTGATGTCCCCAGCTTCACCCAACCCAGAGCCGGGCCCCAGGCAAGAGCTGAGAGTGTGAGAGCTGGGTATTGAAGGGAGGTGGGGAGTCTAGCAGCCTGGAAGGAGCCCAGCCGGCCCTCCGCATCCCCTTTGGCTGGTCCTGGGGTCCCCAACACCTCTTTTTCTATTGAAGGGCTCCCTCTGTTGCCTTCAGCTTCTGTCTTCACTCCCCAGTGTGCTCTGATGTGCTGGTTCCCCCCGGCCCTGCCTTTCCCACCGGAGCCTCTGTCCAGTGGGTCCTTTCTGAATCCCATTGTCTTTTGCTCAGATTCCTGCTTAAATACAGAAGAAAGACAGTGCCAAGCTGACCCAGGTACAAATCCCAGCCGCAGGTGTCAGTCAGGAGCATTTGGGTCGCAAGAAACCGGAAACCAGCTTCAAGCTGGCTTTAGAAAGAGGAGAATTTAGGGGCGCCTGGGTGGCTCAGTCAGTTGAGCGTCCAACTTCGGCTCAGGTCATGATCTCACGGTTCGTGGGTTCCAGCCCCGCGTCAAGCTCTGTGTTGACAGCTGGCTCTGAGCCTGGAGCCTGTCTTCGGATTCTGTGACTACCTCTCTCTCTGACCCTCCCCTGCTCATGCTGTCTCTCTCTCTCTCTCTCTCTCTCAAAAATAAATAAAACATTAAAAATAGAGAGAGAGAATTTACCAGCTCAAGGAATAGGGAAGTCCAGGAATGGCCCTGGCTTCAGCTCTGGATAGAAAGAGGGGCTCAAAGGAGGGCACAGGGTCAGGTCGCCTCCCAGCTGCCTCTATGGGGTCCTGCACACCCTCCGGCAGGCTGCGCCCACTAACCTGGGAGCCCCAGGCTTCCCTTCACTTACCAAGGCCTAGGCTTGCCTGACTCAACCCCCAGGGCAGTTGCTGTGAGAGCTCAGGGGGCGCCTGGCCCAGGTGTCAGGTCCCCACAGCCCTGTGGATGTGTGCAGGGGGTGAGCGCCCCCAACACCCACTCCCAATGCTCCTCCCCCTGTATCATGTCAGCACAGAGGAGGTGCTCAGTATCAGCCCCGATTATCAACAGCTTGTTGCTGCTGAGTCTTAACAGTGTCTTCATCCATCTGTCCTATCATGAGCCTGCCCATCAGAAAACATTTCTTCCCTCCCCCAGTAAGATTCGGCGTCATATTTTTATGTATCCATTCATGAGTTCCTTCACCAACGTTCCCTGACAGGTCCTCAGGGCAAGCCCAGTGCTGGGTGATACGGAGACAGAGCCCATCCCTGACCTGAGGAGGTCACAGCAGGGGAGGAAGGGGCATCCTCGCCAGCCTGCGGCGGATGAGTGGAGGGCTCCCCAGAGGAGCTTCCCCGGGCCACACTGTGTCTTGCTTGGAACCAGGAGGGGGCGGACAGCAGGCTCTGTCGTGGCACCCGGCAGGAGGGAACAGCTCAGGCTGGGAGGGCAGGGTCCCCTATGGGATGTGTCTCTACCTCCCAAGTAGAGACAGCACCCCTCTCAAAATGCTATTGTGATTACCCATTTTCTTGACTCCCTGCCCCGCCCACACCTCAAGTACAAGGAGAAGCCTGCCTCCCCAGGACCCAGGCCAGGCCTGACACACGGGAGACGCAGAAAGGTGCTACCAGCAACAGTCACAGCCAAAGGAACTGATTACGTAATTTATTTGAATCTCAGAAATTTGTCCAATCGATTTGGAGGCCTCCACTGTCTCCCAGGAGACCTGCCTCCCACCTCAGTCCCTACCTAATGCCGGCACGCGCTGAAGGAACCTGAGAAACATTTAGGGGCCAGGATCGCCCCTCATGGGCACATTCCAGTGAAATCCCTGATTTAGGGGCCAGGTTACGAAAAGGGGGGAGACAGACCGAGGCAGCATTTATAAAAGTGGCTCAGATTGTGGTAAAGCTACAGGCCGCACAGTGCTTTGTGGTTTTTGCCACAACAGGGCAACCCTGAGCTCCATCCACGCACCCCAGAAAGCGTGTCAACTCAGTGCATGCGTGTTCGCATGATTAAAGTCCTAGTTGGCAAAGGAAACCACATACCCGAGGCCCCTCTATGGGCACCACCAAGCCCCCTGGGAAGCTCGCAGACCTCTCCAGAGACAGCAGAGGGGCCTCCACTTGCTTGTGCTTCTTTGAGGCGGGGGGTGGGGGTGCAACAGCTGGGGGACCCCCATACCCAAGGCAGATCTCCACCGGGCCTCCACGGGCTGTGACCCCCAGCAAGTCACTTCCCCCCCTCGTGGGTGCCCTCCGCCAAAAGCTGGGACAACATATCTAGAATTATGATGAGGAAGACAACGTGAGGGTTTATCCCACGGGCAGCCTGGGGGAGGGCGTCCCGGGGGACTGTGTGGAAGTCTGTCCTCCCTGAGCTGAGCCGGCCTCCAGCCAACCCCGCCTTCCAGCCCTTGAACTCCAGATGTGGGAGTGCCAGGCAAGTGGTAACAAAACTGGCCACGTTGGTTCTAACTGCTTGAAACTGCACCTCGGCCCTTAACAAGGTTGAGAAGATCCTGAATCATGTTTAAAGTTGATTTGTATCCCCGCTTCCTGTAACACTGCTGGTTACAGGGCTTTTGGCTTAAAGCTGCAAAATTACTGAACAGAACCACCTAATAGGCTCTAGCCGCTTCTAACCCTAGAAGCCAGGGGGCCAGTCCCAGCTCACTGCAGGAGGTGGACGGCCGCGGCCTTTCGGATGAGCCGCTGGGTCAGGGGTGAGTTCGGCTTCAAGGCATCACGCTCCATCAGAAGGCTCCTGTGGAGACAGGGACGGGGTCTGTGGTGGAACCTTCTAGAAGAATGTGGGACCTGATGGTTCCCAGACCCCAAGGCAGGACAGGTGGCTGGGGCTAAGATGAGCAGAGAGCAAGTTACTCCCCTTCCTGGGCTACTGGAGAGGGGACAGAAGGGACAGCCCAGCAGTAGGAGGCCTGACCTTGGTAGGGGGACCAGGGCCAAGGCAGTGCACGGGGGGGGGGGGGGGGGGGGGGGGGGGGGGGGGGGGGGGGGGGGGGGGGGGGGGGGGGTTGCGGTTCAAGGATGAGAAGGTAGGGACTCCAATGTGAAACCAGGACGTCCAGCTTCTGGAGAACATTTTAACACTGTCCCCAAGACACACATAACTGGGTGAGCACATAACTGTGGCTCCATCTGCCTCCGGAAGCCAGGGCCCATCCTCCCACCAGCCAAGAGGGTAGAATTGGGCTCTAGGGGTCAAGGGGAAGCCACGCACGAGGGCTGCTGGGATGGCCAGTGGCTACAGAAAACCTCAAGTGTGAACAAAGCAAGTCTCGTTTAAGGGAAAGACCTCAAACAATTGACAAGAGTGATTCTGGGGGGGGAGAGGGTAAGGGGCTAGGCCTGGCACTCGGGGTGAGGACAGCATTGCAGGGGCCCAGGATCTCCACCTCGGAGGGGAAGGGCATGAGCTTCCTGTCACCCTGGCTGCAGGAGGTGCCCCTCGGCAGTCCACACGGGCTCCCGGCTGCCTCTGCAGCCCAGTCCCCCCCCACCCCGGCACGCCCGCGGGCAGACCCCCTGCCACGCAGCACCCTCTGCCCGGCCCAGCGGGCGCCCTCCACCCACCCTGCACCTGCTCCAGCCCTCAGCCCTCCTGCCTGAAGAGCCTCCCCTTCCCTGCCAGCCTGCACCCACACCGGGACCTGGAGCTCTCAGAGGGATCTGGCCACTAAAGGAAGGGGTGGGGTGTGGCTTTTGCGTATGGCCATGAAGGGGTGGATGGCATGTGTCCAAAGATGCGTCAGAGTTTTAACCGAGTCCAGAGTGGGCACACCTGTTGCATCAGCACCGAGAACCCCTGCACTGCTCCGTCTGGGAATGCTGTGGGGACAGCTGGGACCCCCAGCATGCGCCCCCTGCGCTTAGACCCTGGGGCTTTTCCACCTGTCCCCCACAGCTCCGCCAGGGGCCACCCAGGACACCGACCCCCTGGACACCCTACAGCTCCTCCCTCCCTTGCCCATTCCTGTGCCAAGTGGGGGGGGGCGCAGGGGACCCATGAAAAGAGGTCACGTCTCACCCCAGGGGTATAAGGTTTGGTGCAGGAAGCAGCGTGGAACTCGGCCGCCCCATGCAGGGCAAGTCAGGGTGTGGGAGCTCCAAGGCTGCTGGCGAGAGCTGCTTTGCAGAGCTCTCTTCTGGGGGCACCCCCACCCCAACATCCCTAACCCCCCAGCCCTTCCTCTCAACCAGACCGTGGGTGTGGTCAAACCCGCTGGTTTCTGGCCTCCCTTCAACTGTCTTCTTCAGGGCATCCTCTCTCTTCAGGGCATCCTCTCTCCCCCTGACTCCCAACCAGCTCTGACTCCACCACAGCCTTCAGAGCAATGTGCCCCGCCGTGTTTGTGTGTGTGTGTGTGTGTGTGTGTGTGTGTGTGTGTGTGAGAGGGAGAGATAGTTGACAGTGTTAGTTCCCACGTGAGAAATAAGCACCCCCCACCAGGCCTTGGGTCTGCCTGCCCCCCCACCTCCTGGAGTCCAGCACATCAGCCCCGTGAGAAAGAAAGAGCATCCCCAGCAAAGGATGGGCATGTGCAAAGGCCCGGGACCCTGAAAGAGCAGGACATGTTGGGTAACTTGCAGTTCAGCATGCTAGAACGAGGAGTGAGCTGGGGAGGGCCGCCCTGGGGGTGGGGTGGACCCCGTCTGGTCAAGCTGAGCATGCTAACAGGGAAAACCACGCCCCCAGCCCCTTCCGCAGCCTCCTGTCCTCACAACCTCGGGAGGTGGGAGCCTCAGAGCAAGCTGGAGACCCCCGTGCGAGAGAGGCAGTGATGCTCAGAAACACCCCCAAGCCCAGGATGGATGCGAGCGGGGGAACTCACCGCGCCACGTTCTTGTGGACGCCGGAAGTGCAGTTCAAGGCTGCGTGGATCAGTAACTGGTTGAAGACGTCTCTCTGAAAGGTCACTTGGGCAGGTTATGCTCCCGTAAGGCGGGATGAGGGGTGGGAGCCCCAATCCCCACCGCTGGCATGGCTGTTCTCGGGGACAAACTCCCGGGGGGGGGTGTGAAAGGGAAGCACACCCCCACACCAGGGGCACCCACCCTGAGACACTGCTGGAGCCGGGCTGCCGGGAAGGCCGCAGGCCGGAGGCTCACCTGGGCGTTGCTGCCTCCGATCTGGACAATCCGGTAGCGGATGGGCAGCAGCAGCTCCACCACACGGTCTGGGTTCCCGTTCTCGGCCTCCACCAGGGCCTGGCACAGAGGCAGCCCCACGTCACGGGCCAGGAGGTGCTGGCAGTTCTCCCCAGGGGACCTGCCGGCCGAGCAGATGCCCTCGGTCACCCGGAGGGCACCTTGCACTGTCCGTCACAGCACAGATGCCTCCGTGCCTGCCTCGGGCGTCCCCAGCTCCGTGCCTGACACATGGCAGGCGCTTGGGTCGGGTGAGCCGACAGAGGGGAAGCGGCCGGGAAGGGGAAACCAGAAGGTTCTCTCAACCCTGGGTCGAACTCTGCCGTTCACGAGCCACCTGGCTGCAGGCAGGTCCCTCAACTTGCTCATCTGTGAAGTGTGGGGACAGTGCCAACCGCTGGGGGCTGTCAGGAAGCTTGCAGACAATGCAGCTAGAGGCCTGGTACTGGAGCTGGCCCCGAGGCCAGGGAGGTGGCTGTCACAGCCTGTCTCCCTGCTGGCCCTCAGGTGGCCGCTGGTCTGGGTCACGGGCCTGCAGCCATGGAGACAGCAGCCAGCTCCAAACCTGTCTGAAAAGCCAGAATCAAATACTCAAGTGCTTGGTGGGCTCCCCAGGCCTTCCTTGTGGTGAAAAGACCGCTAACAGCGGGCACCTCTCCTGAAGCTGCCTCCCTGGCCAAAGCCCACGGTTCCCGCAGCACGGCTCTGGGAGGAGGCCAGGGCAGTGGCCATGGTGGTGGCCAGCTTGGGTGTGGCCCCCAGGCCAGGCCACCAGTGGCCACACCTCCCCCAGCTCCAGCCCTACATGGGGGACTCAGCTACATCCCTGGCGGCCCACACCGCAGAGGACCCTGCCCTCCCTGGACTCCCTCGGACCTCCACCGAGGTGTGTCACCATGTCCTGCCCCTCACTCTCCCACCAGCCTGCCTCAGCAGACACTGTCCCCCAGTTGCAGATGAGGAAACTGAGGCTCAGAGCAGCGAAGCACTGTGTCCAGGATCTCAGATGCTGGAAGCGGCAGGTCTTTCTGGTTCCAGGGCCTCACCGTGTTCCCCGCGGCACACACCCATGACATGGACGCTGTCACCCCAGCTGGGGGATGACCCCCCATCGATTGGAGGAACAAATGTACCCCGTGAGATACATCACCTGGGAGCCACACCTGCGGGGTGCACGGATGGCAGCACCCCCCGCAGCATCTCACCAGTGGACCCCCACCCACAGCGCCCCCGGCGGGCACGCCCCCAGCACCCCGTTGCCCCCGCAGCAGGGCCCAGTCTCTGGTGCCTACTCGCTGGCGTCCTGCAGGGTGGTCAGAAGCTCCTGCGTGGTCAGGGGGTCCCGAGCGCCCAGGGATGCCATCAGGAAGTGCGCGTCGTTGAACAGCAGGATGTGGTCACGGCTGTGCTTCTGGGTCACCGGCAGGACATCCTGCCACCGCTCACCCACGGACACCCCTGAGGACACGGGGAAGAAACCCCAGGCCTGGCGTTCGTAGGAGCACGTCCTGCGCAGGGGCCCCTGGACCCCCACACCCCCCAGAGGCCAGGCAGGTGAGCAGGGCTGGCAAACGGCCTCATACCTTGGGCCCGGTTTATGTTAACTTTAATTATTTTTTACATGTTTATTTACTTTTGAGAGAGAGACAGACAGACAGACTGCAAGCAGAGGAGGGACGGAGAGAGAGGGAGACAGAATTCCAAGCAGGCTCCAGGCTCTCAGCTGTCTGCACAGAGCCCGACACAGAGCTCAGATTCAAGAACTGGGAGATCATGATCGGACACCTAACCGACTGAGCCACCCAGACACCCCTAACTTTGTTTAATTATAAAAGCAATAGACGCCTAAGGTAGAAAGCAAAGTAATCTATTGAAGGGTAGTAAATGAAGTTTCTGGACCCTTTGACAACCCCCCAAACTGTTTTTAAAACTCTTCCTGAGGGGTGGGGGGACCTGGGTGGCTCAGTCAGTTAAGCATCCGACTTTGGCTCATGCCATGATCTCACGGTTTGTGAGTCTCAGCCCTGCATCAGGGTTACTGCCGTCGGCACAGAGCCTGCTTCAGATCCTCTCTCTCCCTCTCTCTGTGTCCCTCCCCTGCTTGCACTCTTTCTCTCGCTCAAAAATAAAACTATTTAAGAATACAGAAGTAAAATAAAATTCTTCCTGTGATTACCGTTGGTATGACACCTGAGAGGTAAAAGGTGTTCGATAAAAATCCTCTCAGTTAATAAATAATCTTCCCACCTCTGTGTCTGGCTTTCTCAACTCTGGACAGCCCGTACTTCTCCGCTCCCCAGGACCACCTCCCGATTCCTGGAAGTTACTAGCTGCTTCCTGCCTCTCGGGGCACCTCCCAAAGTGGAGATGTTGCACTTGACCTTTGTCTCTCAGCCCGTCAAGTCAGACACGTCTCTTGAGTCTCCACTCTAGCGGGGTGGGGGTGGGGGGGCATGTACTTTCTCTTCCCTCCGCGTGCCCCTGGCCCAGGACTCTGCCTCCCAGCCTCTGTCCTTCTGAGCCTCCCCCCAGTGTTGAGAGGCTTCAGGGTCCCCAGAGAGTTCCAGGTGGCTTCAAGGCCCTCCCGCTGCAGGCGAAGGGCTCACAGGGTCTCCGGGTCAACAGAATTCCACTTTTTTCCAGGCCCCTCGACAGCCCAGCTATCCATTTTGCCATCTGACCATCGTGAGCTGGCCTAGAATACGCGGTAGCAGCCTCCGCTCTGACCCCCGGCCTCTGGCCTCCGCCCACCCGAGCTCAGCCCCAGCTGCCCGCCTCTCAGCCCGGACCACACAGACCCTGCTCTCCGGTCACTCATCCTGTAGCAGGTGCTGGTATCCGTGTCCTGGGGGCAGTGGATGGACTGCTCCCTGCACCTAACACCCTTCCCATCCCCGCCTGGCAAAACCCTACACACCCTTCCGGGCCTCACATTTCACCTCCTCCAGGAAGCCTTCCTGGAACCCTCCAGAAAAAGCTTGCCCTGCCCAGGCCTCATCCCCACATTGTCTTGCTGACCCGGGGCCTAGAGTGGATCCGGGCTGGGCCTGAGGGAGCAGGGAGTAGCGTCTGGCACCAGGCTACCTGCAGAGTGTGGGGTGACGTTGAGAAACCTCACTCTCTGAAATCCCCGGGAGTTGAGAAACCGTCACCTCTCTTGTTCTAGGACAGGAGGCAGCACCAGGGACAGGCGGCCAGGTGCTGCCTGTGCCCCCCAGGTGCGGTGTGCGGCCGCGGGAGGGCTGGAGGCACCTGCAGAGCCAGCACCCAGGGCCACAGATGGGCAAGCCGCTGGCGCCTGCGGCGGGGCCTGGATCAGGAGCGCCTGCCCGGCTCTGGGCCCAGGTCCCCTTCCTCTAGGCCTGTGGGAGGGGAGAGGGCAGCGGGGCGCGAGCGGAGTGCGCAGACCGGGCTACCTTCCATCTGCAGCCGGTACAGCATGGAGCAGCTGTCCACCACATCCAGCATCGCCCCGCTGGCCTTCAAGCTGGGGAGGACCTGGAAGACACAGGCAGCCGGGCACGTGAGGGGCCGCAGGGACGGCCGCGTGCGGGCCAGCACGGAGCCAGCTCTCGGCCAACAGGAGCGCCCGCCGCCGCCCCCTCTGCCTCAACTACCAGGACCATCCCCTTGCCCAGGCGTGTGGCCGATCCGAACGCGAGACCCAAAGAAAGGACCGTAGCCTCCAGCACAGGCCGGGCCTTGGCACCTGGCACCTCCCGTCCCCGGTCTCAGGCCATGCTGGTGGGAGGCCAGGTCGCCCGTTCCCGGGTCCGTGTTCAGCCGGCCTGTCCCTCGTGGCTGTCCAGTAGTCAGCCTTCATTTCTCACTACACACTCCCGATAAAACTCAACCGAAACTTTACTAAATGGTTTCCTTGGGTTCAGAGCCCCAGGCACCAAGCATTTCTGCAACCCTGATCTGCTATGAAGTCTGCACGGGGGAGAGGGGGGTCTCAGGAGCTGCACATTAGGCTTGTTTTCTCTTAGAGGCATACGTAGGGTCTGGAGGAGGGCGAGCAGGGGTTAGTGTTCAGTGGGCACGGAGCTGCAGTCGGAGAAAACCAAAGAGTTCCAGAGATAGGCCGTGGTGACAGTGAATGAACCCAGGGCCACCAAACCATATGCTCAAAAATGATCCCAATGCGGGGCGCCTGGGTGGCTCGGTCAGTTGAGCACCTGACTTCCGCTCAGGTCATGATCTCACAGTCTGTGGGTTCAAGCCCCACGTCGGGCTCTGTGCTGACAGCCTGGAGCCTGCTTCGGATTCTGTATCTCCTTCTCTCTCTTGTCTCTCCCCTACTTGTGCTGTGTCTCTCTCTGTCCCTCAAGAATAAAGAAGTGTAAAAAAACAAAAAGATCCCAATGCAACTTTTGTATATATTTTGCGACAGTAACAAAAGTTCCCACGAGCAGATCGCTGATCCTACCAAAGAAAAGCAATCTAAAATGACTAGGGAAAAGTGCATGATTCCAGAAAGGAGCAATTTCGAGGCGTCATTCTACCAGTGCCCACGGCGCACAGAGCCCGAGTGCCTTCACTCCACCCCGGTTATGCCACCGCGTGGGGCAAGAATTCACCCCGGGAGGCTTTACACGAGAAGTGAGTTCTTGCTTCAGCTGTTGTTTTTGGCTGAGATGACACTGACCTCAAATACCCGCTAGAGACTAAAAGGCAAATTTTTGCCAACAACCGAAGTGGGTGCCAAGGCAGACTTACGTGCTTATCGTAAATGGTCAGCGCAGCCTCGTATTCGCCCTGGAGAAACCAAGGTCCTGTGATCAACATGCAGCAAAGGTGAGGGGCGCCTGGGGGGGCTCAGTCGGTTAAGTGTCCAACTCTTGATCTTGGCTCAGGTCAGGATCTCACAGTTTGTGAGTTCGAGCCCCACGCTGGGCTCTGTGCTGACAGTGCGAAGCCTGCTTGGGATTCTTTCTTTCCCTCTCTTTCTGCCCCTCTCCCGTTGTGTGCACACCCTCTCTCTCTTTTTCTCTCAAAATAAATAAGTAAACTTTAAAAAAAAATACAAAAACATGTAGCAAAGGTGAAATGTAAAACTGAGAAATGAGCCGAAAAGTCAATCCCCGCCCCCCACCCCCAGGACGTTCCACGGGGGATGGGCAGTGTCGCCGGAGGGTCTTAGGGTGAACAACCTGAACCACTTCTGCTCCGGACTCTTGGTCCCTCTGCCACTAAGGGGACATTTTCTGTCGAAGCATTATTTATTGTCCACTGCCCTTGTCCAAATCTTACGAGCTTTCTCACGTTATTTCTTCTAGTCTTTTTTTTTTTTCTCTTTTTTCTCTATTTTCCTTGCTGTACACTCAGTGGGGGCCGCTGCTCACTTCCAGACACTGTATCACAATGTCACCGTGTCACCGCTGGCCCCTCAACTTCTGAGCATTTTCCTTTGGACTTTTTCTAGATTTTCTGATAAGCACCATCGTAAGAAGCTCCCGTACAAACGGGACCGAGGGGCGGAATCACTGGGGTCAAGGGCGTTCCCCACATCCCCGCTCTCACTGGGACAAAGCCTTTGGAAGTTCCCATGGCTCATCCAGGTGCAGTCTGAGGGGTGGGGGCTTAGTGGCTCATGCCAGCAGCAGAGGACACTTGGTCCAAACCGTCTCCACCAATTACACACAGTGCACATGACTTCTGCGTCCGCACAGTGAAAAACACCTGACGCAGTTTAAGCCTGAAAGCTATCTGAAAACGTTAATGCTCTGTTACTCCTGGGCATCATTTAAACGTGCAAACCCAAACTATTATCCCGGGGACATAGCAAAATGTAGAAACATATTTATTTCTCTGGACATCTTTATAGTATAAGACAGCTAACCATCTTACCTTCTCAATCAGATACAGAGCCCAGTGCCAATAATTATGACAAGCAAGCATATCAGCGTCCTGGGGGGGGGGGGGGGGGGGGGGGGGGGGGGGGGGGGGGGGGGGGGGGGGGGGGGGGGGGGGGGGGGTGGAATAAGAGAATTAGAAAAATCTGATGGCCTGTGGGGAAAAAGTGCCGGCTGTGGTTTTGTGACAATGCAGGATGGTCCCTCAAGCGCGAGGGCGGGACGCATCCCCCCGGCGCCCATGCCGAGGCGGCCTGTGCGGCTCCGTGCCCCGACGTCCCTGTCATATCTGAGGGATGGCCACCACGGAGTCGGAGACCCAGGGAGCCCGGCAGCTAAGGTAGGAGGAACAGGGCCGGCACAGAGGCTACCCCTCTCCTCAAGCCTCGAGAAAACGAGTGATGAATCCACAAACAGGTGCCAAGGCTCCCGGGGTGTCCGAAGCCCGTGAGGATCCCTGAGCCCAGGGCTGGACTCCCCGCAGGTACTGGTGACGCCGGCAAACAAGAGGGGGGGTGCGGCTGGCATCTGGGCGGCTGCTACCGGCAGTCTGTCGGCCCCATCGCGAGCACTAGCCCTTCCTTCCGGGAGGCTACTGCAAACACTTTGTCCTCTGCCTGGACACCAACTTCCAGCTCCTGGAAAGAGGAACGTAGCCCACGTCCACCTTGCACCTGTGCTTGACGACACCCTGGCAGCCGGTGTCCCCTCTTCCTCACCGGCCCCTGCAGGTCTCGGTGTCTTTGCTCAGTCTGACTGGAATACCCTTCATCTCCACATCCATCACCTGGAAAACTCCTATCCATCCTTCAATACCCAGTTGAGGGGTTGCCTCCTCCAGGAAGCCTTCCCTGACCACTTCACCCTCAAGTCCTGTGGGGTTGGAGGCCTCCTCTGGGTTTCCACATCCCTGAGAGTGCCCCGGTCATGGTGTGGTTCGTGGTCTGCTGGGAAGCTACTCACTCCACTTCATCAGGCCTTTTGAGGACAGAGAAGTCTGGGACAGACTCTCTGTGGAGTCCCCAGGGTAGGATCTTGACTGAGCTCCAGTCTGGGGCAGGAGGAGTGGGAAAGGGAGGCCCAGGCCTCACCATCTACTGCAAGACTGGCCTGCCCGGGCCAGAGGCTGCCAGGAACCACAGCAGGGGACAGATGCAAACCTTAGCCTGGGCTGGCTGTCTAGAACCAAAACCAATAAGAACTCATTTGGGACCAAGGGCTTCACAGTTGTTACAACAGCAGATATACAGATGAGGAAACCAAGGCTCACAGGGATCACTTTATTGCCCTAGGGTCCAGCCAGCCCTCCAACACCCAGTAAAACCACAGCGTCTGGGGGAGGGATGTGAATGGAATGTGCTGGAAGGTCCTGGCCCAGGCCTTCCCTGGCCTCCTGTGGTTCTGTCTGGGCAAGCCCCTGGCCCTCAGCCCGGAGGATACGGCCATGCGGCTGTCCCTCCCCCAGACTCAGCACTCTCACAAGCACTATCCGTATCTGCCTGGGGGAGTCGAGTGCACACCATCGGCTCCTCTGCTCCCCGCTACAATGCGTGCTCCCCGAGCCCACTCCATGGGCTCCGTGCTGAGCCAGCTAGCTGGTGGTGACAGAAAATGCAGCTCAGGCTGCTGACAGTTCTCACCCATGCCAGGCTCTTCTGTCCTAGGTAATTTCCTGATCGTTCCTTTACACCAAATGCCCCAGCCCAAAACCTCTTCTAGAATCACCTGCAAAACACTGGCAGGTTTCGGCGAGCCCTGTGGCTCCCTGGAGACTGCGGCTTGACAGAAACGAGCTCCCCCAGAACTAAGCTGCGCCCTGTGACTTCTGTCCATAAATTCTTAACTCAAGAGCACAGGCGGAACTTTCCAGGCACATGACCCATTGCCAATAGTCATACCTTCCAGTGGGTTTCCGAGTGCTGCATAAATTCCAATCCACCCTGGATTTCTGCCTTCATCTCGTGAATGTGGGCAACGGTGTGCACCGACCATGCGTCTGTTGGGTTGATGGACAAAGCCTGCATGGGGAGGGGGTGGAAGTTGATTGGAGATCATGAGGGTTGGTCAAGCTGCGTCTCCAGGTTACCCGGAGACCAGGGGTCTGAGCTGGACGGCGGAGTGCGGGGATGGAGCAAGTGCGCGCACTGGGCTCTGCCTCAAGGCAACAATGACCCTGAAGTCTAGCCCCGCTGACCATGTACAGGATGTCCCCAGTGAGGATGTCACCGCCCATTTCAAAGGTAAAGAACTGAGCTCAGGGAGACAGACTGATCTGCTCAAGACCACAGCTGGGTCTTTCCAAAGCCAGGACTCATCCTCCTGGCCCCGGAGCCTCCTGCACACAGCTGAGTCACCTGCAACATGCCGGCTGGCCTCTCTGGGCCTTCCTCCCCACCCCACCTCCCTGGCAAGAAGCAATGCCGCCTTCCCCTCGGGACTGCCCGTAGAGACGGAGTGGGTGAACGCTGTGCAGACTGCAGACTGCCGAGTGCTCGTGGCTGCCCCTTGTGGATGACCACGCGTATGGCAGCCTGGGCTCATTCTGACGTGAGTGCTATTAATAACAACAGCCACTCACATGACCAGCGAGCCTGACCGTGACCAGCAACGCAGGCAGGACACAGGGTATGATTCCTACGCCCCTGGAGCTTCCTTCTAGTCCCGTGTTCAGCTCACGTTTACGGCGGCGCCTCCTAAGCGCCAGGCCCAGGGCAGTAGGCTGAAGCTCAAGGTCACCCAGTGGACAATCCACCCGAGCCCAGGTCCCGCACAAGTCACTCTTTCCCCGGCCCCACTGACTGCCTCGGTGCCCCGCGCCTTTCACAGAGGCAGAGCCCCCGGCCTGGCACCTGCTGTGAGGTCCATGCGGACAGGCCGACCCCAGTAAGTCCCGCCTCTCTGCTCCCGCCCACTGCTTGTAGGGGTCCACCCAGTCCACATGGGGACGCTGTAAGAAAGAAGGTGTCCTTGGGGACAATGAGCACCCGAGCAGAGCCCTGTAGGAAGGACCAGGACACTTCGGGGGGCCGCAGGGGCACAGCTGTGCAGGCCCGGGAAGGCGCGTCTGGAGAAGGGACGGCCTAAGTGTGCTGCTCTCGTGTGGGGTGCAGCTCAGGGCAGGGAGCTGCTCAGACCGCTGCCAGGATTAGGCCCCACCCTCTACGATGGCTCCTGACCAGCTTCCTCCCAAGTCTCCCTGGGACAGAGCACGAGGCACTGCACGACCTGCCCCGACTGGCCCCCAACCTTGGCCCCTAGGGCCCATCCCACCCCCACACACCAGGAGCCTCAGCCTATCACGAGGCTCCAAGCTTCCTGAGCTGGAAGGCTGTGCTCCCTGCGCTTCGCTCCTCCAGCCCCTGGGGTTTGCTCCGCAGATGCTCTCAGGCCCCCGCATCACCGCCATCAGCACCGCGAGGCCTCCCCAGGCTCCAGCGGCCTGGTGCAGCTGCCCTCGCTCTCCGAGAGGCCTGGCGGTCACTGTCACAGCACGGCCCTGCCCCATAACCATCCCTCGGGTACTGGTGTTGGGCTCCGAGCATGGCGCCCACGGGAGCGGGTACAGCAGGAGAAAGGGGAGCCCCATTCCACCTCATCCTGTTCCCGGTGGGGCGTAAGCCTGCACCTTTTGTCTGCCCTCTAGCTTCCTGGGCCATCTTGACAGCCCTCAGGTGCCCAGGGCCACCTTCCTGTGGCTGAGCCGCCGGACGGTGTGGAGCCCAGACGGCCGTGAAGCACGGACCCTTCCATCACCCTGGGCCCCATCTCTATAACCAGAACAGGCTTCAGAAGCCTCACGGCCTCCTGGGCCCCCCGAGGGTGCAGGCTGCCTCCAGGGGAGGGGTACTGCGGGCAACCAGGGTGCCGTCTGTGGGGAGGAGCACCGGCTGGGATGCTGGGGAGCCGGGCCTGGTCCAGGCAGCTAAAGACCGGTAGTCAGGTCAGGTGGCCCGGGAAAGCACGCGCTCTGCCCTCCCTGAGCTGCCTGAGCGTGAGCAGGCCCCGGCCTTGGCCTCTGACCGTGGGCCCCCCATCTGGACAGCGAGGAGAGGACTGCCCTCTGGCAGAGGGGATGAGGAGCCTGGAGCCAGGCACAGGAGGGGCGGCACCCCCTGGATCTATTTCCACTCCTGTGAGGTGGGCCTGGAGGGCAGGGACTCCAAGGGCACAGGGGACACCTGGTGCCCCAGGCCCCCCGCCACGGCCTCCTGCGTGGTCCTGGGCCGCCGGTGAGGCGTGTCCACTATGCGCCTCGGTACGAGTCAGCCCACCAGGCGAGCGTGACAGGAAGGGCCTGGGCCGACAGGAGGCACCTGGCAAACCACACTCCTCTGCACCCTTCACCACGGTTCCCCCACCCCGGAGGGAGGCAGAGGTCAAAAGAAGGGCTAGCTGGCAAGACCCCAATGCCCAGGTCAGGGCCCACCTGCAGGCAGCCTTCGTGATCATGGCGCAGCTCCCTGGAGCTCTGGACAGAGGCAGACGAGAGCTCAGGGAGCCCGAGCGGCCCTGTGCCGGGAGGGAGGGAAAGTGGACACAGCTTCCCCGGGGCCTTGTTCACCTTCTTGGCCCGTGGACGCAGTTTGCAGGCTGTGGGAGGGCCAGCTGCTTTCGCTGTTAATACGAGTCCTCCCCCAGGCTTCTAAGGAAACGGGACCTGAGTGGGGGTGCTGTGTGTGTGCTCAGCCTGCCTGACGCCACTCCCCGAGGGGAGGCCCTGGGGAAGGGCCCGCTTACCTCTTTGGCAAGCTTTTCTGCCTTATCATAGAAGTTGGTTTCCATCAATCCAAAAGAATAGATGCCTTTCACGTAGCTAAAAGAGAGAGAGAAAAAAAAGTCTTGGACAGCAGTGGACTGTTCCAGCGTCAGTATGGGCTGAACTGTGTCCCCCAAAATGATGCTTGAACACAGACCCTAATTGGGAATGCGGGTGTTTGCAGATGCATTTGAGCTGAAGTCCTACGGGATGAGGGTGGGCCCTAAACCCAGTGACCTGAGTCCTTACAAGAGAAAGGAGAGGAAGACTTGGACAGGGACGTACAAACAGACACAAAGGACGGACCCGTGTGAACACAGAGGAGACTGCAGCCATGTGGCTACAGGCCAAGGAACGCCCAGGATTATCAGCTACCGCCAGAAGCCAAGGGGAGGCGAGGAAGGTGCCTCCCCTAGAGCCTCCGGAGGAAGCGCGGCCCTGGTGATGCCTTGATTCCCGATGTGTGGCCTCTGGAACTGGGAGAGAAAGAACTGTCGCTTTAGGCTGCCAGTTTGTGGCCCTTCGTGACAGCAGCCCCAGGAAACGGACACACGCTCCCCCCCCCGGTACCACCCTAAACCCTGGGCTTCCCACCAACTGGATGCTTCTGATCGGTGGGGAGTGCCGTGACCTTCATCGTCTGCACAATCGTCCGACCCCCAAGCCCCGTCTCTGCAGCAGGCACCTCTGCAATTTGCATCCCACCCCCTAAGACATCAGTGCACTGTCTCCACTGAGGATGACAAGGGCCCTCTCCTTCCTGTCCGGATGGTGACACCTCCCTTGGGAGGCACTCATGAGCACAGGCCGGCAGTGCGCCCACCCCCGCCCAGCCTGGCCTGTGCCCGCTGGACAGCTCCTCCCCCGCCCCCAGCTCCTAGAGGCCAGGATCCCATCTGTCCAGCTGACTTTTGGCCCAGCCCCAGCCCAGGATGGGCTTGAAGGCACTTCACTGAATCAGGGCGCGCTGCCCTTTCTCATCTGTGATCACGGGCACCGAGTGCCAGGGCAGTCACATGTGAGAGGCGGTCTTTCCTGGAGTTTTACGGGATTCCGTGAAAAAAGAAAAGAGCAATAGAGTTTCTATTTGTGGCTCAGACGTTATCTTTATTACCATGCAGAGTGACAAAGTCTAGCTCTCATGATTCACAGAAGGAGTGTTCTGCCACACCGGCTTCCAGACTTGTCTCTTAAAAGTTTCTTTCTCTTTTTTTTTAAGTTTTATTTATGTTGAGAGTAAGAGAGAAAGTGGCGAAGGGTCAGAGAGAGAAAGAGAGAGAGAGAATCCCAGGAAGACTCTGCACTGTGAGCGTGGAGCCAGATGTGCGGCTCAAGCTCATAAACCATGAGATCATGACCTCGGCCGAAGTTGGAGGCTTCACTTACTGACCCACCCAGGCGCCCCTTAAATATTTATTTCTTTTAAGTATTTAAATATCTATATCTTTTAAAGATTTAAATATTTTAAATATTGCTTTAAAATATTTATTGGGGTCATCTAACCTTCCACATTTAAACATGCATTGAATGCTTATGGGGTACCCGGTATGGTAGGCTCTGTGATGGTTACTCTCATGTGTCACCTTGGCTGTACCCAGTTGTTTGGGCAGATACTATATAGACGTTTCTCTGAAGGTACCTCTCAGACGTGATTCACTCAGGCTTCGAGTGAAGCAGTTTACCCTCCATAATGTGGGTGGGCCTCGCCCAAACAGTTGAAGACTTAAGCGAAAGGACCGAGGTCCTCAGAAGAAGGAACTTTGCCTCCAGATAACAACGCAGACTCGCCGGACCGCTGGCCCATCCTGCGGATTTCAGATTATTTGCCAGTCCCTGCACCTGCGTTAGCCAATTCCTTAAAACCAATCAACCTTCCCCCAACAGCCATATAAACGTGTAAATAATATGGCTACAGACATTCATATCCTGCTGTTCTGTTTCTACAGAGAACCCCTGCCGAAGCCAGCTCTCCAGTCCACGGGGCTGTCTGACCTCCACGACCTCCCTGTGATTAAGACCCGGCGGCGGTGACTCTGTGGCAGTCCCAAGGCCACTCAGGTCCTCCAGGCCCCCCTCTCCTCCCCAGCACACGGCAGAGCTGCACCACTCGGCGTCCTGTGGTTGGGTGACCAGCTCTGGCCAACAACTCGGGCGTGGCAGGGCAGCCCTTCCTCTCTGAGCCTTGCAGCTGTGAGTCCCTCAAGGGTGCCCTCTTCTCTCTCTCAGGGACCAGTGTGTCCAGAAAGCAGCTGCTTCATCACCTGGGACCCTGACGTGGGAGGGAGACAAGGGCAGGGGTGCAGAGCCCCAGGGCCCCCGCATGACAGGGGTGAAGCCGCTGGAGAATCAGATCTAGAGGATGCTTGTTACTGTGGCAAAAACTAGCCCGGGCTGACCACCAATACACCTGCTACTGCCTTGTTCACAGGGCACGGGGAGAGCAGAGAGATTTTTTTCACTTTCAAGAACTAGGAGAAGAGCCACAGCAGGCTCACTATTTTCGGGGCAGGGCCAGGAGACTCGCCGTGTTTTTGGGGCAGAGGAGAGAGAGAGCGAGAGTGAGAAAGAAAGAAATGACATGGTTTCCAGTTGGCACATACCTGCTAAGGGGGGTGTCAGGTGTCCAGAAGGGGTAAATCCGAGCCACGGAGTCCCGCATCTGTTCCTGGTAGCCCAGGTAAAAGTAGGCATCGTGGGAAAATTTTAGGGCTAACATGTCTGTTGGGTGGTCCCAGAGAATCTGTTCCCATAGTTCACAGGCTCTGGAAAAGTTCCTGAAAGCCAAAGAGAGATTTCTCAGCAGCGCTGAGCACGGAGTTCACACACGTGTGTGCAAAAGGCATCGTTTCTTGCCAGAGTCTGAACTGATCAGCTATATACATGGTGCATATGTATATGGAAGGAGATACATATCTATATATAGATATACATAGAGAGAGACAGAGAGACACAGAAAGAGAAACAGAGACACACACAGAGAACATATTCTATAGACACCCACACAAAACAGTTTCTATGCTGGGTTGTGGCTCAGGAAATTGAAAACCCAGTGGTAAGTTTTAGTCTGGAATGCAAACAAACAAAAAAACTGGTTTAACAGGCTGCCAAAGGCAATCTCCCTGAGACCATGAACCAGCTGCGGGAAGTCTGCGAGGGGGCAGCCACCGCCCCACCCCGGCCCCATGCCAACACCTGCCACTGATTCACTCCCTTTGTTGTTAACTGCTTCGGGACCCATCAACCATCAGCCCAGGTCGCCTAGCTGTGTGGGGCGTCTCCCCTGCCTGAGCGGAAGCAAGGGGCTGTCCCAGAGATGGGCTCCGGGATCATGACACACAAGGGGACAGCCATGGGGACAAGGGGCGGGTTGAGGGGGGAGACAACCCAGAAGGCTATGACCAGATGCTTACAAGGCTACGTTAGGGCAAAGAGGATATGGTGAGTGCTTTCTGCGCTCTTCTTTTCGGTATTTCTGTAACGTGGTCCTATCTGTTTTGTAACAAACAGGATACCCAATTGATGTAAAGAAAGGAAGCTGTCGGGGTGCCTAGATGGCTCAGGCGGTTAAGTGTCTGACTTCGGCTCAGGTCATGATCTTGCAGCTCACGGGTTTGAGCCCCGCGCCGGACTCTGTGCTGACAGCTCGGAGCCTGCTTCGGATTCTGTGTCTCCCTCTGTCTCTCTGCCCCTCCCCTCCCCCCCAAAAATAAAAAATAAACATTGAAAAAAATGTTCTTAAAGAAAGAAAGTTGGTTGAAGGCTAACTGGGAAATCCTAGCCACTGTTTTCTCGCCCTGCAGTCAGGAGAAGACAGAGCAGACAGGCAGGATACGATTTTTCACTCAGAGATGGCCACGGGAGGCAGGCCTCTTCCCAAAGGCGGTGCGGGAGCCCCGGGGCATGGCCCAGTGAGGTCTCGGGGTGCCAGCCACGGCCGGGGAGGCCCTCACCCGTTGGCAAAGGTCTCCACCGCAGACACGTGCAGCTGCTCCCGCCGCGTCAGCGGCTGCGTCTTGGAGACCTCCACCATCGTCTTCACGGCCAGGTCCAGCTCCCTGTCCAGCCTCACAGAACTTCCAGTGCCGATCAGTACGAGGCCGTTCGAGATGGCGTGGCCCATCGCTGGCGGAAGGTTGGAAAGTAGCTGGTGATTCAGAGGGTCTGGCCCAGCCCAGCCCCGCCCTGCCTGCCCAGCCTCAGGTGTGAAACAACTACCCCACGTCCCAGGAGGGGCAGGCTAGGCGGCTGGGCGGCTCTGTGCCCCTCTGCACGCAGCGGCAGGGAACCCGGCCTGGGCCCTCGCCATGCACAGAGGGCAGAGCATCCTTCCCCACCTTCACTGGGTGAACTGGTTAGGGCTGCCTGTGGGCTCCCAAGACCCCCCAGCCCCAATTTCCCTCATTGGCTGATACTGTCACCACCACCAACACCAGGCCTTTCGGGGGCTGCTCAAGAGATATTCCACACAGGGCGCTGGTCCCTGGAGTACAGTCTGTCTCAGCCACTCTCGTGCGTGGAGAGCTTGGGGGGGTGCGGTGAGGGCAGGGTGCCCTTGGAGAAACCTTGCTGGCAGGCCTGCAGCCCCCCCGGGGCCCGCCTTGGGCTTCCTGGGGCCCAGCCTGACAGATGCACGGGGTCCGCCAGCATTTGGAACTCAGTCACTGGCCCAGGCCTGAGACTGAGGACCCAACCATGGTGTTGGGACCACCCGTGTGGCCCCCGCTTCTATCCTGGGGCCCGAGGTTCTGCTCAGAGAGCCCCAGCCCCCTCCTCGCTCCTGGTCCCCCATAGGCTGGCCTCAGCTTCCTTTGTCCCGCATCCTGTGCATCCCGTCCTCAGCGGGAGCCGGCCGCAGTGGCATGGAAAGGGACAGCGCTTGCTGCCCAGCCCTCCTCAGCCCTTCTCCCGGGCCTGGAACCCCACCCCTCCTGGGGCTCCCTCCCGCTGTGTTCCAGGCCGGGTCTGGAAAATAACAAGCCTTATGTGGTCCTCGCCACCCAACATCTACCGCCTGGGTGCTTTGGGGTACATCTCTCATTCTCTCTCCTCCTCCAGAAATAGGATCAGTGTCTTCCCTGTTGAACTGACCAACAATTGGGGAAAAAATTAGGAATATGCCTTCCATGGCACCTGGCAACACTATGAAGGCGGCTGCGACGCCAGCCTACCAGGGGCTCTCACCTGCCACCAGCCCGCCCCCCTCATCCCAGCCAGTCTCCCAGGCAGAGAGGGGTCAGACCCGTGGGACGTGGTACCTCAACCCGGGGACAGCATCACTCACCAAAGGTTGGATCTGCTGCTTTGAGCTTTGACAGGCAGCCCTCAATGCCACCAAGACTTTTGTCATTGGTCCATTTGACGTACTGAAACAGAAGGCAAAACAACACTGTCCCCAGGGATCCTTAGTTCATGTCAAGGAAGGTATGCACCTAAATCTGGATTTTCTCTCTAGAGAGTTAAGTATTTCATGACCTGAACTGCACCTGAGTCGACATCATGCAAAGAGCCTGGATACTCATAACTCAAAGCACATTTTCTAGGACTGGTAGAGGCCACCATTTTCAGAAAAGAGACATCCAAAGGAAACTTCTTCCCGACAGGTGATCTGCCCAGACATCGACTTCTTTAGCCATGAGAGGAGGGCCTCAAAGTCGGGAACCACAATTAGAACCTTCCTACTTTTCATTCAATCCTTTCAAAAAAGACCATTAGGGGCAACTGGGTGGCTCAGGTGGTTGAGCGTCCAACTTCAGCTCAGGTCAAGATCTCACGGTTCATGAGTTCGAGCCCCGCGTCAGGCTCTGTGCTGACTATTCGGGGCCTGGAGCCTGCCACAGGTTCTAGGTCTCCCTCTCTCAGCTCCTCTCCTATGCGCCCTCTATCTCTGTCTCAGAAATAAACATTACAAAATTAAAAACAACACAAAACATAAAAGACCTTTAGTAAAACATTTATGATATAAAGGTAGGAAAAGGCAAAAATCCAACTTAATCACATCCCGCTACCATTTTTGACAGCTTGTTGTATCTGCTTCTAAACCTTTCCTTAAATGCCTATTTTTTCTACAAATACTAAAACTATAATAACACATTCATGAGATGTTAAAATGCGTCCTATCAGAGGGGCGCCTGAGTGGCCCAAGAGTTGAGATTCCGACTTCAGTGCAGGTCATGATCTCACGGTGTGTGATTTGAGCCAGACATGGGGCTCCCTGCTGTCAGCACAGGGCCCACTTCGGATCCTCTGTCCCTTCTCTCTGCCCCTCCCTACCCCCCCCCCCGCTCAACAATAAACAAAACAGGTATCATATCAAATGTCTGACCTACATCCACACAGAATTAGCAGACTGTATTCTGATAGGACGTGAGGGAGTTGATGCACACACTAAAAACACCCTTGCTCTAACACAGGATGGCACAGAGACCCTGACACGGGGGACAGAAGACACACAGGCGGGGTGTGGGAGGACAGTCTACACTGAGGAACGGGGCTCTTTAACAAGTCCAGCGCTCCACCGAGGCCAAAACGTGCAGGAAGGGCCCAGAGCTCAAATGCACAAAGTGGAGTCCTTTTCCAAGCTAAGAGTGTTCCACTGCTTGCTTCTGGTACTAATGTTTCTAGAAGCTTCCTCACTCCTCCTGGTGTGTGGATGGCGTTCATAGGCAGTGTTCTCCCTGCTCATGACAAAAACTGACTCTAGTTTTCCATCAGTGTATACAGACCCAGGCACACCTGCTCTTCCTCTACCTCACTGCATGAGTCAGCTCGGCTCTCTGAGCCTCAGCTTCCCCATCTGTCAAACAAAGTAGTTGGACCCTACCTCGGAGACCCTCCTAGTTCTAAAACTATAGGCTCCTTCACTGGTGTTAGAAATGACTGGTAATATGGTGGAGAGTCTTAGAACAGCCATAGTTGAGAGTGCTAGATTCAATGATGAGCCCCCAGCCAATGGAAGGGCCCCACATCTACGCTCAGCAGACCACAGAGGGATGCCTGGGGAGGCTCGGCACCCTCATAAACATCCCACTACCGTCTGCCTGACCCCAGGGCCACCTCCCATCCATGCCATGTGTTGCCAAAGATGTCTAACGCGTTCCCGGGTACCAGGGTCCAGAGTACATGAATTCCACTGTAACCCATTGTGAAAATCATTGTGCACTTGAAAACAGCACACCCCCTCTCACTTTCCAAGCTGTTGGCTGTGGGGATTCGGAGCATTATGAACCATGCTTGGAGCCCAGTTCGGACCTTCCTGTACCCAAGTTTGCCAGGAGAATTGGGCAGGAATGGGGCTGAAGCCCTTCACTGTTTATAAAACAAGAGTGCTGATGGAGACGTAAAGCTTAGGAAGCTTCGAGGGCTGCCCTTGCTCGTGGTCGTCATCGCGTGCATCATCTCGCGGCTTTCCTTGGACAACACCTCACAGGACGTGTGAGTCTGGCCGTAAATGGAAGCAAAGCCACACTGGAGGAGGCCCCGGAGCTACGTCGTAGCCTTGTGTAAGGACCGTTTACTGCGTGGCATAAGTAAATGTAGCTGTTAGATGGGCCCAGACTTTTAATAACGAAAAAGAAATCCATTCAAAGCATTCGGTAATTTTAAAAACCTCCCCACCGGCCTTTAGAGAGGAGGCCAGCACCCTGCTCAGCAGGCATACCTGGGTCAAGGTAGCATCAAACAGCCTGCAGGCCTCGTTGCTAGTTGTCGATAGAGGGAGGCCCGCATCTTTCCACGCCTGCACGCAGCAAGAAGAGAATATCAGGGCTTCATTCCACATGGTCCTCCAAACATAACGTGAACCCCAAACCCAGGCACGGAAGAGCTCCCATGCCTCGCGTCATGTGGGCGTGGGTTTCCATAAGAGCCAGGCTTGTGGGGCTCGCCTGAACTCTCGGATTTCACAGCCGGTGCGGAGCAGAGGAGGCTGAGCCTGCGTGGGTGGGGGCAGATCCCGAGGCAAATCCCAGGGGTCTCCAAGCGGCGGTGTGCCTTCTGGCAACATCCTCCCTCAGACCCTTCGCTGGCCCCAAACGGGGCTCTGGAGGACGCACGCGGGGACCCTGAGGGGTCGGCCAGGGGAGCACTCAGTAAATGGGAGTCCCTGATCTGGCTGAGGGGAGGTCTGGGAGGGCAGACAAGGGGCAGAGCCTCGGAGGGCTGGGCGGGGCAGGGTGGACTTTCCACCAGGCAGGCAAACACGGCACCTGCCAAGCACGGTACCAATTCCTCTCCTCTCTCCCCTTTAGCAAATGATTCAGACCTACAAGTCTGCTCAGCAGAAGGATCCAGAGATTATCAGAAGTGCGCACTGTTAGGGCTGCCCTTGGAATCCTGCCAGGGGTGCTCAGACCTGCGACCCCGCCCAGGGAACGAAAGGGTCCTCTGCTCCCCCAGCACAGCGGGCAGCTCCTCCACCTTCCTCATCCGCAAAATAGGCTCGGGCACGCCGCCCTGGAAGGTCCGAAACAGACACCCCTGCGCCGCGCCAGGGCCAACGCGGTGTAGGTCTCGGGGTCCCACAGGAAGGTACCCTGGTCCCTTCCTGCACCCAGGACGCACGCCGGTCCTTCTGGGGCCGGTTCCCCGGCGGATCCGGGTCTTGCGCAGCTCGGTCCAGTCCCCGCCGCCGGGCGCCAGGCCCTCCCGGGGCCGCGGTGCCCGGCCCGCCTCAGCCTCCGCGTACCTGGCAGTCGCGCAGCGAGGCGGTGGCGGCCATGGTGCCGAGAACGTGGACGGGTCCGGGGTTCTGGGTCCGGCACCTCCTCCGCCTTCCGCTTTGGGGCGAGGGGGCGGGGCGGACGCCTCGGGGCGGGGCCTCCGCGCTGCCCCGCGAGCTCACTGGTCCGCTGCGCCGGCCTCGCCCCGCCCCGCCCCGTCCCGCCCCGCCCCTGGGGCGCTCCGAGGGGTTCCGCGCCGACCGGACTCCGGCCCCGCCAGGCCCCAGTGGGCGCACTTGCCTCCCAGGCAGGGCCGGAGGGCGGCTCGGGATTGGCTCGCCGTCCCGACTCCTCCCCCACTTCCTCCTGGGAGTCCTCCCTGCAGGCGACCCTGCTGGGGAAGCTACCGAGGAGTCTCTGGGGAGGCAGGGGGCCCCTAAGGTAGGGTCACTTTCAAGATCTTTGGGGTCCCACGCGGAATCCTGGCGCGCGCACGTTTCTAGAGGTCAGTTTTTTGAATCGAAGCAAACTGTGCACCCGACCATAGTCGTTAGTAGAGAATGTGCTATGTGACCCCCCTTAGGTGACGTTTACTAGCAAGCAAAACAGTGCCTGGCGGAGGGATGGGTGCCCTGGTGGTGCTGAGGTTTCTGTCTTGCGGGGCACGCGGAGGCCTTGACTGCCCTGGGGTCCTTCTGTCTACTGGGCTGGCATGTGGGCATACCAGTGCCCTTTCCTATTTTTCCTATATCTTTGTCTTCTCTGCTCTGCGGTGCGGGCAAAACTTGTCTAGAGCTTACCGTGGTTCTCTGAACCACTGACCCCGCACTGGTGTGGGACACTGACGGCCTCCCGGTTCCAAACCCGCCGCCTTCCTCATCCTCATTTGGTCTGACACAGCCCCCTTCATTGAACCACCTCCCCTGCCCTCGCCCCCTTCCTATGGCTTCCGGCCCCACTACCTCTGCTTCTCTGTCACCTTGTTGGCCAGATCTCTGAATACTGAGAAGTCCAGAGTCTGCCTTCTCCATTTGTGCCTCCTCCCCCAACATGACCTCTGATGGCCCAGTCTTGAGTTTTCAGCCCTGATGTTTTCTGAGGTCTTAGTCAGCAAAGGCTTTCAAAAGAAAACACCTTAGAGTGGGGCCTTGAGCGGTAAACACTTATTCCTGGCAGCTCTGGAGCCAAAAGTCCAAGGTCAGGGTGCAGGCATTTGGGTCCTTAGTAAGGGCCATCTCTCTAGTTTGCAGATGGCTGCCTTCTTATGGCCTTTTCTTGGTGTGGGGTGCACTCAGAGAGAGAATGCTGCAAGAGTGGATAAGAAAATAAAAGTCTATTAAATGTTGCCTTCAAAAGGCCACTTTAAATATAAAGACATAAAGCCAATGTAGTGAATGAAAAAAGGTATGTCATATGGACATAGGCATAAGAAGGCTTGTACGAATAGGTAACCAATGGAATGGGAAAAGATAGGTACAAATGACAAAGCAATAAAGGGCTAGTATCCAAAATCTACACACACAAAAAACAAATAATCCAGTGAAGAAATAGGCAGAAGACAAGAATAGATACCTCTACAAAGAGGACATCCAGGTGGCCAACAGACACATGAAACGATGCTCAGTGTCACTCATCATCAGGGAAATACAAATCAAAACCACACTGAGATACCACCTCACACAGGTCAGAGTGGCTAAAAGGAACAAATCAGGAGACAATAGATGCTGGCGAGGATGTGGAGAAACGGGCACCCTCCGACACTGTTGCTGGGTATGTAAACTGGTGCAGCCCCTCTGGAAAACCATATGGAGGTTCCTCAAAAAAATTAACAATAGAACTCCCCTATAACCCAGGAATAGCACTGCTAGGAGTTTACCCAAGGGACACAGGAGTGCTGATGCATAGGGGCACATGTACCCCAATGTTCATAGCAGCACTTTCAACAATAGCCACATCGTGGAAAAAGCCTAAGTGTCCATCTACTGATGAATGGATCAAGAAGATGTGGTTTATCTATATAATGGAATAGCACATGGCAATGAGAAAGAACGAAATATGGCCATGTGTAGCAACGTGGATGGACTCGAAGGTGTTATGCTAAGTGAAATAAATCAGGCAGAGAAATACAGATACCATATGTTTTCACTCATATTTGAACAGGAGAAATTTAACAGAGGACCATGGGGAGGGGAAGGGGAAAAATAGTTAAGGATAGCGAGGGAGGCAAACCATGAGAGACTCTTGAATACTGAGAACAAACTGAGGGCTTATGGGGGAGGGGAGATGGGAAGGGGGGTGATGGGCATGGAGGAGAACACTTGCTGGGATGGGCACTGGTTGTTATATGGAAACCAACTTGATAATAAACTATAAAAGAAAAAAAAGAAGGCTAGTATGACTATTTTACATTCCAGTTTCACTGAGATACAATTAACATATAACTTGGCTATTTTAATATTTCAAAAATAGACTTCAAAACAAACATTACTGCTAGAGATAACCACAGAAATTTCATAATGATAAAAGGGCCAGTTCATGAAGACATGATCTCAAAATGTGTGTGCATCTAAGAGAGCCTCAAAATACATGAAGCAAAAATTGACAGCATTAAACACAGAAGATTCTAGTCAGACTAGGAGAGGTTAACATACTTTCTCGGCAATTGGTAGAAAAGCTAGACAAGAATCCAGAGAAGACATGGATTATCCAATGCCAGTACCAACCATCTTGATCTGGATGACATTTATAGGACACCTACCCCCACCCCACCAAGGGTGGGGTAAGTGCATGTGGACATCACGGCAGACCACACTATGCACGAGCTTTCGAACAAGACTCAATAAATCTAAAGCGATCAAAATCCCATAGAAAGCGTTTTCTGACCACAACCGGCATAACTTAGAAATCAATAGCCATAAGATTTCAGAGAAAATCCAGATCGTGGGAAAACAAACCACACATCTTAATTTTCTTAAGGTTCTTACCCAGTTTATGTTTTTCTTTATTTTTTAATATAATTTATTGTCAAATTGGTTTCAGTACAACAGCCAGTGCTCATCCCAACATGTGCCCTCCTCAATGCCCATCACCCATTTTCCCCTCCCCCTCTCCATTAGCCATCAGTTTGATCTCATATTTAGGAGTCTCTCATGCTTTGCCTCCCTCCCTCTCCTCAACTATATTTTTCCCTTCTCCTCCCCCATGAGCCTCTGTTAAGTTTCTCCTGTGCAACTTATGAGTGAAAACATACCGTATCTGGCCTTCTCTGCCTGCCTTATTTCACTTTGCATAACACCCTCGAATTCCATCCACGTTGCTATGAATGTCCAGATTTCATTCTTTCTCATTGCAAGCAGTATTCCACTGTATAGATACACTACATCTTCTTGATCCGTTCCTCAATTGATGGACATTTAGGCTTTTTCCATGATTTGACTATTGTTGAAAGTGCTGCTATGAACATTGGGGTACCTGTGCCCCTAAGCATCAGCATGCCTGTATCCCCTGGGTAAATTCCTAGCAGTGCTATTGCTGGGTCATAGGGGAGTTCTATTGTTAGTTTCCTGAGGAACCTCCACACTGTTTTCCAGAGGGGCTGCACCTGTTTGCATTCCCACCAACAGTGTCCGAGGGTGCCCGTTTCTCCACATCCCCACCAGCATCTATAGTCTCCTGATTTGGTCATTCTAGGCACTCTGACCGGCGTGAGGTGTTAACCACACATCTTTAATTCTTAGTTCAAAAACCAAACAGGTAGAATGATTTTTAAATGAATGACACCGGAAATACCACGAATATGCAGGAAGCGGTTCAGCGGCCTTTGGCAGAACACTGTATTAAATGCTTCTGTTAGGAAAGAAGAAAGATCCACAATCAGGGACGTGGGGGTTCGACTTAAGAATGTAAAGCAAAGCAGAGTCAGAAACCCACAGGCAGATCTCCCTGGGCTTTCAGGGAGCTCACAGACCCCGTCTGGTACCGGATGTTCCCAGGGGAGTGGGATTCCCGCTGAGGGGCCTTTCCAGGCTGTTGGGAACCTTGGCCCCGTTAATTCTGTTACCACTCGGTCGACCCGAAGCAGGCGTGGGAGGGGGCGGGGACCCCGGAAGCCCAGGTCCTCTCGACATCCAGGTCGTGACCCCACCGCGCCCGTGACCCCGCGGCCCGCGCCCTGCCTCTGAGGCCGTTAGCTGGACCCCTGAGGCCTGCGGCGGCGCCATGCGGCCCGGGCCGGCGCTCCTCCTCTTGGGCCTGGGCCTCGCTCTGGCCGCGGGCCTGGCTCCGGGCCGCGGCCAACTCCCGCGGCCGCCGGCTCCTCGCAGGGCCCGGGCCGCCGTCCTCGTCCACCGGGCGCCCGGCCCCCGCCGCCCGCGCACCGCCTCGACCCGCCGGCCCCCGCCCGCCTTGCGGACCCGCGTCCCGGCGCCTGGAGCCTCGGCCGCGCTGAGCGCCTCCGGGGGCGCCCGGGGCCCCAGACGGCCCGGCGGCGCCGTCCGCCTCCGCCTGCGGCCCCGCGCGGCCCCGGGCGGCGGCGCTCTCCTGCGCGGCGCCGGCGGCCTCTGCCTGCCCCGCGGCCGCGCGCGCCCGCTCTGCCTGCGCGTGCGCGTCCTGCTGCGCGCCCCCGGGGCCGCCGCGCCCACGCTCGTGGACCTGCGGCTGGCGGAGCGCCGCGGCCGCCTGTCCCTGCTGTGGCGCAGCCCGCTGCCCGGCGCGCTCGGCCGCCCGCAGTGGACCTTCCGCCTCGCGCCGGTCCCGCCCGCCGGCGTGCGGCGCCCCCGCCGGGCCGCCTCTGCTCTGCCCGCCGCCCCCCGCCGCCCCTACGCGGCCTTCGCGGCCCAGGCCGAGTGTCCCACGGATGGGCCCACGCCTGTTGTGTTAGAAGCCGTCGGCGCGGACGGCCCCCAAGCCATCGAGTCGTCCGTTTCCTGCCAGCTACCCGCGACGTTGCCCTGTGTTGTCGCCCTGGTAAGGATCAACAGGAACCAAGACCCGGTGGTGCTGAACAGGAGAATGGACACGACCTTGAATGCAACCTTTCAGTTTGACTGCCCGGAAGCCACGTTAATTAATCCAAAGTGGAGAGTCTATTCCGTGCCCTCTGTATCGGATGTGCCGGACTGGAATCAGCCTTTGGACGTCCCACAACTCCGCTTAGGGAGAACTCCAGCGTTTATGCATATCCCCCCAAATTCTTTATCTTGGGGAGTGTACGTGTTTAATTTCACTCTGGACATCTACACAGGGAGCTCAAATACGCCTGTGGCAACAGGGTCAGATGCCGTCTATGTCACCATTCTTCGAAGCGACCTCCAGGCGGTGGTTATGCCTGCCGGGCCCAGCGTAACAATAAATTTCACAGATGCCCTGGTTCTGGATGGAACAATGTCCTCGGACCCAGATTCAGGCAACGCTTCGGCCGGACTCCTGTTTTCTTGGTACTGCACCACGGATAACACAAACTACCAAGGAGAGAGAATTACCCTGGTGAGCACGAAACTCTGTCTCGCTGCGAAGCAGGCCGATCTGCGGTGGCCGGGCGCCTCGGGCCCCATCCTGTCCCTTTTGCCAAGAACACTGAGAGGCAGAGGCGTGTATTATTTCAGGATGGTGATCCGGAAGGGCAGTCGAACAGCGTTTGCGGATAGGATGGTGCACGTGCTCCTGGGACCGACTCCTGCAGCACACATTTCGTGTATTGAAAATTGTGATAACTTTTTGATGATTTCGGATCGATTCTCTTTGTTGCTAAACTGCACAGGGTGTGCAGGAGGCCATAATACCTATAACTGGTCGATTCTGTCGACTTCGGGTAAAGAGATGGCATTTGATTGGGCAACGGAAACCACAACAGGGAGGACCGGGCCTTATCTGTCCATAAAACCTTTTGCTTTTAGGGCTTTTCCTGAAGCCACGTTTTGGGTTTCTGTATATTCAGTAACGTGGAGCGGAGCACCCCTGAAGTTGAGATACTCTTTTATTATTAACTATGCCCCTCAAACTGGAGCGTGCAACATTAATCCAGGTCAGGGACTTGCATTTTTAACCAAATTTGTCATCCAGTGTACCAATTTCACGGATAAGAACATCCCTCTCACATACAAAATGGTAGTTTCTGATTTGTACGGTTTTGGGCAAATCAGTTCTGTGAAAGAGAACACGTTGGGGGCCATCCTGTACTGGGGGAATGAGTCCACATCACCGCCTTCCTTTCTCCCTGTTGGTGTGTCGGCTAATCATTATGTCATGAAGATCATTATTCAGGTATATGACACCCTAGGAGCCTATACTCTGGAGACCCTGTACGCCACTGTGCGGCCTCCTACGGACAGAATCTCATCAAGGAGTGTGCTCGATCGATTATTCAACTTCACCATGGGACCGAATTCCTCACTCTCCACTTTGCTTGACGAGCAGGACTTTTTACCTGCAGGTTACTTAATTTATATGGCAGCTTCTGTTGTGAACAACATGAAAACTAACTTAACTTTGCAAGCCGACAGAACCAGACTCCGGGATCACCTTGTGAACCAGACTTTTGTTCTTCGCAACAGCACGTTGGAGGAAATTAGCCAGGTGGTCATGTGTGTGACCAAAGTGACGCAGACAACCTCTGGATTCAGTCGAATGGCTCAGAAACTTGCCACACGGAGGATCTGGCAGGCCAACCATGCCCTACTACAGTCTCCACAAACAGGCAAACCCTTTCACGCTGAACAAATAGAAATCGTGAGCACAGGGATATTAACAAGTTTGTCTAATATCCTTAAACTGACTGTTCACTATGAAGAAGTAGATGAGCCTTTCTATGGCTTGGAGTTGCTAGCAGACACAATATTGGCTGGAATGGGGCCCGGGAATGAAACCACTGAGATGACAGCCTCCAGCTTTAACATGTCCCTCCAGAAAACAGAAATGCGGCATATCAAGGAGCTCTTCAGCAATGAGAAGCTTGGTCGAAGTTATTTTCATCTGGTGCTAAATGTGAGCAGTGTCCCCAGCGTGCCCGAAAATGCTCTGATATGTACCATGTTTTGTGAGTTTGCAGATGATCCCTTTCCTTGGCTAAGTCAGCAGGAAAAGTATTCCGCTGAGGTGGTTGGGTTCAGAATGGCAGGCTTCGCCGCCAACGGCGACGCGATAGAGATCATGCCCGATGTAGCAGAAGTGCATATCCTCAGAAAAAACTTGAGCTTTGCAGTTTTCAGTCTCACAGTGGGACCCGACAACACGCCCGATAAAGTTAATCAGCCCTTCAAAAGGACGACAGGGGGGTTTAGCTTTGAGGTGGACAGCAACACAGTGAGTGAGGTACTGGTCCAGATCGTGACAGAAGTGACCCTGGTGTTCACGGTATCGGTATACTCTGGACGTGAGATCACCCCCACCGCCCTGGTGGCCACCTTCTTCGTGCCCTATGACATCCCTCCCATCAGCAACCAGAGTGACCTGTTTCATCCGGCCTGTGTGGTGAAGGTGGCCCGCGTGATTTGCCTTCCATCGTCCCTGCTGCAGGTCATAGCTCAGAGAGGCAGTTCGTCAGAGTGCACCGTGACCATGACTCTGCAGGCACCTCGCTTTGTCATGGCACCCAGTGACAAGCTAGTGAGCCTTGCCCTTTTCAGCGTTCAGTGCTTAGACATGTATGGCATCCAGACTGATTGGAGAGAAGACACCTGCGTTCTCGGAGAGAAGACCACCTGGGACAAAATGCACTGTATCTGCCAAAACCCAAGGAGGGCCCGGCGGCAGCTGGAGGTGATCACAAAAGCCAGCATGCACCTGCGAACCCACTTTTTGACGGCCAAGGTGATTGTGGTCCCTAATCCCGTAGATCTACGGCTGGAGCTCATCAAGAACGTCCCCCAAAACCCCGTGACCCTCTTCGTTGTACTTTTCATTATGCTCACGTATATATTCCTCGCGTTCTGGGCCTTGCACAAAGACGCCATGGACCAGCTTCTGCGGCAGTACGTGATAACTCTGCCCGACAACGATCCTTACGATAAGGTGTGTTACCTGCTCACCGTTTTCACAGGCATCCGCTGTGGGGCCGGGACCAGAGCCAACGTCTTCATCCAACTGAAGGGAACAGAGGGTGACAGCAACGTGCATTGCTTGAGCCACCCCTACTTTACCACCCTCTACCAGGGAAGCATCAACACTTTCCTCCTCACGACGAAAAGGGACCTGGGGGACATCCACTCCATTCGCGTTTGGCACAACAATGAGGGCAGAGCCCCCAGCTGGTATCTGAGCAGAATCAAAGTGGAAAATCTGTTCAGCAGACACATCTGGCTCTTCATCTGCCGGAAATGGCTTTCTATTGACTCCTCTTTGGACAGGACATTTCATGTGACCTCCCCCAACCAGTCCCTGAACAAAATGGACTATTTCCTGATAGATTCAGCATATAATCTGGGGAGAAATCACATGTGGTTCTCTGTTTTCTCCAGGGCCACTGCCAGGCCCTTCAATAGGCTGCAGCGACTGTCCTGTTGTCTGGCCATGTTGCTGTCCTCCCTTTTATGCAATATTATGTTCTTTAATCTCAACAAAAAAGAAGACGCCATGGAGCCAGAGAGAAAATACACCAGGTCACTGATGATAGGACTGGAAAGTGTCCTGATCACCCTCCCTGTGCAACTCCTGATCGATTTTCTGTTTACTTATTCTCAGAAGGAAGCTTGCCTGACTTTAGAAGAGATGTCTTCCCAGAAAAGTCCCTTGATGCGAGTCCCAAGTGAATACTGGGAGGAACGTCTGAAAACATGGCACGCTCAGGAAACCGAGGGTGCCCCTGCCAGGGAGGCTTCGAAGGGCCCCCCCAGGAAAAGCACCAAACGTCATCAGGAGGCTCCTGACAAAGTGGCCTTTACCAAGCATCACCAGCGTAAGAAGGCAGAGCGCAAGGTCCCCCTTCCCCAGGATGTAAATGCGAATGCCAGTAACCAGAACGCAGAGGGCCATCAGGGTGTCGCTCCCGAGCAGCAGACCTCCCTGAAGAATCCTCTAGAACTCCAGAACGAGCACAGGCTTGTCCTACCCAGGTGTTTCGTTTATATAGCGTGGTTCTTGGTTTTTGCCACTTGCAGCGTATCTGCGTTCTTTATTGTGTTTTACGGGCTGACCTACGGCTACGAAAAGTCCATAGAGTGGCTCTTTGCTTCGTTTTGTGCCTTCTGTCTGTCCATCTTTCTGGTGCAGCCGTCCAAAATCATCCTCCTGTCGGGCTTCAGGACAAGTAGGACCAAGTTCTGTAAAAACCTCTCGTGGGCAAGCAAGTACCACTACACAGAGATCAACCTGTTCCGTGAGAAGATGACCCCAGAAGATATGCGAAGGCGTCATGAGCAAGTCCTGCGGCTGCGGAGCTCGAGGATGTATCAGCCCCTCACCAAAGACGAGATCCGAATATTCCAAAGAAAGAAGAGGATCGAGAGGAGGGCGCTCCTGTTCCTCAGCTACGTTCTCACCCACTTCCTGTTTCTGGCGCTCCTGCTGAGCCTCGTGGCCGTCCTGCGCCACACCGACAGCTTCTACTACAACCAGTTCATCCGCGACCATTTCTCGGTGGACCTGGGCACGGTCACCAGGCTGGAGGACATCTACCGGTGGCTGGACGCCGTGCTGGTGCCTCTACTCCACAATGACCTGAATCCAACTTCTCTTCCCGACAGCTCCTCCAAGATCCTCGGGCTCCCGCTCCTGAGGCAAGTGAGGGCCAGACCCGGCGCGAAACTCTGCCCGCCCGCCAAAGATTTCGTGCAGAACAGCATGGAGAGAGAGATCCGTTGTCACCCCGAGTATGGCACGGACCCGGAAGACACCCAAAGCTACTCTAACATTTGGAACAAAGTCAGTAAGCGGGCCGTGGACAAGAACACCAATGGATTCACTTATAAGCCTCAAGAGAAGACGTGGGTGTATTTCTCCCATGGACTCTTACACACCTACGGGTCGGGAGGCTACGCGTTCTATTTCTTTCCAGAGCAGCAGCGGTTTAATTCCAGCGTGAGGCTCCAGGAGCTCCAGAGCAGCGACTGGCTGGACGAGAAGACCTGGGCGGTAATTCTGGAGCTGACCACCTTTAACCCGGACGTCAGTCTCTTCTGTAGCACCTCTGTCATTTTTGAGGTTTCGCAGTTAGGAGTCGTCAACACAAGCATCTCCACGCATTCCTTCTCGCTCGCTGATTTTGACAGGAGGACCTCCACCGAGATCTACCTGTACGTGGCTGTTGTCATTTTCTTCTTAGCCTACGTTGTTGACGAGGGCTACATCATTTTGCAGGAAAGGGCCTCCTACGTGAGAAGCGTGTACAATTTGCTCAACTTGGCTCTAAAATGCATCTTCACCGTGCTGATCGTGCTCTTCCTCAGGAAACACTTCCTGGCCACCGGCATAATTCAGTTCTACCTGTTGAACCCCGTGGAGTTTGTCCCCTTTCATGCAGTCTCTCGGGTAGATCACAGCATGAGGATCATCTTGGGCTTCCTGTTATTTCTGACCATCTTGAAGACCCTCAGGTACTCCCGGTTCTTCTACGACGTGCGCCTGGCTCAGCGGGCCATTCAGACCGCCCTCCCCGGCATCTGCCACATGGCGCTCGTGGTGTCCGTGTACTTCTTCGTGTACATGGCCTTTGGCTACCTGGTGTTCGGTCAGCACGAATGGAACTACAGTAACCTGATTCAAGCCACGCAGACGATATTCTCCTACTGCGTCTCCGCTTTCCAGAACACGGAGTTCTCCAACAACAGGGTTCTGGGGGTCCTTTTCCTCTCGTCTTTCATGCTGGTGATGATCTGCATACTGATCAACCTGTTTCAGGCGGTCATCTTGTCTGCCTACGAGGAAATGAAGCAGCCCGTGTACGAGGAGCCCTCGGACGAAGCGGAAGCGATGACCTATCTGTGTCGCAAGCTGAGAACCATGTGCAGGTGTCTGTCCTTCCAACCCAAGGCCCGGGATGAGCCAGAGTTCTTTGTGGACATGCTGTACGGGCAGCCGGAGAAGAACAGCCGCCGGTATCTGGGACTCAAGACCAGAAACATTAATGGGAAGAAAATGGTTTATCTTGTTGTGTGAGCCGCGACAGTGTCAAGGACCACAGGCGAGACTTCCGCACTCCACCCCCACGCCGCCCTGCCCCAGACTTAAGGAATGTTCCTTGGCTCAGCTGTTCTTTCTACCCGCCACCTTCAAAATGCACACCTTTGTGTTTGGCAATATCTCCACTTTTGGCCTCAATTCTTGGGTGTTGGGAAGGAAAGGCAGGTCTGGGGCAGGGAGGAGGGTGCCCGCATGGGAGCCCGACCGATGCCCCTCTGCAGGGGGAATTAGGTATCTCTGGAGCCCACAGCAGAATAGAGACCCAGAGTTGGGGGAGAGAGACTCAAGGACCCCCTCTCCATCTTGCCAGGGCAGAGCCTTCTCCTGCTGTGACTTGGCTCCTTTCCCAACCCCCACCCATGGGCTCGGAGCCAAGAACCCTGTGCCTCCCTCAGCCCCTCTGGGACCTCCCTCTGCAGACCAGGGCCGGGAGCCTCCCCCACCCTACCCACCCCCACACCCCAGGTTACAGCTGGGGCAGGGCTGCAGGGGCCTTGTGGGCACTTCTCGGATTTGTCCTGCTGCCTGTGAATTCAGGGATGGGAACGGAGGCTCAGAAGTCTGAAGCGCCCCACCTATTCCTTAGGGCAACTGCAAGTTAAAGATGTCAAGTTTAACAACACTTTCTGGGCCTTGAGCCCTGAACTTCGTTAAGTGACACAAAGGTGTGTGTGTTGGGGCGAGGGCTCACCCCGAAAGACAGCACATGTTGTGTAGAGTGACGGCAATAATGTATGCGGCCAGGACCGGGGCGTTGGGGGTTGATGGCATGGTGGGGTACTTAGGAGTAATAAGGAACATGTGGCTTATTGTTTAAGAGAAACAGGGGAAGCAGCTCCCATAGTTCCACTCGGAAGCACGTTCATTGATCTAGATGCCACTTTAGCTTTATGAGAATTAAACGTGAGCTTTCTTCTGTGGAAGCGGCAGTCATTTCTCGTGAGGGGCAGATACTCGGAAGGGTCCTGCCTTCCAGGTGGAGGGCCCGAGAAGGGGAACACCAACCCAGGGGGGGCGCTCATCCCAGATGCTCACTGTGTACCCAGCGCCCCTGCGGGCCTGAGCTGTGCGGGTATGGCCGAGCCATTCCGCGCCCCTTGCCGCTCACGCTGCCGTGCCCCCAGGGCACATGTCTCCAGATCCCTTGGCGGGGAGGTCATGGGAGTGGCCGGGTCCATACTGGCTCACTGGCCTCTTCTGGAGTGCACGTTCGTAGCCGTCACCCCTCTGTACCCCCCGACTTCTGAACGGGTTGAGAAAAAGTCAACACATGGCCAAATAGCTTCTTTGTACTTCCAGAGGCCTGTTATGGCCCAGTCAGGTCCATGCACTTGCCTGTGGGAGGGCAGGATGAGAGAGTTGAAGCCCAGCCTCTGGCAGCCCGGGCTATCCCCCCCTTGGAGCTTGGAGAGCCACACAGGCATGGGTTGGTGAGGCCAGACGCTCTTCCCAATCAGCAATCAGCTGAAGTCTGGGTCTTTCTCCAGGCTCAGGGTACCCTGGTTGGGCTCCCTTCCCAGGAAGAATGCTCCTGGGCTGGCTGCACGCCATGACCCGGAGCTGTTGGGAGGGAGGGAGGCAGTGCCATCTGGAGTGGCCTCCTGGCGTAGGACCACCCCCTCCTGGTACCGACATGGCAGCTGTCAGAGCGGGGCCTGGAAGGAAGCTCCGGGTCCAGCCAAGGAGACTTCTGCTTACAGTGAGAAGTCTCGCAGGCACAGGACTTTCCCTCGCATGTCGGGAAGACAGCACCAGGGGCCTTTTAATCCAGTAAAGCGAGCAGTAAGTGCATATGTTTATGAAATGTAGAAATGCCAATTACCACATTATCAGGAAAACAAAGTGAAGACAAAAATACAGGGTGTTTTTTGAAAGCCATATATTTACTATCATTATCATTACTTAATCTCATACAGAAAGACGTAAAACTTGAAGTGGTTCTAGATTTTTCCTCCTGTAAGGTTGTGGCCACTTCCTCACCTCGGAGGGGAAAAAGTAAATCCATGTCGGTTTCTCTGAGGACCCAGTGCGGTTCAAGCAAGAGACCAAGGCTCAGCAAGTTTAAAGCCATTTCTAAAGATTCCTTTGTCCTCATATTTCTAGGAATAGCACAGCTGTGTTCTAGAAAACATTGGCGACAGTTCTGAATACCCTCCCAAGTCTGCACCAAACAGTAATCCAGGATGAATGCTCTTGGATTTGATCTCAGTTTAGCCCCTTAAGATCTCAGGAGTTCAATGAGTCTTCTGGGCAGAGAGAGCTCTCCATCCGTGGCTTCAGGGCCCACCTCTGCTGCAGACTCTGGTTCATTCTGGAAACTTGCATTTTTTAAAAGTTTATTTTATTTTAAACTGGAACCTGCCCCAGGCCTCTCACTTGGTTCAAATCCCTCTTGATCCCAAGTGGCCAGAACGTAGTGTCTATAGAGAGCACTTCCAGATTATTTGTGCATGAATTGTCTCATGCAGACTGCAGCTAATGTTTCTGTTCTCTAGTTCTTATTTCCCTGCATCAAATCTGAATGCTTTTTTGGTGTTTTTTTTTTTCTTAAGCTTTAATTTTTAGAACAGTTTTGAGTTCACTGTACACCTGGGTGGAGCCTACAGAGATTTTCCATTGACCCCTGGCCCACCACACAGGCACAGCCTTCCCCATCACCAGCATCCACCACGTGGTTCATTTGTTACAACTGGTGAATCTCCATTGTCACCCCAAACCCATAGTCGACATCAGGGCTCACTCTTGGTTTCACATGCTCTAGGAATTTGGACAAATGTGTAATGATATGGTTCCACCATTGTATTACCATACAGAGTAGTTTCAACACCCTGAAGACCCTCAGTGTCCCATCAATCCATCCCTCCCTCCCCGTAACACCTCACAAACATTGATCCTTTTCCTGTCTCCATAGTTTTGCCTTTCCCAGAATGTCATATAGTGGGGATTATATAATATATAAGCTTTTCAGATTGGCTTCTTTCACTTAGTAACATGCATTTACGTTTCCTTCCTGTCTTTTCATGACTCAACACCTCTCTTTGTAGCCTCAAGTAAGATTCCATTGCCTGGATGGACCACTGTTCACTTATCCATTCACCTACTGAAGGACATCTTGGTTGCTTCCAAGGTTGGGCAATTATGCACAAAACTGCTATAAACACCCACATGCAGGTTTTTGTATGGACATAAGTTTTAACCCCTTCGGGGAGTACCAAGGGGTATGACTGCTGGGCCGTATGGTGAGAGTATATTTAGTTTTGAAACAAAATGCCACACCATCTTCCCAAATGGCTGTACTATTTTGTATCCCCACCAGCCACGAAGGAGGGTTTCTGTTGCTCCACACCCTCATCAGCGTTTGGTGCTGTCAGCGTTCAGATATTGGCCATTGCAGTAAGTATGGAGTGGTAACTCAGTGTTTAAATCCACATTTCCCCGATGACCTAGGACGTGGAGCTTCTTTTCCTATGCTTACCTGCCATCTGTATATTTTCTTTGGTGAGCTGTCTGTTCAGGTCTTTGGCTCATTTTTTAATTAGGTTGGTTGTTTTCTTTGAGTTTTTAGATTTGTTTGTGTACTTTGGATAACAGTCCTTTATCATATACAGCTTTTGCAAATATCTTCTATTCCGTGGCTGGTCGTTTCATTGTTTTGATAGAATGCTTATTCTGCGTGCAGTTACTCTTCTTTTTAACAATCACATTTCTATTCTTTGCAAGTGGTTTATTGTATTTCCACAATTATCTGTAAATATGTAGCTGCTCCTGGGAAACCATTTTAAGTTTTTTTAAGTTTATTTATTTTGAGAGAAAGAGAGAGAGAGAGGGAGACCATGTGCACTCATTGGGGGTGGGGCAAAGGGAGGAGAGAGGTTCCATGCTGTCAATGTAGAGCCTGACATGGAGCCTCCATCTTGTCAACAAACCATGAGCTGAAATCAAGAGTTGAGTATTTAACCTACTGAGCCACCCAGGGAAACTGTTTAAAAGTATAGATATTTGGAGATAATTTTAAACCTTGTGGATTTTTTTTTTTTTTGGTAAACTTTTTCTTATATTAAAAACTGTGGACAGCTCAAACTCAAAATTAACTTTATTTTCTACCAAAGACGAATATTTGCTCTTTGATTATTTCCCTTGGCTCCCTTATCTAGGCCATCTGGTAAACTGTCTAACCTGTGCAATGGGTTTAACAGTATTCCTGAGACCAAGGTCATGTATCTGAGTGGTTCTAGGTCACATATGAAATGCTTCATCCAGAGAGGGTCCCCCTTTGGGCAGACCCAGCAAAAAAAACCCCCAACAGTAGATCTTTGAATTGATGCACAAAATACCCTTGCTGTAAGCACATCGAGGTCATAACCACTAGTAAGAACATTAGGGTGCTTGCTAAACTCCCTGGTGGGCCCCACCTTCGGAGCTGGGTGGAAAACCCTGGGAGCGGCCACAACACTAGGCAAGCTCAGCTCACCAGGGTTTAAGGTCCTAACCCGCCAGCAGCCACCGTGCTCCGCAGACGGAAGTCCCCCCTGAAGCTCCGCCCGGGGCTGCCGGGGGCGGAGTCACGGCGGGGCCGCGCACGCGCCGTGGGCCGGAGCCGGCGAGGGCGGGACCGCGCACGCGCCCTGGGCCGGGACGGTCCCCGGCGGCGGGTGGCGCGGCTTGGAGGTACCGGCGGCTGCGCTGAGGCTTGTGTCCCCGGCGCCGCGGCTGGGGCGGGACGGAAGACGCGGGAAGGGCCCCTAGGGCGGGCTCGGGCGTGCGCGGCCCTCTAGGAAACTGAGGCAGTCAGGCGGAGATGCGCGGGCGCCTTCCGGGGCACGTCGGCGGGCTGACGAACCCCGGGGAGACCTGCGTCGGCCCCCTTTGCTTAGAGAAGCACGAGCAGGATAAATAAAGAAAAAAGGGAACCCGTAGATGTCTATTTTCAAACTGCCGAAAGCCAAAAATAAGAGAAAAACCCGGAGCTACCCCGGGGTAGGTTCCGCAGGTGCGCGGCAGGGGGAAGGCCTTGCGGGGAGCGGGAGCTCGGCGAGGAGGTGGGCCGGTGCCCGTGGCGAGGGGGCGGCCCTGGACACGGGCACTTGCGGGCCCAGGAGGGCTCAGGCGGCCGGGGCCCAGGGGATTCTGCAGCCCTCTTGCGCCTGGAGCGCCGCCCGGAGCCTCGACTCGCAGGAACTGGTGTTGAAGTCTGTCCCGCTTACTCCGAACTTGAGGTTCCCTGTGTGGAGGGGCGTCCTGGGTCTTGTGGGTTCGAAACGCGCAGCTGGAGGCTTGGAGGTGAGCGTGGTCGGTCCCGGGGCTGCAGGTGACCCGCCCTGTCTCCTGAACTTGCAGATGGAGCGTGAGGCCGAGGGCCGTCCCCTGGGTGTGTTTAAGTGCCAGCTCTGTGCGCTGACAGCCCCCTACAGTTACGTGGGTCAGAAGCCCCCCGACACGCAGTCTGTCATGTGAGTACCCCCGCTCCTGGCCCCGGAAGCCCCCGCCCCCCGGCCCTGCAACCCCGTGGCGGGAGCTGGCTGGCTGGTGCTCCGCCTGTGGCGGCGTCTTCATTTGCGGCTGTGCCTGCGGCCGTTCCTCCTGCCTCCCGTCGAGGCACTTTCTTACTGGGAAGCGTCTCGCAGAAGGACCGCTTCTCGTGACTCTGCCCAGAGCTGGCCTCGAGTAGAGCCAGCGGGTCCTGGGGCTTGAACTTGACCTTTCACTTGGCCTTCGTCAAACGCCATGTCGCCGAGAAGCTGACGAATGCGTGGCCCACCCAACGTGTCACTCGCGTGGTGGCTGGTTGTCCGCCAACCAGGAACATGGGTGTCGTCACAGAGCCCCGTTGGCCTTTGATGTGCGGCGTGAGGCCGGCACCTCGCAAGGGGCGTAGAGCACCCTGGTTTTTCCTGCGTGGTGGAAGCGGGCAGCTTGGGAGTGGATGTCCCCACGCCAGGGCTGTAGGGACGGCCTTGGAGAGCCCGGAGGTGGCCTCATGCTCCCTGGCCCCATCCCAGGGAGGCAGGCCGGGGCCTGGGGCCTTGCGTTGCAAAGGCCCGTCTGTGGGTGTTCTGTGGTTCTGTCCACCGCGGCCCCCGAGAGCCCATGGCAGCCCCGACTTCGATTGTGGCCGGCGCCCCCATTGCTTGTCTTTCTGTTACTACTCGGTGGTGCAGGGGTCCCAGCCCCTCCACCCGTGAGCCCACCGGGTGTGTGGCCCCCTGCCGCCAGGCTTCTGCCCGCAGAGGTTTAGGCCGTTCTGACCTCTGGCGTCACTTATGTCCCGCAGCCTTCTGGAGGAGAGTTACGTCATGAAGGACCCCTTCACCCCAGACAAGGGCAGATTCCTGGTCCTCGGCTCTCGGTGCAGTTTGTGCAGCCGGCTGGTGTGTGTGGGCCCGGTGGGTAAGCTGTGTGGGCTGGGGCTGCCTTCCCTCCCTTTCTGCCTCCCTGTGGCCGGGACTCCACACCCACGAATGTGGGAAAGGTGACACGTGAGCCTTCCCGAGGACGGTGAGAGCGTTGGCCTTTCCTTGCCAGGGTGACCCTAGGAGCCCTCCTAGTCACTTGGTGGGGGGCCGGGGGCTCTTGGAGGCCACCTCGTTATGGATGGGTCCCGCGGGCCAACCGACGTGAGCAGACAGGCAGAGGGCTGAGCTGGGGTCAGTCGGAGGGTCTCCGTGCCTCTGTGGCCGCTGACAGCCCTTCCCCTCCCTATCTCCACCAGCCATGGCAATGGCCATGGTGCTTCTCTCCGTGGGACAGTGACTTTCTTCCTACTTGTTCTTGGCGGGACCTTCCAGAGGAAGGAACTGTGCTTTCTGGAGCATTCTTGAGTATTCCTGCTCTTGGAGCCCATTTTACCAGTGCTAATTCCTTCAGTCCAGCCCCAAGCCTAGCCGGGCAAAGCCGTATTACACCCATCTGATAGATGAGGAGACTGAGGTTCGGAGGGGCTGAGTAGGCCCAGTCCACCAGGGGGCTGAGCCCATTGTTTGAAAACCTGGGGATGGCTGGAGGTGGAGCAGTGTGGCTGAGGAGTGTGACCCCTGTAACCCAAGTGACCCGGCAGTAGAGCGGTCCCTGGGCATTCTGCCAGCAGACAAAGTGCCCACAAGGTTTAAACAGTCAGCCTCCGTCCCTGTAAGGCCAAGGTGATAAGATTTGGTGGGGTAGGAGGAAGCCTCTGTGAGGCAGAGGCCTGGGGTGTTTGGAGATGGGGCAGCTGGTGAGGACTCAGCGGGAGAGAAGCAGTTGCAAGATGATGACTGGAAAGGGGGGCAGCACCAGGTGTGGAGAGGCCTTGAATGCCACACTTACAAATTTGGGCAGCACTTGGTGAGCAGAAGAGAGGTGGTCTTCTGAAGCCTCCAGTGTTTGATGAAACGGTTTGTTAGTGACCAGTGAGTCCTCTCTCTTACGTGGGAACCGACCTGAGAACTATAGGAAGGGCAGCCTTGCCTGGGTCCACACCGTGGCTGCTGTGGCTCCTGCCATCACGCCTTTGCTCCTGCCAGCAGGAGGAGGCAGGGAGCACATCCCCATTCCTTCAAAGGGCATGACCAGGAGGTGACACAGAGCTGCCACGTGGCCACACCCAGTGGCAGAAGGGGCTAGGAAAGAAAGCAATCTTTGGACAGGGCCCTGGGGAGTGAGTCTCTGGAGTTGACTGGCAGAGATGGGCGCAGGGGAGAACGGCCGTGGTTGGACAGATGTGACCTCCTGGCCAGACCAGCCAGCCGCCCGTGGCCCTGTAGGTGGGTGGGGCTGCCCCCAGCACTGGTGGTCACCAAGCCTGTGTCCTTCTCATGCGATGACCAGAAGGAGGGATCTAGAATTTCTGATGTTTAGGTGTGGCCTCTGCTCCAGCTCACTGTTCCCCTTGATGGTGACGGAGCAGGGCAGACTCCAGGGTCTCTGTGCCATCCTGCCTCTTCCACCCTGGTCAACCCGTTGCTTTCTCTTCAACGCCTTTGCCCACGTCACTGGGTGCTGCCCGCAGGCTCAGAACCCCGGACTCCCCACTGCCTGCCGGGTCTGCGTGTCCTCCCTGGGAGTCCTCCATCCCTGTTTCCCTTAGGTGAGGACCACGTTCCTGGAGGTGGCTGGCCACCCCCTCCCAGTCGCCTCTCAGCCCCCCTGCCCTGTGCAAGGGAAGGGCTGGGCTCAGGGAGGAGCTGCTCCGTGCTCCCCATTCTGTGGACTTAGCCCCCCCCCGCTTGGCCCCCTTCCTCTTTCAGGAGTGCAGTTTATTCTATTCCAAGAGATTTTGCCTCCCCTGTGTCCGGGAGAACCTTGATGCCTTCCCTCGGGAAATCCGGCAAGACTTGGAGAAAAGGAAAGGTCCATCCAAGAGGCCTGCCAGCCAGCCTGGTTCTCAGACGTGAGCGCAGCTGGGCACCAGTACCCGGCGCGGCGCTCCCGGGCCCCGCAGGCCTCTGCAGCTGGGTCGGGGAGGGGGCTGGGCTGGGAGCTGCTGTGCCCAGCCTTTCTCGGGGCCATCGAGAGCAGCGCTGGGGGCTGGAGGGAGCTGGGGTTCTGCCTGCGGCAGCAAGAGAACAAGAAGCCACGCAGAAAAGGCACCCAGAGGGCCGACCTCAGACCAGACGTCCTGCGGACCTAGTCGTGTTCAGAGCCGCCCTTGACGCCGAGACCACAGGGCGGGAACTGAGCCACGGGGCTGGGGCTGCCGGCCCTTCCGCTGTCCTTCCGGACCTGGGGCGCAGGGTCTTCCTGCAGGGTCATCCCTTGGCTGGTTCCTGCTCACTCCCGGCTGGCCCGAGGGCCCTTCTCACACTCCTCAGGTGCCATGCTGCTCCACCCAGCCCCGAGGGCACAGAAGCCAAGGGACAGGGCTCCGGTCTTGGCCCAGGTCATGCAGTCACTGCTCACGCGGAGGCAGGAGGGCTGGGCTGGGGCCTCCCGGTCCCTGGAAGTGACTGTGAAGATGTTACTCGGCAGGACAGGAGTCCTTTAGCTGCCGGAAGGTGCCCGGGTGTGCGAAAGATTAGTGGGTCTGGGGACAGTAGGATTTCACTTCCCATCCTTGCGATGCTTAGCAAATGTTTTTAATCTCGATTGTGTTAGATTTATAATTAAAAAACCAGAGAACCAGTTAATGTTCTGGAAAGTAATCCTTCCCCTGAAACATACCCGAAGCAGCTGTTCTCCGTGGCACTCTGGGTCTAGCCAGGGGGTGGGGGTTGGGTGTTGCCACTTCCGGCCTTTTCTGTCCCCTCAGGCTCTGGCTCCAGCCCTAGGGAGAGGAATGCCTTCTCTTTGCCTTCCCTTCCCTCACTCAGCTCTCAAAACTTCCTGGAACTCAGCACCAACCTTCAGGAAACTGTAGGCTGCCCCGGGGCACTCCTCCCCCATAGGCACCCCCGCCCTCCCCGCCCCCAGGTGGTGACACATTTACCAAGGCTTCCAGGGTGGAACTGGCAGTCTCACCTCTAAGTCCTGCAAGGCCAGCTTACTGGCAGGGAGAATGTCAGATGTGTGTTTGAGGAGAGAATGAATAAAGACCTTTTTTTTATTGGTTGATCTGTGCCTGGGTTTTAGTTTCATATGCTCCCCCTGTGTCATGTGACATCAGACAAATGACTGTCATCTTGGGGCCACACTGTTCTAGGGCCATTCTGTCCGCTTAAAGACAAAAGGCTACAAGTGAAGACCCCTGTGCAGGCGGGGTAGGGGCTGTACTGAGCTGAGGGTGGACACTGGCAGCCAAGGATTTTCAAGCTAAACGCTCACCCCACAGCATCACTCAAAACTCACCAAATAATTTTAAAAAATAGTTTTATTTTTTTTAAACCATTAAGGCAACACTGTACCCTGAAATTAACTCCTTACATTCATCAGTCTTACAGTAGGACATTCCAAACCTGTACGTTCCCACAAACTCAGGATATAAATCAATATATGTGATCAGTTCAATCTCCTAGCAGGAAAAAAGACGACCAAAGATTTTTAAGAATTAAAGTTATTTTATAGCCCTTTTCTAATTGCTTGGAACCACTATCATTAATGTGACTAGAAAGATTACCTTTGCTTTTCTCTGCACACCCCTGCTCTCTGAGGCCCAGAGCCAAAGAGAGGACATCAGAACCTGCTCTAAAAGATCAGCTTTGGAATTGCTCCTGTTCAGTATTAAGACAAGGGGTCTTTCTGCCCCTGAATCCTTGGGGAGTATAAGGCACCTAAGAATGGTAACGATAAACACACCAAGAAACCAAGCTCAGTCTTGCTTTGGAAATCTGCACCCATCTGATGTGCTGATGTGTGTGGGTCACTCTCCCCCGTGGCTTTCAGTATAACGGCCCTGCGGATCCTGGGGGTGGGGCACAGGTAGGCACCAAGTTTTGCCAAGGCACTGAAAATGACACGTGGGAGCACCAGGGAGTCTCGTTCTGCTTATGCCACGGGCCGCCCGTCTGGGCCCAGCCCGTGCACGTGTCCCATCAGAATATTTCAAACTGCCCAAGTTCTTTGGTAAAAACCCACAGGCACTAATTCCCTGAAGAACAGACAGCTACTTACTGCACAGGATTAGTTCAGGTCTTCAGCAGGGTGCGGCTGTGAGGAGTAAGTGACTTGTGACCTGGGTCTGTGGCAGCCTTGCTCGAAGAGGTGGTGAAGGTCCCCTCGGTCGGGCTTCATGCGTGTGAAGTATGACGAAGGGGACAGATTTACACGGGAAGTCAATTCTGTGTGGCTCGGGAGAAATGAAAAGTGGTGTGTGTGCACGCGTGCGCACGTGCGATTGTATTTCAGCTGTTCTGTTCCGGCTTTTGTGTTTCCAGTAGGGTTCAAGAGGCAGGCTGGGAAGAGCATATGTCGACTAATACTGATTTCAAGAGATTCCAAATCTTTTGTTATTAGATGCATGATTTTAAGTTAGTAAAATATTTATGCTATATTTTTAAAAACCTTGAATCACAGTATTTAAGATATAGCTATGAACATGGTTCTTTTTAACATACAGTGTAGAAAAAATAACGATGCTCAAACCAAATACTGTAGTCTTACTGAAAAGGGTACTGAGTGGTATTCATCTTTTGTGAGGTACATTTTTTTTTTTGAGGCCTGAAAAAAAGGGACAGACCATCTGTGCTTTTTAAAAGAGGAGACATTTTCCAAAAGTGAATGATTTTACTCTGAAAAGATTGGTCACTCACTTGTCTTCTGGGCCTGACGCATGATCTCCCTGCCTTGAGGAGGCCACGCGGAGGCCAGGGGACCCCCTCTGGGCCAGGAGACTTGGTGGCCCGCAAGCCCCCACTTGGGGCTCCCCCGCACCCCCGGAGGCAGGGCTCAGGGTGGAGGGCGTGTCCATGCCCTGGTTTGCATGATACTGGAGTTGATCGTATTAATGAAGTTTAGTTGTTGGGGGCGGGCAGAAGGGTAAGGGAGGAGAAGGCTGGTATAGTCCCTTCTCTGGAGAAGCACGTGGGGAAGCTTTTCCCATCTGACCTAAATTAGCAAACATTTTATATGAAAAACCCTGACCCAGGACTTAACACTATCTCCAATGGAAAGAAAAAAAAATCTGTTCCATAGTTTTTTGTTTTGCAAATAATGCATTTAACAGCTACGGGGCCACTGGAGTCCTTGATGCACTCAGTCACTCCAGTGAAGGTGAGACACCGAACATGGCAGTTAGGTCTGTTCTATTCCGAGTTCCGAAAGGGCGTGGCTGTTTGTCCGTCAGCTGGGCCACGGGGCATGGGCCCCCCAGTTCCCGCGGTGGGGGGTACACTGTTGGACTTCTCCTGTTTCAGACTGAAGTGTCGAGAGGCAAGTGGCCTGCTGGGAGCCACCCCCCTAGATGTGAGAAGGCCGCCCTGGGCCCCAGCTGGCCGAGGGCAGTGCCAAGTGCACCCCCGCCAGCAGCCTCCTGTTCCGGGCCCGACACGTGGGCCACACCCACAGCTTTTTTTACAAGTTTAAGACACCCCGCCGCATTCCATGAAAACAGCACAATGGAAAGAATTATGTAATTCTTTGAAGCGCGAAGATTGTCTTTGTTTTTCCCCCTCTTATAAAACTTTCAGTACCACATTCTACTTTGCCTGTGGTTTACGGAGAAATGCGATGGATCTCCCATATCCCGAGTCCGACCTAACCCACTGCTTTCATTCTTACTCTGGTGTGTTTTGCAGGCTGGGGGTCAATGACCGTTTTCCCGAATTCTATTAAAAGGGCAGTGGAGGGGGGCCTGCGTAGGCTCAGTAGGTTAAGTGTCCAGCGTTTGATTTCCACTCAGGTCAAGATCTCACAGTTCATGAGTTCGAGCCCAGCGATCAGGCTCTGAGCTGACATCGTGGAGGCTGCTTGGGATTCTCTGTCTCTCCCTCTGTTTCTGCCCCTCCCCTGCCTGCACACTCTTTCTCTCAAAATAAAAGACATTTTAAAAAATGGCAGGGGAGCCCTATAAATCAGCTTGGACCAAGAGTTAGGAGAAGCCAGGCCACTTTTTACAAAGGAGAACAAATACAGAGAGCCCGGCTTCGGAGCTGCCCAGCGCCCAGCAGTGCCAGTGCTGTGAAGACTGGCCGCATGGAAACAACGGCCACAGGCGCTCTGTAAGGATCCGTCAGCCCTCAGTTGGTGGCACCGATCTTAGTGTGTGAGGTCCACAGACAGCAGAATGTCCCTGCCGTCCCGAACTGACGTCACTGCCAAGTGACCCTCCAGGAACACGCTCAGCAGAGGACCGGCTTGGCTGCCCCGGCTTGGCCGCCCCGGCTTGGCCTACAGGAGGCGGAATGCGCTTGCTCCCCCCGGGGCCCAAAGCCAGGCGGCCCCCACCCCAAGCCTGGGTGTTTCCACTTGAATCTGGGGATGATCTCCACACGGAGCCACTCAAGGGGCTGGGAGCCGGAGGCCCCAGCAGCCTGCTTTGAGGGCGGTAAAAGTCTATGCCATAGGTGGCGGGCCGTGGGCACTCGACATGTTTTCCTAGCGGACCTGTGCTTTGAAAGACCACACAGCGGGGAGAGGCACTTTGAAGGTGGCTGGCTTTCCCTGGGTCCCCGCAAGTGTCCCATGTAGGGCCAGGATGGTGGTCCGGTCAGTCTTACCTGGGAGCACTGGCCTTGGTGGCAACAGGGCACCCCCTATTTAAACCGAGTTCCAAAGACAGGTGTGGCCACTGGGTCAGGAAAAGAAACCATCGTATATGCAGTGGCTAGGTCTCAGATGTGCTTGGTGCCACTATGGTTTGAAGAAGGGAGCAAGAGGCAGGAGAGGCCCAGAGTCCGCACAGGGGCACGGGGCACGCGCCAGGGGTGCCCTGGGGCAGTCATGGCCCGGCGAGGTTTGCCCGGAGGCACCTCCTCCCACCCTTGCCTGGCGGGGTCTCTCTGTGAACAGGCTGAGGCGGAGGGGAGGCAGGCCAGTGCCGGGAGTGACCTTTGTCAACGTCTCCTAGACCTGGGTCATGTTCAAACTCAGTCCCGCTCAACAAGGGTGGCAACTCCCGCCCATGTGTATCTCTGAGGCTCCCTTTAAACAACAAAAGTGCCCTTAGAAACTTCTATAACCTTCCATTTCTCCGTGCGCAGTCCAGCAAAGAAAGGTGAGTGTGACTCCAGATGTTCCAGAAGGACCCCAAGTGCTTTGTGTACCTTCATGTTAACAGTGCCTTTTGATGTATCTCATTGAGGTAGCTCTTACCTGGATTCGGGGACACAGTAGTGGCTAAATTGACAGTTTACTTCTCAGCAGACACTAAACCAAGGATTCTATGTGCGCCTCCAGCTTCTGCTCAGATCATAGGGTGCTGCTCGGTCTCTGGGACCCCAACACGACCCCTGAGGCCGCCCGCTTCCTTAGACTTCTAGATGGCCCAGAGTAAGAAATGCTTCCGAAACCCAGAGAGAAACGTTCTTGCTTTGAAAACATGAAGAATCCCTCGACCGCAGGGACAGCTCTTGCAGGCATTCTGGAATGCCCTGCGCGTCACCTTTCTTCTCCTGGGCTTCACGGTCTCTCACATAGCCGTATCTGGACTCCTTAGGAAGCTGCTTTCAATGTATCTCGTCTGAGAGTCCCAGGAAGGCCGCAGGGAACCGGAGAGCAGTGCGGGAAGGACGGGGGCAGCTCCCTGGCGCTCTGACCGTTCCCGCGTGGGCTCACGTAGTTGCCAGCACCCTGGTCTTGGGGACACTCGGCCTCACCGAGAGGCCACGGTCACATCCAGCCCTCGGAGGGGGGCAGGGGCAGAACTCAGCGTGCGAGACACCTAAGTGGATGCGCCCAGGAGGCGGAAGAGGAGGGATGCTGGGGCATCAGGTGGAGAGGTCGGGGCGGCTCCCGGGCTCAGGTTCATCCTTGTCAGCCCTGCGCACAAAAGCTGTTCATAACTCTGTGGTCTCCCAGGCGTTTGGCACTTGTGGGTACACACGGTGTCCTGGTGAAGAGGGGAGCTGCCCCGCGGATGACTCCCCAGGAGAGGAGGGGCTCCAGGCTCTGGCTTGGGCTCCTTGAACCTGTTCTGTCCCCTCTACCATACTTGACGCTGACGTCAACTGAAACCCGTGGCACTACATGCACCTTAAATAGTCCCTACTAGAAATGCTACTGTATTTTGAACGGGTGAATAATTCATCCATATCTGACTCTCTGTGGTCTGAGAAATCTTTGATTAGGTGACCCAAAGTATCCTGAGTGGCGATTAGTGACTATTATGTAAAACGGATGGGAATATGTGCTCAACGTGAACAAATTCAAGTGGCTTTCAAGCTGACGTCCCTGTGGCCTCCTCTGTGGCTTCATTGGGAACATGGCTGGGAGTCTAGCTGGGCCCCAGGAGTGCCACACGCTCGTCATCACTAGGAACGCAGTACCTGTGCCTTCCTCAGCCTGTCACTGCAGGATGCATGAACTAAGGAGCTTCTGAGAACAAGTTTCTGAAAATATAGAGACAGTGTGAGCGACTTTTCTGAAAGCCTGTGTCTTGAGGGTCATTTTCCGAGGCTGTGTCCTTGAATGGCATCTACCTGGGGCACATCAGGAGAGAGGCTGGTGGTCAAGAGAGACAACAAGGACTTGGCATTGGGGAACACCTGGGTGGCTCAGTCGGTTAAGCATCCGACTTCGGCTCAGGTCATGATCTCACAGTTCGTGGGTTCAAGCCCCGCGTCGGGCTCTGTGCTGACAGCTCAGCTCGGAGCCTGGAGCCTGTTTCAGTCTGTGACTCCCTCTCTCTCTGCCCCTCCCTTGCTCACGCTGTGTCTCTCTCTCAGAAATAAATAAAAACATTAAAAAAAAGAAAGAAACAAAAAAGAACTTGGCATCGGAACGCAGCCTCTGTCCCCCAACCTGTGGGCGAGCCACGGCCCTCCAGCCCCACAGGTCCGGGGAGCCCCGTCCTGGGGCAGGACGTGGACACGGACTTGCCCTCTGACTCAAAGCTCAGCTCCCTTCCGATTTCCGATGACCTCTGGACTGGTGTCATTCATCTGTGGAAATACCTGTACTTGCTTCCAACAGACCCTTTATTTGGATCTTTCCACAAAATGAAAAATACCACTCGTGTTTAATTCTGGAAAGGATGCGCCCGTCGTAGCATTTGCCTTTCCCAGTTGAAACCTTGCCTGCCCTCTCTACGGCTGCATTTCTAGGATCCTGGTCTTGGGAACTTGATCCATTTCAATCCTGATCATTCCTCTAACGGCAAATAGCATCAACCTTCTAGAACCACATTTTCTAAAGACAGAGGGGGAGGGAACCTGAGGGCACAGCCAGGTCCTAAGTGCTACTGGGAGGAGAGGTGGCTGGTGTCCACCCCCTTCCCCGTCCCCCCCCCGCCCCCACTAGAAGAGTCAGCCCTGCCCGGCCCAGCCAGTCCTGGCTTGAGGTGGGGGGAGGCTGCCTCACATTGTCTGCTGGGACCTTCACCTTCCATGGCGGACAGAAAGAGTCTTTCCAGGTCCAGATGTTCTGGACAAAAGCCACGATCATCACTGCTTCCCTAACCAGAACGAGGCTGAGAAATGATCTTTAAGGCCGAAACAAGTACTTTAGATGCTGGGAAAGCTGGACCTGGAGGACTCTGTACCTGCCCCCCTCACTCTCCAGCGCGCGCCCCCCCCCCCCCGGCCCACGTTTGTCTCATCTTCTCCAGTAGCGGCTCTACCACCGAGGGTTAAAAAAAATAAAGCTGCGCATTTGAAAAAGCGACACCGGAAAAGGCCAAGGAGCTGCCTTGACACACAGGGCTCAGAGGGACATCGACAAACAGTCGCTGAAAATGCTTTCGTGGCCCCCAAGCAACCTGGCTCGGTCAGTTCAGATTTGGAAACAGAGGTCAGAGGGACGGAGAGCCTGACACACTTTCCGTTTGCCTTGCTCCTGCTGACCACAGGCGTCCCCTCGAAACGGGCAGGCCGTCAAGCCCAGGAGCAAGCTTGAGACGTGGGTTCTGGGATCTTCTACACAAACGTGGAGACAGGCCTTTCCTGCGTCGCAGTTACAGCCACAAAGACAGCGAAAAACCAACCGGCCGATGCATTCTGACGGCTTATCAGATAATTTTCAGAAACTTTAGATCCTCCGATTAAAAACCAGCATGTCATCATTCCTCAAATGCAGGACACAGAATTAACACCCCTCCCAATAAATATTTTGCCGCGTTTTAAATATCTAACCTTTGGATTCTTCTAGATTTACAGGATTATAAAAGTTAAAAAGTGCTGATTAGTTTTCAAAACGATACAAGGGCACAAGAGTCAAAAGGTGGCGAAAGGAGGAGCCAGACCACGTATTTCGAGGTCACCAGTTAATCCGACGGTGAACTGCTAACGTGATGTAAAGAGATCTGCATTGATTATCGCTGGGTGGGTTAAAATCAGACCGCCAAGCCTCGCTCCCGTTAATTTTCCAAGAACCGCATATTAGCTACTCGTCACCGGCTTTTTGGTACTTCGTATGTTCTGAGAAGTACTGGTGTAAAAAAAAGAAAGGAAAAGAAAGAAAGAAACGTGGACTCGCGTTCTGGTTACCTAGAGCTCTTTCGTCCTAGCCTCTAAGGTGAAAACGGGGGAATTTGTGCAAAGCGGGCATTGCTCCCATCTCTCACTTTGTAGTGCCGTCGACTCGGGAAGACCCTTGGAAAGCTGCTTATTTCGCTGCTCGCTTCGAGGCCATCAGTACATGTCCCTGTAGATTTCCTGCAGCAGCGGGTGCAGGGCGGCGTCAGACTCCGTCTTCTTGATGACCTGCACGAGCTGCGCGTGCTCGGTGACAAGCTGCCGGAGGTCTGCCATTTTTTGGAGGAGTTTTGGGAAGAGGAAGGTGTTGTCTGGATGGTTGCTCTGCAGGTGAAGTTTGAGCACATGCACGATGCCCTCCTGCATTTTTTCAATGTGTCCCACGTTTAGAAGGCCTGGCCGATCTATCCTCAAAAGAGAGAAGAGGGGGTTGTGATCATCGCCGCATTAGTGCCTGCCCCATAACTATTTATCAGCATGGGAGGGCAAACCTCCTATTTTATGTAACTTTTATTATTTTTTACTTATTTCTAGGAGAGAGAGAGAGAGAGACAGCATGAGCAGGGGGGGGTCAGAGAGAGAGGGAGACACAGAATCTGAAACAGGCTCCAGGCTCTGAGCTGTCAGCACAGAGCCCGACGCGGGGCTCGAACTCATGGACCATGAGATCATGACCTGCTCTGAAGTCAGAGGCTTACCCGACTGAGCCCCCCAGGCGCCCCTGACTTTTCTTTCTTCTACCGCCTGCCTTTTGATAATGTCGACTCAGCTGGAAGACAGAACTAGATTCTTACAAAGTCACTGGGTCCAGCAGGGGCAGACAGGGCAAATACCCGGCCCTAAATATTTATACAGCCTTAACTTGACCGGCTGCCTCACTGTGTGGCGGTTTCCATTTGGATTTACCTGATCGCCACCGCTCAGGGGAAAGCCCAGAACATGAGGAGAACTATACGTTCTGACGATGCCGGAAACAACCAGTGCTGCATAAAAGGAAATGAAATTCTTCTTCCTGAGTGAAAACTGGGTATTTGGTTTCAAGTTTTCTGCCACTATTTAAGGAGTGTGACTGTCTAAGGCGGGGGTGGGGGTTGCGGGGTGGACAGGAGTCTTCTGAGATGAGTCAGCTGAACAGAAAGCGGAGTGAGGTGTGAGGAGGACAGACAGCTAGCTGGACAGGATGCTTCCTGGAGGCGGAGGCGGGTCCGAGATCACAGCGGGTGCCCTCCCTGGGGTAGCACAGCCCCAGCGCCAGACTTCCTGGCCCGGTTGAGACCACCAGTCCTGCCTTTGCTCCGGAAAGTACCCCGCCCCCACCCTGTCCCCACAGGCAGTGCTCCCTTTAAAGCCCTGCTCCTTACTAGCATTTTTAAATTCTTTTTTTTTTTTTTTAATTTTTTAACATTTATTTATTTTTGAGAGCATAGCGTGAGCAGGGGAGGAGCAGAGAGAGAGGGAGATACAGGATCCGAAACAGGCTCCAGGCTCTGAGCTGTCAGCACAGAGCCCGACATGGGGCTTGAACCCACAAACCGTGAGATCATGACCTGAGCCGAAGGCAGATGCTCAACTGACTGAGCCACTCGGGTGACCTTCCTTACTAGCATTTTTAAAAGTGTTGCTAAGGATGTGGGTTTTTAAATTTTGTTGTTGTTGTTGTAAAACAAATAGAAGTATTAACTTTTTAAACAGAGAGAATTAAAAAGACAAATTGAGTCTCCCTCATCAGGTCGAAGGTATCCTACATGTTTAACGGGTACCCTCAGCAGACACTTTTCTATGTATAGGATTGGTAGAGGATTATAATTTCTTTTAGAAACCATACTACTTATAAATAGTTGTGCCACTGCTTTTCACCTACAACACTTCATCTTTTTAAAAAAATTTTTTACTCTTTATTTTTGAGAGAGGCAGAGGGACAGAGAATGTGAAGCAGGCTCCCGGCTCTGTCTGAGCTGTCAGCACAGAGCGTGATGCAGGGCTTGAACCCACGAACTGTGAGCTAAGTCGGACTCATGAGCTGAGCCGAAGTCGGACACTCCACCGACAGCCACGCAGGTGGCCTCAACGCACCACACTCCATCTCGAGCATCCCAAGCGCAGTGGTAGATAATGTACAGCTGTTTTGCCGTTTTACCTGTTCTGCCAGAGCGTGAGGACTCCCTCCAGCTGCCTGTCGCAGCTGGATGGGAACAGGGATAGGCCTTGCGGGGCAGCCGGATGGGGGGGCGGTAGTCCCATGGGTCTCCCCCAAGGCCGGGTAGGGTCAGCCAAGTTTACAGCACAGGGAGGACCTTGTTATACCCCAACTGGGTTATTTAAAGGAACGTGGCACGGAGCCAAGATTCTGGGAGCTGCAGAGCCAGCGAAAGCCCAAGTTTTCCTTCCCCGGGACCCATGTCCTTGGCAAAGCAAGCTGCAAACTACCAGTTAGCTAGTGCTGTTTCTCACCAGAAACGGGATAAACACACCAACAGCGAATGAAACGGTGCTAACATCTGTACGGCCCGCTATACAATACTGCCTGTAACATGGATATAACCCTGTAACAACAGAATTATGGAATAGTAATCTCTACACCATATATGGTACCATAATTCTATCTAAGATGTATTGAATGTGAGATACATTAGATTGAATTATATTACTGTTATACCTAATATATTATATAGGATATGATTATAAGTAGAAATAGACTTATGTATATAGCATTATAATTATGAACAGGATATGTTTATATAATGTACAAATACATATGTGTATTTTTTAATTAAATGTTTTAATGTTTATTTATTTTTGAGAGCGAGAGAGAGACAGAGTGCAAGCAGGGGAGGGGCAGAGAGAGAGGGAGACACAGAATCTGAAGCAGCTCCAGGCTCTGAGCTGTCAGCACAGAGCCTGACATGGGGCTCGAACCCACGAACTACAAGATTGTGACTTGTGCTGAAGTGGGACACTTAACCGACTGAGCACCCAGGTGCCCCTATGTATTTGTATATATGAACATATGCGATAATATGATTTGATAGGATGTAATTCTCACTTAAGTCTTGTCAGGGGCGACGCAGGGGCTCAGATGCCCTCCCGCCGGCCAGCGCGTGCCCCACTGTGCCCAATTCCCGCACATACCTGAGGCTGTTCCTCAGGATGGGAGGGCGCAGGTGACATGGCACCGGGTTAAGTCAACGACTTACCTCCACAGCAAATTATAGCAGCCACGAAAAGGGAAATATCACTGTCGTCCAGTTCCAGCGCGTTGAACTTCATCGCAAAGTCAAACTTAGGTTCCATGATATCACAAAACGGTTTCCTTAGGCTCTTTAGGAATTCACGAGTTATGAAGCCATTTCCATATGCTACCAGCATCCCATCTTTATTCATCACAGAAGACAGCATCGCAAATATGGCCTCGTAGACTCCGTATTTCAGCAAAGTGACTTGGTCATTCAAGTCCAAGTTTGCGAAGCCAGGGATGGACTTGGCGAACTCTGTGAGCTCCGTGACGGTCTCCACGGATGTGCACTGGCAGCAGTGGAAGATGCGGACTTCCGCCTCCTTGTTCTGGATGCCGTTGGCCACCAGCTTGGCCACCAGAGTCTTCTCGGCCATACACAGTGTTTCCATGTCATGTATGACAAAGGGCTGCAAAGAAACACAGGAAAAGGTCAGTTAGCTGGTGACAGGCAGTCCTCTTGATTATCAGTGAACTGACGAGCAGACACGGTCTCCAGATCAGCCGTGGAGAAGTCTTTATCCTTCGGCAACCTCAAAACAAATCGGGGACACAAAGATGTGCACAGAGAACTAACGTATGAATCAGTAAGATGGTGATAATCATCACCACCCGACATGGGGTGGAGATCTCATTGCTGTGAATGGGAAATCCCGATTTGGGCAGGAAAGCTAACAACAGAAGGTTTGCAGAGCACTTTTAATACTTCATAATAATCTCTGAGCTCCTAAATACTACTGCAACAGCCCTGATTACCGTAACTTTTGAACTTTCATCATCGAGGTACAGTTGACACACGTCACATTAGTTTCAGGTGCGCACCATGGTGGTTCGACACGTGCCCACATTATGCCTTGTCCACCACGACGAGCATTGTCGCCAGACGTGAATACAATATTGCTGACTACAGTCCCCATGCTGTACATTTCATCCCCACGGCTTCTTTATTTTGTAACTGAAAATGTCTGCCTCTTGATCGCCTTCCCCGATTTCGCTCATCCCATAATAATTCTTTTTTTTTTTTTAAATGTTTTATTTGTTTCTAGGAGAGAGAGAGAGAGACAGCGCGAGCAGGGGAGGGTCAGAGAGAGAGGGAGACACAGACTCCAAAACAGGCTCCAGGCTCTGAGCTGGCAGTCAGCACAGAGCCCGATGCGGGGCTCGAACCCACGAACCGCGAGATCATGACCCAAGCGAAAGTCGGCCGCTCAACTGACTAAGCCACCCAGCCGCCCCCCCATAATAATTCTTAATGTTACCATTTTACAAACTTTGGAGACAACCATCGTTATCGAACTCGGCTAAGTGAATAATATGTATGACTCATAATATGTATGACTCAGAAAGTTGGCATTTGCATCACAATAAGCAAACAAGCATTAAGTCCTTGCTCTTTGGGGATAAACTGGGAAAAATCTCAAAGAACCCTCATTTCCCTGTGTATAAGACTGAAATCTGCACTTGAGTGCCCTGTTCGGGAACAAGGGCCAAATCCCCGTGGTAGGCGGCCATCCCGTTTGCTTCCAAGCCCACCGGTCCAGCCATTTCCGAGGACCTAGTGGAGGGAAGAAGAGACGGCTGGCCGTATGTGAAGCCAGCGTGCCCAGAAGGGATTATACATCTGCTGGGGCACAAGAGATTGGACACACACGTTTTGTGTACCTGGACTGTGTGCCGGGTCTGTGTACAGTGCAGAGCAGAAGAAAACGGCAGTCTCCGCAGGACCTCTGTGATGTGTAATGTGTTCTACAGATCAGCCATGGGGTGGCCCGAAGCCTTATTTTCCATTCCTCACGGCATATATCAATGTAGAACGTGTAAGCCCCTCATGATTTTGAGACTCACTCTGCCAACGGGCAAAACACGTCACTGACGTTGCATCTGGACCCGCAGCATGATTGTTCCCTATTCCTGGGCCCCCAAGAGCATCTGGAGAAAGCACACGGCACCTTCAGGGCACCCGTGGGCTGCTATCTGTCCCAGACGCAAGGCAGACGTATTAGAGCAATACAAGGGAGTGTTTCTGAAAAAAAATTTTTAAAACGTTTTATTTATTTTTGAGAGAGCACAAGCCCGGGAGGGGAGGGGACAGAGGAAGCGGGCTCTGTGCTGAAAGCAGCGAGCCCGACGTGGGGCTTGAACTCATTAACCCCAAGATCCATGACTCACGCCAAAGTCGGATGCTCAGTCAACTGAGCCCCCCAGGCGCCCCATTTCTGAAATGTTTAAACAAAATCAGAGTTTGCAATATGGCGTTGGACAAAGATATAATTTGATTGCACATAGGAAGAGGATACTCTAAAAGTTTGCTGCGAATGAGTGAAAAACATTCTAAATACAAAATTCAGAGCAAAAATTTCTGAGTATCCCCAGTTTGATTAAGGAATACTAAAACCATCTCTCTCCAAAGATCGTAAAAGCAGGCCAGATTGCTGTTGTTTGGGGAAAGCTTGGTGACAGCTCTGCTTCATGAGAAGCTGGTCAGATTTGAGGAATGAACATTCTAGGATGGACCAGAGACACACTTTTAAAGGGCTTATGGGGGTGCCTGGGTGGCTCAGTCAGTTAAGCATCCAACTTCGGCTCAGGTCATGATCTTGTGATTCGTGGGTTCGAGCCCTGTGTTGGGCTCTATGCTGACGGCTCGGAGCCTGGAGCTGCTTCTGATTCTGTGTCTCCCTCTCTCTCTGCCCCTCCCCCACTCATGCTCTGTCTCTCCCTTTCAAAAATAAATAAACATTAAAAATTAAAAAAACCAATGTTTATTGAAGAGAAATTGTGGACACTAACACACTTGATAAACACAGTTAATAGGACTGTCTAAAAATCCATGCTGCTTATACATAACTATGGAACGGGCCCTTTAAACTTAAGTTTGAATATGAATGTATCTGCCATCACAGGTGGTTATTTAAATAAATATATATATTTATTTATATAAATACATAAAGCATGTTGTGATGAGTTTAAATAGCATGAGACACAAACCTGCCCAGTTTCCTCCCACATCACTCCCCACTGAGACCAGAAGCTTCTCTTAACTGACATCTATCATTCATGCTCACACCTGATGGTGTTCTGTGTGCGTTAATGATGTTACTAACGAGAACTCATCTTTATTTATTTAATTTGTTTTTTAATGTTTACTTATTTCTGAGAGAGAGAGAGAGAGAGACAGAGTGCAAACAGGGGAGGGCAGAGGGAGAGAAGAATAGGCTCTCAGCACAGAGCCCGACACAGGGCTAGAACCCACAAACCATGAGATCATGACCCAAGTGGAAGTCGGAGGCTCAGCTGACTAAGTCACTCAGGGGGCCCAAGAATTCATTTTTAAATTCATTTAAACAGCATTTTCTATGTAAAGTCAGGCAGCACCAGCTTTTAGGAAGAATTTGTGAATTATTGGTGCAATTGCTTTGGGTGAAACCATTTAATTAGCTTTTGCTTAGGTTTTACTACACATTTCTAATAAGCAGTATGAAATATTAAGTATGTTTGTCAATTCTAAGGGAACTAAAGTAGTAGGTACAGTGTTCAGCATAACAGAGCGAGCAAAACTCCTGTGGCGTCAGGCCACGTCCCCTAAAGAGGTGATGCTCTTTCAGGATGGCACCGGGAGACCTTGTCCTGAAGACTCAGAAACACTGAGAACAGGGGTGCCTGGGGGGCTCAGTCGGTCATGATCTCACGGTTCATGAGTTCAAGCCCCGCATCGAGCTCGCTGCTGTCCGCACAGAGCCTGCTTTGGATCCTCTGTCCCCTTCTCTCTGCCCCTCCCCTGCTCATGCTCTCTCTCAAAACTACATAAACATGAAAAAAAACCCAACTAGTGTTAGAATCCATTCCCAGCCACAGGTCAAAAATTAGTTCCCTTGCTGCATTTATTCTTTGCAGACAAGACGCCTGACTCTGTTACTATAATCCCAGTTTGCATCCAGGCTGGCTGCTACTGACTCACGATTCTGTCTAAAATTCAATGATGTTCTCGGAGAATGAAGATTTTCCATGACTGCTGACATTCAAAGACCCTAAAGATAATCCCTGACAATTGTGGGCAACATGGGAATCTTTGAGACGAACGTTTGAATTAAAGTTGTAGAGGCGCCTGGGGGGCTCAGGCAGCTAAGCCTCTGACTTGGGCTCAGGTCATGATCCAACCTGACCGCAGCTGGTAGGTTCGAGCCCTGAGTTGGGCTCTGTGCTGACAGCTCGGAGCCTGGAGCTGCTTCAGATTCTGTGTCTCCCTCTCTCTCTGCCCCTCCCCCGCTCACGCTCCCTCTTTCTCTCTCTCAAAAATAAACATTTTAAAAGATTTTTTTAAAAAGTTGGGCCGTGTGTGTTCTGTCACAAAGTAGCAGTAAGACTGCGTTACCGTCGCCTTGTACTCTGAATTGTGGAAAGTTCAAATAGTCGGTGCTAAAGAACTGTTTGTTTGTTAACTGAACACCCAGTTCTCATAGGTGTAACCAGCCTCGGAAGCCAGAAGTGAGCTGGAGCAAGGGCGGGTGTGTGTGCGTGTGTGCGCCTGTGCCCACCCGTGTGCGCGTGCACGTGTGGGGCTGGGGTCCGAGCCCTGGGAGGCGGACCTCGCGGAAGGCGCAGACTTCACGCCCCTCGCCATCTCATTGCAAGTGGCCTCCCGGAATGTCCCCTGTAGCATTAACACCTCACACATCAGCACACGGACTTTTTAGGCCACTGTTGAAAAGCACGTCTTTTGGAAGCCAAGTTCGGGTGTCACTGGTGTTCCCTCTGTGCCTCGGCTTCTGTCCCTGTCACCCTCATATCAAAGGGCAGCACAGGACCCGACAAGCTGGGACCAGGTGACTGAGGGCCCTGGTCGTGTTCTGGCCTCCGCTTCTGAGACCTCAGGGGCCCAAGCAGCCCCTGTGCAGACAGAAACATTCGCTAGCCCTGCCATGCCCTCCTGCCCTCAGCCGAAACCCATCTTTCCTCAAGGCCGTGGGATCTCCATGCTTCCTCAGCCCCCTTCCTCCGCTCAAGACCCTCTCTGCACCCCTCCCCCCGCCCCCAGCATCCCCCTCCTGGTCCACCCAGCCTCCTAAGTGGTTCCAGGTCAGCTATAGGTCTCTGTAGAGCCTGTGTTCTGCACTGGGGGCTCTAGGTCCCAGGAAGCGCCCCGCTGGGCTGGGTGAGGGGGCGCGGGGGGAGGGCCTAGGGTGGGAAGCGGTCCGGCTCTGCGCAGACACCATGATCACAGGGTCACGGCTGTGCAGCAGATGCCTGCATGCTGCCTTTCAGGCTGGTGACCAAGTGCTCTGGTTGGGGGTGGGGGGGGCAGGCACGTCCCCCAGCAGTTTGCTGAACTCCCTTCCCCCTGTACCATGAAGCCCCAGCCCAGACTTCAAGTCTGTTATTTATTTCCTTAAGACAAAAATACAGATTCCTCGCCAAGAGGAACTGCCCAGATGGCCTCAGCTTGGGCCGCGGGGGGTCCTTCCGAGGGCGTGTGGATCTCAGCTGAAGGATACTCCAGAAGGATACTCCTTGGGAATGAAATTAATATTAAAGAAGAGTGTTTGGTTGAGAGTAAAGATGACTTTTAAGTTCCCTTTAAATTCTAAAAACCCAAGAGACCAACAGAAGATCTAAAAGATCAGAATTGTTGGCTCCTCTAATACGGGGCTATTCGAATCATTTCCAGGAGAGAAACTCAAAATTAAAAACTTTCTTGGCTCTCGCCCTTGTGATCCAGAAAGCGTCTAATGTATAAAAGCCTCTGGGGCCTCCTAGCATGGGTGTGGCTTTGCCAATTTAATAGAGTTTGCCTGAGCCCTTCTGAAATGTCTCAGCCTATTTAATGGGAGAATTTCACTGAAGAATTAAAGACTTGGTCAAAGAGAGGTTTGGTTTGTTCATGAAAGTAAGTAGCTTGTGAAATACTTCATTTTCCTGTGACTAAAAATTCCGGCTTGTAATTCCCAATCACGATTGCTTTCAGCTACTCATTAGCACAAATTAAACCTGTTCCACCATGCTCGTAGGAAAAAGGCAAAATATCTTCATCAGCCAAGCTTGGGCTGGCCCCTCTTTGAAGTAGCCCTGAGATTAGTTCTGTAATGGAGACGGAGACTGAGCTGCCCGCGGGGTTGGGGGGGCAGGAGGTAAAGTGAAGGAGGACCCCCAGACGCCCCCTCGGTGCTACAGAAAAGTTCCGGAACTGTCTGGAGAAGACAATAAAATTTTTGTAAATGAACAGCCCTTTCTAAGCCCAGAGATACCCTTAACTTTTCAGTGAAGAACTAAGAAGACGGGAGGGGGATGGGTGATCAGAGAAGGGGGAGGAGTTTTAGGGGAAGGATGTAAGAACGCACGGTGGGGGGACCTAGGTGGCTCAGGAACTTAAGCATTCGAGTCTCAATATCAGTTCAGGTCATGACCTCATGATTCGTGAGATCGAGCCCCACGTCAGGCTCTGTGCTGACAGTACAGAGCCTGCTTAGGATTCTCCCTCTCTCAAAAATAAATAAAATAAATAAATAAAAAAAGAATACAAATTGAACGAAAGAAAATGTTTTCATTTTCTGGCATTAAGATAGAGATTTAAAAAAAAATACACTTAAGAAATGCCCCTAAGCTAGGAACCAGATTTTTTTTTTTTTTTTTTTTTTTTTTTTTTTTTTTTTTTTTTTGGTGAATTAATCAGTCACTGTAATAACTTGGTTGCTAGGAGCTCCGAGGTGCAGTGAACCCAGGGGTTGCTGGGAAGCTGCCTCTAGTCTCTGGACGCTTGCTTCGGCCCGCGGTCTCTCGCCCACCTCGGGGGTAGACACCATGCTCCCCGCATCTAACACCTGTTGCCTCAGCCCCTCTGTGGGGCTCCAGCTGACGTGTCACCAGGGGGACACTTGAGGCTGGACGGCAACCAGCCGCGGGGCCACCTACCGGGTTGTTGTTGGCTTTCCCCGCCAGGATGACCCGGGCCTTGACCTTGTTCATGTTGAAGTTCTTGAGGTAGGCCTCGTAAATTCTCTTGGCGAGGGATTTCAGATCCGCCGTTTCAGCATCTTCTGGGTCATGTTCACACGTGAGGATTTCCGCTTTCAGTTTTGCTTTTTCAGACCTTGGCATCCGTCCAAAACGAATTGCTGAGGTTGGGGGAGAAACAGGAAGGGGGAAGCGAGCAGAGGTGAGCAACGCAGCCCGCGACAGCCACCAACCACCAGGCGGAGAGCTGGTACCGCGAATTCATCCACGAGTGAAAACCCACCCTCCATATGGGCCAATGTTCTACACTGGAGCGAGGAAGAGAAAACTCAACCTTTGTAAACCATGGACTTTTTTTTTTTTTAAAGGTGAAAAGAAAAGGTCACACTGTTACCCATTTCATCAATAGGACTGGCTGGGGGTCGGTTACTGTCGTCAGGTCCAAAACTGACCCTTAGGTCAGGGAGACGGAAGTGACCACTAAAACGAGTTCGTACGACACCCTTCTTCTTTTTCCAGAAGGGCGACTGCTAGGAACTCGATACTTGAGCTTTACCTTCCTGTCCTCACGGGCATGTTCTAAGCTTAGAGCAGGATTCCAGGTAATGACATTCACGGCGGTGGGCCGTGCTTCCCTCGCACGCTGGGCCCATCCCGGCATCCCCAGTGGAAACCTCAGATCCCAGCCTCACCGAGTGGAGCTTCTGACGGGAACGCCGAGTGCTCCGCTTAAGCTCGGCTACGGGAGACTTTTACTCTCTGACGCTGCTCTGGTTGCGAAGTGACCTGGGCACTGAGTGTCCTGCAGAGCATTCATGGAAAACACCGTCCACTGCGACCAACGGGGGAGGTAGGCTGAGGCGGGCTGGGAAGGCACGCTCCAACCTTACCTACCGTTATGGGACATCCCAACCGAGAGGCACTTGTGGAAACGGCAGTATTGGCACTTGTTCCGATTCTTTTTCTGGATCTTGCAGCTACGGTCACATTTGTCATACGCCAGCTTTAGCCGGATAGTTCTCCGGAAGAAGCCCTGAGGGGTGGAGACACAGTCGATCAGCGACTCTGGGCCGCAGCCAAGTCGGTGTCACTGCCTTGCTCGTGCTCCGTGGTGCTCATTTATTATCCTTTGCAAATGAACCAGAATCAGCAGACCGGCTCTAAAAAGTCTGACACAACCGGGACAGACCACAAATCGAAAATTTCATTACACGTAAAATGGAAAACAACACCACGAGGCAAAAAGTTCAAAGTAGTTTCTGAAGGTCCTCACCTGGTTTGGGAGATGCAAGTGTGCTGTCCCAGAGCTCCTCGGTCCTGCTCCGGGCCGGATAAGTGCCACCCCCCCAGTCCCACCCACAGCCTTGCTGGGGACTAGACACCTCCTTGGCGTCTTTGTAAGAGAGTATCAACTCGCAAGAAAACAATGATCCTAAACCGTAATAAAGGGAAGCTGACTGTCAAGAATGTTCTTGCTTTATAGAAGCATCTCAAACAATCCCCAGTAAGAGAAAACTTTGCTACTTAGTCCATAAAAAAAACGAAATGAAAGGAACGTAGGTGCGGCCCCGCAGAAAAGGCCACTTTGCGAGTAGCTTCGTTACAGGTACGTGGTCTGAAGGCTTGTGAGGGTGTCTGTGTATTTGCTTTGGTTCTTTAGCCGTCTGCTTCCCACTCCTTCCTGCATGTTTCTGCTGGGGCAGGTCCCAGGGGCCCACAGGAGAGGGGACAGCAATTTCTTGGGGAGCAGGAGGGGAGGCCGGTGCCTTCACTCCATTGGTGGTGTGGGTCTGTGCAGCGGGTTGGCCCCTGTGGCACGGGGTCACGTGGGGGGTTGAAGAGAGAATCCTAACCATTGTCCCTGCTAACGCAGCCCTTTGTCTCCCTGCGACCCAGGCCTCCAAGGCCACCCCAGGCTCGGTGCTTCAACAGCATTTCAAGGAGGCGGGTCGCGCCCGCACCAGTAAGGCCACGGCATCTTCCAGAACTCAGTAAGCGGTCTCTTTCTGACCGTAACCGAACGCTGAGATGGCTACATACTGGTGTACCATGTCCATGAAGCCCCAGAGCTGAGATCATATACACTGTGCTAAAGGCACGATCGGGGTCCGGCCACCTCTGATGGCCTTGAGGACCACTGTCCCCCTGGCCCGCTGAGGACGGAAAGAGCGAGTAGGCTCCCTGGCCCCAGAGTAAAATAAAGGGATCCTTCTCGCTGTGGTTTATTTTCTTCCAAACATGCTTCTTTAGCTTATTTACCCAGTAGAGTCTGGCAATTTGCCACAGACTCTCTGAACAGAGAAATTAATCTCTTACTTGGGTCTGTTTCTTATCGCTGTCTTCCGACAGATCTTTTTAGTAATGATGAAAATCTGTGTAAAAAAATAAAAGGAATCAGGGCGCCTGGGTGGCCCAGTTGGTTAAGCGTCTGACTCTTGATTTTGGCTCCAGTCCTGATCTCACGGTTCATGAGTTCAAGCCCCATGTTGGGCTCTGCACTGACAGCACGGAGCCTGTCTGGGATTCTCTGTCTCTCTCTGCCCCTCCCCTGCTCTTTCACTCTCTCAAAATAAGTTACATAAATAAGTAAAAGGAACGACATGCAGCCCCTGGAGCAGGGACCGTCCCCTCTGCCAGGGTCCACCGTACCTTGCAGCCTTCACACGCGTGAACTCCGTAATGGTAGCCCGAGGCTTTGTCGCCACAGATTCTACATTCGATGTTCAGTGCTACGCTGGAAGGTTCATCAGCACTGCCTGGAGCCACCGGGTAAGTGACCGACGAGGGGCTCGAAGCTGGTGAGAGGGTTTCTGGGAACAGAGGGAAGACTGATGAGCCCTGCAGATGCGTCATCAACGTCTAAACCAGGTTTCCGAGGGCACGACTGCCTGTGACATACAGTGGAGCCCCCGTCCCGGGCTGGCCACCCCCGCCTCTGCACCTGCTCCTACCACGGCAGCGTCCCCGGGCCTGCCCCTGGGCTGCCCCTGCTCTGGACCCGCACAACCAGCTCCCTCCCCACCCACACCAGGCGTGGCCCTCACACAATCTGTCACTTTGCTTCCCTCCCAGCACTTCTGCAGTTGTTAACTCAGTCAATCACACCAGAGCACAGGATCAAAGTCCCTGTGGGCAACACCAAAAGCAAAATCTATGAAAGATAAAAATATAATAATAATAATAATAATAATAAGTTGGGCTTTCTTAAAATTAGGAACTTTCTGCTCTCCGAAAGACACTGCCAGGAAAATGAAAAGACAGTCCACAGATACGGAGAAAATATTTGCAAATCACACATCTGATCTGAGACTTGGACCCAAGGCACACAGAGGAGTGTTAAAACTCAACAACAGTAAAACCAACAACTCAAGTAAAAAGTGGGGAGGAGACTGGACAGACACCTCCCGGGAGAAGACACAGAGGCCGCAAAGAGGCACGTGAAAAGATGTTCCACGTCCCTGGTCGCTGGGAAACCGTGAATGAGAACAAGCAACCATCTCTGCACCTATTAGATTGGCTTAAAACAAAAGAAAACAAAACAATGACAGCACTCAGTGCTGGCGAGGACGTGGAGCAACGGGGAACGCTCAATCGTGGCTGCTGGTCTGACGATAAGCTGCTGGGGGAAGTTGGGGGGCTCGAACGGGTGAGACAGAGGTTTTTCGGAGATAGTGAAACAGTTCATATGAAAACGTAGTGGTGAAGACGTGACGCTACGCATTTGTCGAAGCCCACAGAACGTTACAGTGCAGAGCGAGCCTTAACGTGTGCAAATAAATAAAAGCCATTTAGGAGGCTGGGGGAGCATGCGGGGGAACACGGAATGGGACAAAGCAGTCTCGCTGCGTGACATGTGTGCGAAACGACCTCCCTGAAGGAGGCGTGGAGGAGACATGACCCTGGGAACCCTGGAAACCAGTGGAGTCTATGGGACCTAAGGCAAAGGAGCTGTTTTCAGGGCGCATGGGCAGATAACGTGGCCCCCACGGGGGGACAAGCCAGCCACACTGATGCAGCCCTTGTGTAGACTGGAGCTGGACAGTTAACTGAAGGGACGGTGCAGTGGGAGCCGGGCCTCTCACTGCTGGAGCGGGACCTTGCAGATCGGCTGGGAGGGGCGAGAACGACCCATGTGGTGGTAGCTTAGAGCTGTCGGCATCAGTGTGAGCTCATGTTGAACAGAGAACCAGACGGCTACGTACAGAAATATGTATACACCTGTGTGTATACACGGGTTAGCACACGCACATATCTCTTTGTTCCACCAGCTAAGAGACCCTAAAGGAAAAGATGCTTCAGCAGTGACCAGAAATGATGAAAGGGATGTCATCCAAGGCTCTGATAAGGGCTGTATATAGTTCTGTGACCACCATTCACAACCAAGTCTCAGAATTCATAGGCCATCAGGTAAAGTACTCAGAAGGGTTTTGGCTCAGGATTGGGGCAAACTTACCTGTAGAATCCACACTGTTAGGATTCCATCTAAAATAAGACCTGAAAGGTCAAACATTTTCCAATAATGTAACTGTATCCCAGAACAAAACTCAGAAATATTTATGGGGAGACAAAAATATCCATCTTGAACTAAGTTTACAATGTATGGCATCTGATTAAAAACTTAAAAAATACTTGGGGCACCTGGGTGGCTCAGTTGGTTAAGTATCTGACTTTGGCTCAGGTCACAATCCCATGGTTCATGAGTTCGAGCCCTGCGGTGGGCTCTGTGCTGACGGCTCAGGGCCTGCTTCAGATCCTTGGTCGCCCTTGCTCTTTGCCCTTCCCTGGCTTGCGCTCTTCTCTCTCTCTCTCTCGCAAAAATATGTAAACATTAAAATAAGATACTTAAAAAAGATGATCCGCGATGAGAAGAAAAATCAATGAACTTAAACTGACCCAAAAGTAACAAAGATGATAGAAATTTATGAGTGTATCCTAAGTGTTCAAGGAGCCGAATGGAAGACTGGATGTGTTAGATGGTGACTGGCCATGCTTCTTGTGAGTAAGGCTGCACTAGCTGATGCAGAAAATACCCTGGATGGGATCAGGGCCAGATTAGACACTGCAGGAGACGGGATTAGTGAACTTGAAGACACAGCAAAGAAACTATCCAGAAATACGACCAAAAAAAAAAAAAAAAATTGCTTCCTGTGTGAAATCTACCAAGCATTTAAGGAAGAAAGAGTGTCAATTCTATAGGAATATACAGAAAATATGGAGGACTTCCAAGAATAGGGAGGATTTCTGAACTCATTCTGTGAGACCAGCATGAATCCGACACCAAAACCAGATGAAGATTTTACAAGAAAACCAGAACCAATATCCTTCATGAACACAGATGCAAAAACTCTTAACAAAATTTTTAACAAGTTACACCCAGCAATGAGCAAGAGGACACCATGTGATGACCACGTAGGATTTATTTTGCTAACATAAAGGTGACATAACCTTTGAAAATCAGTATAATTCGTCCTGCCGATCGACTATAAAGAGAAGCCATTTGATCATCTTACCACATGCAGGAAAAATATTTGTGAAAATCTAACATCAATTTCTGATAAAAATTCACAGAAAACCAGGACTAGAAGGGGAATTTCCTCAATCTAAGAAAGGGCATCTATGAAAAATGATGGTCATTGTCATACTTGGTGGTGAAAGGCTGAGATCAGGAATGGGCCAGGGGTGTCCCTCCACATAATGCAACATTTTACTGGACGTTCTAACCAGTATAATAAGGCGAGAAAATGAAATGAAGGCATCCAGCTTAAAAAGGAAGAAGTGGGGCACCTGAGTGCCTCCATCGGTTGTGCCCAACTCTTTGATTTCAGCTCAGAACTTGATCTTGGGGTCATGAGTCTGAGCCTCGCATTGGGCTCTACATGGGGCATAAGGCCTATTAAAAAAAAAAAAGGAAGAAGGAAAACTCTTTATGTGCAGATGACATAACTCTCTGTGCATAAAATCTTAAGACCCTATAAAATATGAAACACTTAGCAATAAATCTGACCAAAAATGCGAAAGCCCTATGCACTAAAAATAGAAAACAGTGAAGAGCTAATCTAATGGGAGCAGTAAGTTCATGGCTCTGAAGGCTTCGTGTTGTTATGATGTCCATTCTTCCCACATGGATCATGTGACTCCAGGCCATCCCAATCAAAATCTGAGCAGGCTGGCTGGGTAGAAATTAAACAACTGATTCTGAAATTAATAGAATACCCAACACATCTTGAGCAAAGAAGAAAACATTTGGAGAACTTAACGCTACTTGACCGCAGGCCTGATTATAGAGCTACAGTGACCAGGAAGTGGCAATGATGTCAAATGAGACAAACAGATGAGTGGAACTGAACAGAGGGTCCAGAAATAGACCCAGGCAGGTAAGGTCAATGGATTAAAAAAAAGAATTTTTTTAATGTTTATTTTTGAGAGAGAGAGAGAGACAGCCTGAGCAGGGGAGGGTCAGAGAGGGAGACACAGAATCCGAAGACAGGCTCCAGGCTTTGAGCTGTCAGCACAAAGCCCAATGCGGGGCTCGAACCCATGAACCATGAGATCATGACCCGAGCTAAAGCTGGATTCTCAACCGACTGAGCCCCCAGGTGCCCCAGGTCAATAGATTTTCGACAAAAATATAAAGGCCATTTAGTGGAGACAGCAGTCTTTCTAATAAAGTGTGCTAAGAGAGAGAAGAGAGAGAGAGAGGGGAGTTTTGATTTACATATGAACAATAACTCAATAGATCCAGTCCATAAATGTAAAACCCAGAAAACAGAAAACTTGTAGAAGAAAGCGATTTCAGGTCAGGCAACTGTTTCTTAGATATGACACAGAAGGCATGATCCAGGCAAGAAAAACACTGATGAATTGCACTTCCTCCAAATTAAGGACTTCTGGGTTTCAAAAAACACTGTGAGGAGAAAGAAAAGTGAAGCCACAGACTAGGAGAAAATATTTATATATCACATATCTGATACAAATACTTTATATGAATAACTCTCAGTAGTTATTCATTAATAACAAGGAAACCATTCAGTTTAAAATGGGCAAAAGATCTGAACAGAAATGTCACCGAAGGAGGTGTGTTACATGGAAGAGGTACAGACTTGGGGTTATCAAATAAAAAGGCCACTGGGATAAGAAGTGTGGCCTAAGACTCACGGTCCACACTATCATGATAACGCTGTAGGCACCAGACGGGGACTGCACTGACCGTAGTGAGCGCTGTGTAAAGCAGAGAATATTGTATAGAAAATTCACTATGTTGTGCCCCTGAAACGAACACTGTCCACTAAACTTCAGCTAAAAATTTTTTTAAAAGAAGATACCTGGCAAAGGATCCTCAGCATCATCAGGCCCCGGGTTGATGCAAACAAAACCCAGCACCATGGCCTATTGTTACACGCCCATTACAAGGGTGCAAACCCAGAAGACTGACCACTTCTCTAGTTGGTGAGGGTGTGCCGGGGCTGGAGCTCTCACACGCGCTGCTGGGACCATAAAATGGTATCATGCTCTGGAAAAGATTGTGGCAGTTTCTTTTCTTTTTCTTTCTTTCTTTTTTTAACGTTTACTTTGAGAGACAGAGAAAGACAGAGCCTGAGCAGGGGAGGGGCAGAGAGAGAGGGACACACAGAATCCGAAGCAGCTCCAGGCTCCAAGCTGTCAGCGCAGAGCCCGGCACGGAGCTTGAACCCACGAACTGGGAGATCATGACCTGAGCCGAAGTCAGACGCTTAACTGACTGAGCCACTCAGGTACCCCGGTTTCTTTTTTTTTTAATTTTCTAAATGTTTTATTTATTTCTAGGAGAGAGAGAGAGAGAGAGACAGACAGCATGAGCAGGGGAGGGTCAGAGAGAAAGGGAGTCACAGACTCTGAAACAGGTGCCCCGGTTTCTTTCTTTCTTTTTTATTTTTTTAATTTTTTTAATTTTTTTTAATTTTTTTTTTAATGNCAGAGGGAGACACAGAATCTGAAACAGGCTCCAGGCTCTGAGCTAGCTGTCAGCACAGAGCCCGATGCGGGGCTCGAACCCACGAACTGTGAGATCATGACCTGAGCTGAAGTCGGACGCTTAACCGACTGAGCCCCCAGGTGCTCCCCCCCACCCCACCCCGGTTTCTTAAAAGTTACATGAATATCCGCCCTACGCCCCAGCGGTTCGCTCCCAGGTGTTTACCCAGGAGAAGTGAAGGCACACGTCCACACAAGGCTGGTACGTGGATGCTCACGGCGGCTTGATCTGTGACAGCACATGGAAGCAACTCAGATGTTTAGCAGCCGGTGTGTGGAGAAATCGGCAGGTGTGTGGAGAAATCAATCAGCAGGTGCGTGGAGAAATCAATCAGCAGGTGCGTGGAGAAATCAATCAGCAGGTGCGTGGAGAAATCAATCAGCAGGTGCGTGGAGAAATCAATCAGCAGGTGTGTGGAGAAGCAAACGGCGGCACAGCCACACAGTGGATGAAAAGACGGAACTACTGGCATGTGCTAGGGTGCAGAAGAATCTCCAAATAATTTTGCCAGGTTAAAGAAGTCAGACTAAAACAACATACTGGGGCGCCTGGGAGGCTCCGTTGGTTAAGCGTCCGACTTCGGCTCAGGTCATGATCTCGCGGTTCGTGGGTTCGAGCCCTGCGTCGGGCTCTGTGCTGACAGCTCCGAGCCTGGAGCTCCTTCAGATCCTGTGTCTCCCTCTATTTTTCTACACCTCCCCTGCTTACACTCTGTCTCTTCCCCCCTCTCTCTCTCCCTCTCTCTCAAAAACAAATAATAAAACATTAAATTTTTTTAATGTGTGTATGTATACACATCAAATCATACACTTTAACTATGTGCAGTTTACCGAATGCCAATCAAGTCACTAAGTAAAACTGGCGGAAGAAAGACCAGCTGCGCCAGCAGCCTCGTCCGTCTGGTCTCCTGGGTGTAAAGTTCAAAGTGAATACATTTTATAGACGGCCCTTCCATGGGAGCAGTTTATGTAGTTTAGCAAAATCACCCAGGGATGGAAAATCTAATTTACAAATGAGGGATAATCTCTCTCAAATCAGCTGGTGACACCGGCACCGGGAAACTGGGAAAGGAAACAAAGCAATGACCAAAAGGATCGGCAAGAGTAAGGGGCTGGAGGGGGTACGGAGGGCCGGCCACACGCCCACCACCTCCAAGGCCACTGGCCCCGAGGCCGGGGTGTGTACCCAGCACACTGCAGCGCGATCGCCTTTGGTAAGTCCCCCCTCTTTTGTTTTGGCCACAAAGTTCCTTGGAATTGGCTGAAGGCCAGTGTGGAACTCTCTCCCCCCAAAGCCTTGCCCTTTACTTCCTTTAGGCGGGACGTGCCTGGCAGCCCGCGGAGTTGGGTCAAACGTGGCTTTCGACGAAGCGTATGGACCACGAGGCCAGTTTATGTGACATTTCCAGGTCTTACTGTGTCACAGCTTTCAGATGGCTTGGAATATATTTTAGATGAGAGTTCTTGGCAATGACCTGAAAGATGTTAGTTCTAGAAAAGCAACCTTGACCTAAACTGGAAGAATGTAATTTCGGCTTCCTGCTGTTGGAGGGTGAGGACCTGGGAGAGAGAAAGCCAGGCCGAGCGGCCCCTGGGTGGGCTCCACCTTCCCGGAGAAGGTGGGAGGGCGTCTGAACACTCTCCCCACCCACGCCCACGGCTAGGACAGAACTCTCCAGGGGCCTCCCCATGACACGCCCACCCTGCTCATGCAAGTTCCTTATTTCAGAAGGACCTTGAGACCGTGTGTGACCCAAAGCAAAGTGTATCCTTGAATCCTTTCATTATAAGACGGGCTCTCTGTTTTCCACAGAAGGGGGAAGAAACCACTTCCTTTAAAAAAAGAAAAGAAGCAAATGGACACAGATAAATCTCAAATCCAGAGGAAAAACAATTTCTGAGAGTCAACCTAACCACAAACGGCATAAGAAAACACACCAGCGCACAGCAAGTCTGCAATGTGGTGAATAAAGGACCCATTGTGAGGGGCTGAGAGCTGGGTTTTGAGCCCAGGTTTTCTCTTACTCTGGGCTTGTCACCTGCGGCATGTCCCAAAGTCCCGGGGTTGGCTTCCTCTCCTCTTCCCTTAAAGAAACATAACAATGAACTCAACCACTGCTCTTGGGACTCAGGGAGATGAGGCGCATGCAGTGGCTAACCAGTGCTCGGTAGCTGGGCTGTCACTTTCCCTGATCCCAGCACAGGTCGGCCCCCAGACTCTACACGGTGGGTCCCACAACACAGAGGCTTTTCCTCACTCCCCTCCCTCACTGTTTCCAGAAGCCGCCAGCACCCAGGATGCTTGCTCTCTCCCTACATCACACGTCATGGGGAAAAGCAGTCAAAACTCGCGCCATTTATAAAGGTCTGTTGGGGTCACTCCAAAGGCTGCATGGCTACAAAGGCCACGGAGTCCTTTAACGCGTCATCTTCATAGGGTCTCACGTGCACCACACAATCCCTGAGTTACGAGGTCGAGGATGCTGCCATCAAAAGGGACATTCGTACAAGGAACATGGCTGTGGAGCCAGTGGGGGGTGTGGGGTCCCGTCTCGGTGCGGCCTCTTTCTAGCTGCGTGACCGGGCCATGTCACCTAATTCCTGTGGGTTTATTTCCACTTGCAAAATGGCAACACTCTGGAGTTTTTACAAGGATTACTCGAACCTCTGCACAAGCTGCCTTTTTGCCTCCTGCCAGGAATGCTCCTTCCCGTGGCTTTTATTTTTCTTTAAAGTACTTCAAACATAGAGAAAAATATGGAGTGTAACACCCACCGCCCAGATTTACAAACCATGACGCTGTATCACACGGCGTCATGTCTTCTGTTGAAAGTGCTCCTGCAAGAGCTGAATTCCGCACGGAGCCCCCCGCCCTCGGTGGGTGACTGACGCAGTAAAGCTGGTGCCGGCTTTGCGAGGTATGCGTCCAACCCAGCAACCGCATGCCACATGGTCTGCTGTTGGAGATTTAACAGGAATTGAATCCTACTGAAGAGATACTTAAGCATATTTTCATTCGAAGCCGCGTTTTACATGGATTCATGTTGATACAGGTGGAGCTAACTCATTCCTGGAAGTTACCATGGAGTGTTCTGCTGCAGGGAACGCTCATGATTTCTCTGCTTTCCTTGTTTCCTACTCATCCCCATCAGACGTGCAATCCACCATGGCTGCCGGGCACGTCCTCATTCCCATCTCCTTCTATTTATTTATTTTTAATTTTTTTAATGTTTACTTTTTATTTTTGAGAGAGAGACAGAGTGCGAGTGGGGGGGGGGTGCAGAGAGAGAGGGAGACACAGAATCCGAAGCAGCTCCAGGCTCTAAGCTGTCAGCACAGAGCCCAACGCAGGGCCCAAACCCACAAACCGTGAGATCATGACCCGAGCCGAAGTCGGATGCTTAACCGACTGAGCCCCCCAGGTGTCCCAATGACACCTCCCTTTAAACAATGTCCGACCCTGGAGGGGCTGCTGGGTTCGGAACGCATGTGCCTTCCACTACTCTCTCTATACAGGTTTTATCAGCCTACACTGTTCAGCAGAGCATGAACCCTCCTTCCCACCATCGCTAAAGTCAGTGCAACAGTCACAAAAACCATCTTCCTGGAGCAGGAATGAGCGAGAAGACAGTTGGGGGAAATATGCTCCCGGTTAAGGACTCACATGGGGGCCATGGAAGGGAAAGAACACAGAGAGCTCTCATGGACATTGCCATGGAGAACATTCTCCCTCAGTTCCCTGGAGGGCCTCAGTATTCCACTCTCAGAGTCGACAACCACGTGTACCCCTCGTTGCCAACAACAAGCTGGGCCAACCCCAATCCAGCCTGGTCAGTCCCGACCCGAGAACCCCTTGTGCCAGGAAGCCTGGGGGTCAGGTGCGCCCAGATGGAGCCTTCTCAAATCGAGGGCATGGTTTCCACCACATTATCCCAGGCTTACAAGTGCTGTTTTACATCTTCTTCCTTCCCGGTGATACCAGAGGTTACCGGAGTGGAGCCCGACGCGGGGCCAGAACCCACCAACTGTGAAATCATGACCTGAGCTGAAGTCGGATGCTTAATGGACTGAGCCACCCAGGCGCCCCCATGTATAGCCTTTAAAAGAAGTGTACTGTGAGACACAGGTATACCAGGCCCAGTGGACTTGACTACGCTTTATCATTTCTAATGAGTTTGCTGCACAAAGATGTGGCTTCTCTTCCAGCTAAAGAGAAGAATCTTCTCTGTAGGAAAAAGAAAAAAAGAAACAAAACCAAAACATTTCTAAACAAAGCTTTTAAGGATACAGCACACTTACCTGTAATAACAGATCCATCTGATCCTGGACCACTTCCTAAATACTGGTATTCTGCGAAGCCAAAGCTTCCGGAACTGTCTTCACCAATGGATTGAGAAATCTCTTGGATGTTTCCCATTTCTTGTAGGAATTCTTCAGATAATGGGCTTTCTAGATCCTCAGCCTCGAATGGGGAAAGGGGGCAAATCGGGCTTTCTGTGTCCACCATCTTGATGAGATGGTCCTGGAAACGCAACCTGGAAAGACAGAGAAGTAATTCGTGAAACGTGGATATAGAAGGACGTTGGTTTTCCTTTCATGCGAACTCATATGCGAAGAAGGAACGTCACTGACCACCTTCTCGTGGCGTGCCTTTAGATACGCCTGCTAAGAAAATGAAAATCTTTTTTTAACGTTTTTATTCATTATTGAGAGACAGAGACAGAGACAGAGCATGAGTGGGGAAGGGGCAGAGAGAGGGGGAGACACAGAATCTGAAGTAGGTCCAGGCTCTGAGCTGTCAGCACAGAGCCTGACACGGGGCTCGAACTCACAAACTGCGAGATCATGACCTGAGCCGAAGTCGGACGCTTAACCGACTGAGCCCCCAGGCTCCCTGAAAATGAAAATCCTTAAACTCAAAATGTTTAAGACAAAGCCAATCCTGGTATAATCGCTCGCCTGCTACTGAGTTTACACTGTGTGCTCGGCACAATCTACCATCTCAGAGCAGGGCAGAAACAGCAGTGGACGCAGAGTCCCCATTTTTCTGGGACACCCCTTTTGGTGAGGACACAGCTAGCAGATAAACAAGCGCACGTGTGGACTGTCTGCTGCTGGTCCAACGGCGCATCAAGAGCAGACAGGGAACGGGTACTGCCTTATATGGGGACACTGCCTTGCAGATTTGGGGATAGCAGAGTCCGGAATGGGGAGCTGTGCATGGATCTCGGGGGAGAATGCTCCAGCAAAAAAATGGCCAGTGCAGAAACCTCACGACAGAAGCCTTCCGGGAGCACGTGGGCCGAGGTGGCTCAGTGGAAGGCGGTGTGAGGCGAGCAGAGGGACACGCTGTCAGCACATCCTCCCTGTACTCACCAGGTAATTCACGCGGGTTTTCCTGAAGAATGTGCACTTACGGATACATCGTAGAATTACCAAAAAAACCCTCACCCTCCAGGTGGGTCCTGTTACGAGCTGAACCGTATCCCCACCAAAAGTCCTATGTTGGGATCCTCACCCCCGGGGACCTCAGGAAGCGGCTATATTTGGAGAGAGGATCTTGAAGAGGTGGTTATGTTGAAAGGAGGTCTTTAAAGTGGGTCCAAATCCAACCGATTGGTGTCCCTCTAAGAAGAGGAAACTCGGACACGCACGAGACACCCAGGGCGTGTAGGTGCAGAGGGAAGGCAGCCGCCCGCACGCCCAGGGGAGAGACCTCTGGAGAAACCAGAGCCGCCAACACCCAGTTCTGGGACGTCTGGGCTCCAGCACGGGGGGAGAGAGACGCCCAGTGTGTGGCGCCCGGTTTGGCCTCCCCAGCAACCGGTCACAGCCGCAGAGTCACAGCAGTGCTTCAGCCCATGTTGGCTGGTTTCACGCTCCTGCCCGAGCACCTGACACCACTTCCTGTGGCCTCCAGACTCAGGCCCGTCTCCTCCTGCCGCGCCTCCTTCCTGATCTCACCCTCTTCGCCGTCCCCCTGTCCCCACTCTGACCCGCGGCCCTGGGCCACCACCTGGTCCACGCCTTCCCTGCACCGCCTCGCCCTCCCATCCGAACTGCCCTCCCATCTCCGTCCCCCTGAGATCTTGCCCCACGTCCATCCCCGGGCCTGGCGGCCATGCATCATCCGATGAGTTGGACGAGGGGCCCTTTAGCTTCCGGAGCTGCTTCCCCGGCTCAAGTGGCCACAGCAAAGCCCACGGCTCCCAGCACTGACAGCACCCAAGGAGGTGCGTGCCACCCACAGCCAGGGCTCGCCGTGCGACACGGCCACTCAACGCCAGGCTCCCCCGGCGGAGCGAGGATGCGATTCCCCCAGCGAACCCGCCGGGCAGCTCTTGCGAAACATTTTCACATCTCAGCCCTGCTGACAGGGAACAGCAGCTGTGAGTGCAAAGTGAAGGGATGCCTTGACTTCTGTTAGACGTGAAAAATGGGTGCAGTTCACACATTTTCATGAAACTCACATCTCACGCTAAGAGTTATGACAATAAACCATGATGGTTGTCAATAACACACAGGAAAAATAAAAGAATCGTTAGCCTCTCCTGAGCTTTAAAAGACTTCCCTTCTTTGCGATCTAGGAGTGTAAATCAGGCTGTGAATCTGCGCAGTTTTTCTGTCGTATTTTATTCTGCATTAAATCTGAAGGAAGATCTTCAAATGGCAAGCAAGACGGTGGGGCAAGCAAGCACTCCTTACAATGGTTTGCGCCATGAACAGAGGTTAAAAACTGCAGTCCCGAACTTAACGTAGTAACATAAAGTTCAGCCTAATAGTAAGTAGGGGCTGGGCAGAGGCTGGGCTGTCCGTGCGCTGCGACCACCCGCTCCGCTACCCCATCCCACCCCCGTGCCACAAGGGAAAGTGCCTGTGGACGGCAGCCTTTTTTTTTTTTTTTTCCCCTGCAAGTATTCAGTCTTTCCAGGCAGGAAGAATGGACCGTGGACTGTAAGATTATGTTAGTTTCCCTGTCGTCACATCCAGCGAGTTAGAATACTGCGGGATTTTATCATTTTATTGTTAGGTTGCTTTTAAAGCATACCTGAGGTTTATCCAGGGAAACTGGTCTCACTGCTAATGAAGAGATAACAAGATAAAATCCCTCCAGAGGGTGAGGCAATACCGCCCTGAACTCTGGCCAGAGGACTGGCGTTTGCACAGATCACTGAACACGTGGGCCCTTTCTGGCTTCCGGCGCGAGCAGATAAGGCTCGGCTCCCTTTGAAGGGGTCCCCGGCTAGAGAGCGGAGGCTGCCCGGGCACTGCCCGCAGCCCACCTGCCTGGCGGCTCCCCGCGTGCTCGGGCTCCCGGCCCTGCCCCCCGTCGCTGTGGCTTCTATTCAAGAAGCAGAAATATCACAGTAAGTCTGGCTCTAAAGCCCACATAGCACAGCCACTGCCCAGTTCCTCGAGGAGAGCAAACCGGGTGCCAGTTACTGTGTCATCTGCCCCAAGTGTGTCGGGAGGGACAGGCGGGCCCAGCAACAACCTGCTTTCTCCGCTGCTCCCCGTGCGGGCAAGGAGGCAAGGCAGAAACGGCAGGAGAAAAGCAGAGCGCGCCGGCGGGACGTCAGAGGGGCCTGGGCCCCAGCGCAGAGAGGATCCCGCGGAGGCCGAGAGCAGCCCCCACCGGGACACGCGTGCCTGCCACCCTGGCCCTCCTTCCCTGTGCCCGGGGCCCGCGGGGCCCTCAAGGCATCTGTTCTTTCCCGACCCATCGAAATGTTAGAGTCGCGTCTTGTGTACGGGAAACGCCAACGTGAACGGCTACACACAATTCTACCTTCAGGGGTCAAGAGAGCATCTACCAATCAGAATATTCCTTCGAGCAGAGGCAACAAAGACAATAGAACACTAAGAGAAATGGCAAGAAAGCAAAGAAGGAAGGGAGGGAGGGAGGGAGACAGAGAGAGACGCAGAGACCATGAGCGCCTTGTGTCGCGGAGGACAGGTGAGACACGGAGGGACTATAACACCTACAGGTAACCTTAAGGCGTCTGGAGTATCAACAGCTCTTGTGTGGCATTTTTTCAAAAGATGAGGCTGAAATGGGTCACGAATGGCATGACGAGCTCTTACCCTGAAGCCAGGAAGGTCCTGCACAGGCTCCTCTGGGTCGAGGCAGCACCACGGCTCGGTGCCCCGAGGGCCCTCATTCCACGCGGTGTGGGACCTTCTGACGTCTGTCTTGAGCGTAGAGAATGCATTTTGCTAACCTTTGCACCCACCCTTCTAGCACGATCGGGCAGGAGGCGCCTGGCTCAGATTTCTGACGCGTAGCTAAGCCTGGCGCAGCGCGTGCACGTTACCCCACCGGGAACTGGGGGAAAGTCCGGGAGGACTTGGCCCGCGCTGCGGCAGCACGTGTGACCTGCCGTCACCCAGATGGCAGAATGGCACAGCCGGCGGATCCAAAGACAACAAAACGCCGGGGAATCTGGAACAGAAGTCAGACTGACTCTGCATTGGGAAAGTGATCAGAAATTTGCACAGCGAACCCCTCACGGGGGCTTAGAAACAAAGCACAGGGCGGCTGGGGTCTCAGGCGGTTCAGCGACGGACTCTCCGTTTTTGGCTCGTGTCATGATCTCACGGTTCGTGAGTTCAAGCCCCGCACGGGGCTCTGGGCTGACACCGAGGAGCCTGCTTGGGATTCTCCCTCCCCCCCGCCCCTCTCCTGCTCATGCTTTCTCTCTCTCAAAATAAATAAACTGAAAAAAATAAAACAATAACAACAACAAATCTTGGGGCACCTGGGTGTCTCAGTCAGTTAAGTGTCTGACTTCAGCTCAGGTCATGGTCTCACGGTTCATGAGTTCAAGCCCCACATCCTCTCTCTGCTGGCAGCACAGAGCTGCTTCGGATCCTGTCTTCCTTTCTCTCTGCCCCTCCCTGTTCGAGAGCATTCTCTTTCTCTCTGGTTCTCCTTCTGTATCTCAAAAATAAATAAAAAATTTAAAAATATTAAAAACAAAACAAAGCATACAAAAGGAAAAATGAATCAAAGCCTCTAAGCCTTTGTAGTGAACGAAGTCCCATATGGGCAGGAAAGAGTGTGCATCAAACAGGGATGTGGGGAGCTGAGCCCCCAAGGGAGAGACCTGGGTACAGACTGTGGGGTAGAGACGTGAACAGATGACTAGTTTGGCTCTCCACCTTAGAAGCAACAGAGAATCTGAGAGATATTCTGTGCTCACATGAAGTGGGTGCTTCTAAGAAAAAGTGAAGTCTCATTTCATTGGATGGCTGGAAATCACAGAACCAGGAGGGATTGGGTCCTTGTTGGCTCCTGGGGCTATTACCCTGTCCGACCCATCCCTGCACCCCTACATTAGTAATGGAGTTTCTTGGACCTGTGAGACCCGTCGTAAGTATTTTCTGAAATTAAGTATTAAATAATAGCTTGATACTGTCCCAACTGTCAAAACACTTCTGTTTTTATTTTTTTTTCAAGATCAGCTACACGTTTATTTCCAGGGATGTGACTGTAACAATGTAATGGCATCCCATTTACATACAAAAAAGCATAGCTCATCTCCACCTTATACTTCTGACAATTAAAAGCAATTTGTTTATGTTTACTTTTTATTTTAAGCATTAGTTATCTTAAGGTTCAAGTTTATTTATTTTGGGGGGCGCCTGGGTGGCTCAGTTGGTTTAAGCGTCTGACTTCAGCTCAGGTCATGATCTCCCAGTTCGTGGGTTCGAGCCCCACATCGGGCTCTGTGCTAACAGCTCAGAGCCTGGAGCCTGCTTCCGATTCTGTGTCTCCCTTTCTCTCTGACCCTCCCTCACGCTGTCTCTCTCTCTCAAAAATAAATAAAACATTAAAAAAAGTTATTTTTGTACAAAGGCTAGCTTCCCTCTTTTTTTCCCCAAGATAAGTACTTTAAAATATTTTGCTGTCATTATAGTTAACGCTGAAATAACACTGAAAAAAACACTCACCCTTGCATTTGCATTTTCCTAGATGATCTTTGCTACCACTAATTTTTGCAACCACGTAATTTGGTTCCAAATTTACGATGGTGACCTACACTAATTTAACTGTGAATCACTTTTTTTGTACTCAAAGTCTTAGATTATGTATATGAAAGCTAACTTATTAAACCTTTGCACACAAAGATGAACGTACCTGCATAGCAAACTTATATGAAGAATGAAATTTAAAAAAAAATAAGTGTTACTAAAATTGATGAGCGTAAATCACGTATAAAAATCCCCCAAATGGGATAAAACTGCTCATCCCTGATTTGTCTCATTTGGTTGTCAGAGTTGAAATAGGAAGTTAAAATGGTTAGAATTCGAAACATTTTTATATGCTAGGGGATCAGAGACTCAAGAGAAAAGACAGATGAATTCCCCCCCTCAGAGCTTGTATTCGACACAAAAGGGTCCAAGTAAATGGTTACAAACATTGGATTTTACTTTGCTACCACTTATCTTTCTGTAATCCACCTGAATGTATCATACTGTAAAATCCCCCTCAAAGTACCACTTAATGTGCTTAATAATGCCACCTTATAGGAACCTATTTACATTTCCTTTGGCTAAATTAGGTCTGATGAGACTTCACTGAGTGGTGGAAGGGTCAAGGCTGGAATTTATGTCAGAGGAGAACCATTCACATGGCAAGAAAGAGAGGCATCAGATCATTTTTCCGTTTTCTATCAACTATAATTCACTACCCTGTCAAGACTCTTACACGTTTCTGTCCACCTCGTAGATACTTAACATTTAGAGCCTTGTAGCTCAATTTGTTGGGCTGGGGCTTAAAATCACATTTCAAAATCAACAAAGAAATGCTAAAAAGCCTCTTGTACCTTCCCTGGCACCGGAAGTTCATAGAAATGGATTCATTGTTGCCGCCTGTATAACGCTAACGTGCTCCCAAGAAAAATGTCTCACGAAACACACCTGAAACAGACGAGGAGGGCCCCTGGTGTGGCAGTGGTGCAGAAGGCAGGGGCTGGCTGTTGTAACGAATTAAACCCAAAATGGGATACTTAGGACTGGTCTGCGCAGTACGCAGGTTTATCTGGGAACATCTAAGATCTTCCCCAACGACGCCTAAGGCCTCGGCATTTTGTAATCACAGGAATTTGGCCTGTGAAAATGGGAGAGGAGCCCGATGGGACAGAGTAGCCGTGAACCCCTACGTGCTTATCTTTAAAGGCGCAAACAGAATGTTCCCCAATATTTCCAAGAAGGTCCTGCCAGGTTTCCACAGAGTTCACACTGCGTGGTACTATTTCCCTCACTTCAAACCCAGCGAACCTTCCCATCGTCCTGGCACAGAATTCTCGTTTTTTAAATCTAAGCTTACCTTTGTCGGTGGGGACACTAGCATCGCTACAGGCCAGCTGTCACTTTGGACACGTCGTGTGCCCGTGAGCTGAAAGGCGTGTCAAGAATCAACAGTCCACGGAGAGGAGATTCACATTTGCCCGGCAGAGGCTTTGCTCCGATGCGCACAGAAGCCCGGCAGCGAGGGCGACGCTGGAGCGCTGACCCACCGGACGGCAGAGAAGCAGCATGGGGCCCAGCGCCACGCCAGGGACGAAAGTGATGGTGACATTCGGGGCGGGGAGGGCCTGATGTGTTATGGCAGGGTGGCCTCAGACGCGGCAGCGAGCTTTGAAAGGCTGTGCCTTCGTTTTTGGAGTTAAACCGATGGTCACCTTTGGGTGGAAAGATCACATTTTCTGAACCTCATGAAACACACGAGTATCCCCGAGCTGGCAACGGGCTTAACCCTGGAGGGCACACTGGAGGAGGCAGTCTTAGCCCTGGAGGCCCCAGGGCAGAGGGTGCGGGGCCGGGAACAGGGCAGAGAGGGAGACGGTAACACGGACTGAGCCCCGGTAACAGTCACAGGCGCTGTTCCGATTCTCCCAGCGCCGGGCTGGGCGGGCAGATGGGGGCCGTTTCCACAGGGGAAGCGCCACGATCCAGAGAGGTAAGCGCCTCGTCCGGCCAGGAGGTGAGCAGGTAAGGAGGGCCAGGACGGCGGGGGCTGTGATGCGGGGGGCCGGGGGCCAGAAAGGCTGCTTGATGGAGGGGACGCCCAAGCTGAGTCCTGAAAGGCGACGAGAAAGAAAGAAAGGATAGGGGCCAGGGGCGCCTCTCAGAAGAGGGGCCGGGACTGCGGTACACGCGCTTTGAGACTTGTCGCTGTGTTCCTGCCGCACGAGCCACCCTGCCACGTCATGGCTCGAGACACGGGCACGTTATGTGCCGGGGGTTCTGTGGGCCAGCGGTTTGGGCCACGCCTCTGGGCGGGCCATCGTGCGGCGCCACCACGCCCGGGGGTCCGGGGAGGTCGGCGCCCTCGCCCTCGGAGGCCAGCCCAGCCACCTTCGGATGCGGCGGTATCCCAAGGGTGAGGGCAGGAACTGCAAGGCCACGCCGTCGCTTCTGCCACGCGCTGTGGCCCAGGGCAGGTCGCGAGGGCAAGCTCGGGGACGCGAACCCTCCCCTGATGGCGGCTGGGGGCCCAAGGACGTCGTGCCCATTTCCGACATCACAACAGGAAGTGGAAGAGATGAACGGCGGTGGCAGGAGGCACCGGTGAAGGGGTCAGGGCAGGCACTGGGCAGCGGTGCGGCGTGGCCACACCTGCCTTAGGGTGGGGGGAGGGGCTGGTTTTAAAGGAGACGATGAGGGGTACGCGCGGGGGGCTCAGTCTGACTCTCGACCTCAGCTCAGGTCATGATCTCAAGGTTTGTGGGCTCGGGCCTCGCATCTGGCTCTGTGCTGAGCTTCCTGCTTGGGATTCTCCCTCTGCCCCTTTCCCCCACTGGTGCTCGCTCACTCTCTCAAAATAAATAAAGGAACTTAAAAAAAAAAAAAAACAAAAAACAACTTTAAAGGAGAAGCAACCAGAGAGCTTATGAGGCTGGTGAGACCGTCCGCAGGAGGCGTGCCCGTGCCCCTGGGAGGGAGGCCCAGAAGGGCAGGAAGGGCGCACGCTGGGGCCTCGCTGCAGCAGGGTGTGGGCACACTCAAGGGTCACCCTAGACCCTGGCACAGCTAACTGGGAGGGTGGGGCGATGTCCAGGACGTGAGAAGAGCGGGTGTCCTGGCGGAGGGAGCAGGGGGGAGGCAGAAAGACGGTGAGGGTGGTGGTAAAGCAGGGTGCAAGGTTTCTGAGGGACACACAGGCTCCGGCCCTCAGGCCTCCTCCCCTCCTCTGGGAGGCACCGTGCAGCTAGCGGGGCGCCCCCATCCTTAGCAGCAGCTCGGGGGGGCGGGGGAGGACGTGAGTCCCGCCCTCAGGGCACGGGGCGGTGCTGGGTGTCACCATGACCCCGTGACCACATTTCTTGGAGCCTGGGTTTCAATACCTAGAGTTGGGGTCAATGACATCTGCCAGGCAGGCTGTTCTGAGTGTGCTTGGAACGACGGGCACGTGGTTCTTCCCCAAACAGTCCTGCCCCCAGAAGCAAGACCGGGCCTCCTTCAAGTGCACTGCACAAAACACACCCTGGAAAGCGCTGAGCTGAACCAGAGGGAAGGGGAAGGCCCAGGAGCCGAGAACAAACGCGGGCTACGCACTTCACGGGACGCCAAGCAGCGACAGCCTGCAGCGGAGCACTCGGGGTGAGCAAGGGCCGCCGTCCCGCCAGCCTCAGACGGACACGCGAGACCAGTTCTAAAGAAAAAAGTCCCTTTATCTTTAACTTCTAGGGGACACCTCGCTGGAAGTCCAAATTCGCTCAAGATCAAAAGAAAGGAGAAAAGAGAAGGACTTCGGGTAACCTCCACAGCCCACAGGCTTACTTTTGCTTTTATGATCCCAGGAAGACGATGAAAAGACGGGTCTGTCTTTCTCCCTCAGTTTTCAGACTCGGGCCACGGTATCGCGGGTGTTGTGCGTGGCCAGCGCAGACAAGTTCTGGACGCGCCTCGACTCCTTCAAAGTCCAGCAGAAAGCAGCGGCAGGAGAGCAGAGCGGGGTTCCGGGCGAGGGAGCTGCGGGTCACGGAGACCCCCAGAAGCTTTCGGGGAGGGCGAAGCCTCTCCAGCAATGGTCTGGGCGCCCAGCGGCCCCTCGCCCGTGGTCCGCGGATTCAGCAGCGGCCCTTCCACACTCAGAAGAATGACTTCACCAACGGGGGTCCGCGTCCCGCAGGGTGAGAACCATTGTCGTAACGGGCGCCGCGTGAGAAAACCAGCACACCTGTTGTCAGGGTTTTCTGCCTCCGACTTTTCCAACCAGACCGAGTGATGGGTGCCCGCTCGTTCTCATCCCGTGCTCCACTCTACGGCAACTTCGACAAAAGTGTGGGGGGGGAGCCTGAATGCGGGATAGCTAGTCCAGTATTTTTGCTGGTCTCCTGCGTAAGGAGAAGGAAGGGCTTCCTCTCGGCGTCGGTTTGAGGGAGAGAGCTGACATACGAAGTCAGAACTGTGTTTCTCTCGTCACCAGGCCGTCGTTCCTCTCGGCATCCGCGTGTGGCCTGAAACAGGCAGCTGGGGCACAGCTGACGAGGACACGGCTCTTCGGGCTCCGGGTTCGGCACCGCCTCCCCCTCCCGGCCCGAGCTCCGCACCCCCAGGACCCCGGCCAGCGTGTCGGTTCCTCGCTTGGTCATGGAGACGCAGACAACCCCCAAGGAGCAGGCTCGTTCTGAGGAAGGCCTCTGACAGGGAACACAGAGCCAGCCAAGCGACACATGTGGGAAAGTCCACTTGGAGGGAACCACGCTGGGGAGGAATAAAACGACAAAACCAGAGGACCGTTCTCCCCAGCCCTGGAGAGAGAAGATACTGCCCTCGTCAAAAGAGAAGAAAAGGCCACAGAAAGGAATGTCCAGAGAACAGAGAGCTCCCTTGGGACCCCCCATCCCCCATCACAAACTTAATCAGAAGCTGCAGGATGGAGGCCTCCGTCTCCCAGAAGGAAGTGAGGCGCAGGGGTGAGGCGAGGCCCAACAGCAGGGGGAGGCCCGGGGGAGGGAAGAGAGGACAGGAAGTTAGCGGCAGATGAACTCAGGAACATTTCTCGGGAATGAAGGCCGCGGAAGGGTCCACCCAACAATGGGTAAACACAGACCCACAACAAGGCACGTCGTGGGACAAAGAGAAGGTTCTACAAGATCTCACGGGCTCTGGGAAGAGGGCAGACACGTCACGTGTGAAAGATCAAATACCAGGGGCGTTTGGGTCCCTCGAGAGAGCGCCGGGGGTGGAGGTACGGCCCCTCACCCCTACAGCGCTGAAGGAAACTTCCTTCCAGTTAACACATTACTAAATATTCAGGTGAGCCACCCACCAGGCGGGCAGAAAAGTTCCCACTCGCTCCCTTCAGGCAATGACTGTCTCTCTGGGGCTCTAGACCCTCTCCCTGCATGATGCTTCGTACGTGTCTCGTATTGGGGGTAACTCTTGGGGAACGTGGGCTTCCACAGGGGGCTGGGCTTTGACATCCAACTTTCAGGGGTGCAGCAAATGTTGCTTGTGTGCATTCTGTCATCACAGTTTCACAGACCTCCATGGGTCAACTCCAGGAGCTGGTCACGGTTGGCCATTATTCCGGCCCGACACCGCTGTAAGTTAGATTCCGCCATTGCGATGACAGCCGTAACACTTCTTGAATCCTAATCACGTGCCAGGAATGTGTGACCTCCTTTCGATCTTAGAACACCCCCGTAAGGTGGGCCCTATTAATACACTTACTTACTGACAACGACACGCTCGGGGTCACAGAACCAGCGGGAGCCTTGGGTTTCTGCTCCTGGGCACCACGGGACCATCCTCTGGGTAGCGTCCCCCAGGACTAACGTTCAATCCGACTGTCAGCAGTTTAGGGATCTGATCATCTGGTCTCTGATTACCGACAAGTAACCACCCCAGCCCATCCGTGCCGTGCCTGCGCTCCACCGTGTGAACAGAATCCTTTGCCAGGGTCCACAGTAAAGTTTGGAGATGAGGAAAAAAAAAAAAAAAAAACAGCATTGTTCTAATTTGCCTTTATTTTTATTTTTTAAATTGTATTTAGTTTTTTGAGGCAGGCTTCATGCCCCACATGGGGCTTGAACTCATGACCTGGAGATGGAGACCTGAGCTGAGATCAAGAGTCGGTTGCTTAACTGACTGAGCCACCCAGGTACCGCTAAGTTGTCTTTAAAATAAAGACTGGAGGTTTCAGCTAAAGGCAACAGGAAACGTAGGGACTAGGCTCGGAGAAGGACATCAGAATCAAAGCCTCAGTGCTGGGGCTGACTAGGCACCAGTTACCTTAGCCTTTTTTTTTTTTTTTAAGTGGGTTTTATGCGCCTCAGTGGCTCAGTTGGTTAAGCGTCCGACTTCGACTCAGGGGATGATCTCGTGGTCCGTGGGTTTCGAGTCCAGCATCGGGCTCTGTGCTCTCAGCACAGAGCCTGGAAGCTGCTTCCGATTCTTCGGTCTGCCCCTGCTCTCTCTGCCCCTCCCCCACTCCCACTCTGTCTCTCAAAAATGAGTAACTGTTAAATGTTTAGGTGGGCTTTATTAATGTCGTATAATGGGCACACAGTCACCATTACATACTTAAAGTATACATTTAATAAGTTTTGATACAGGTATACACCTGTGAAACCCCATCACAATCAAGGTACTGGACATGTCCGTCACCCCCAAAGTTTCCTGGTGCCTTTCTGTGATCTCTGCCTGTTGCCCTCCACACTCCCGTCGCCAA